AGCCCCCCCCCCCCAGTAGGGCGTGTTATACACAGACCCCAGTGGGGCGCGGGTTAAGGAGTGCATCAAACCACGATTCTGTGGGCTCAGATAGTTGGAGATCGTTCCCGGCGCCAGAATAGCAGTTTTCATTTTCCCCATTGACTTATTATGGTGAGGTCACGAAAATGACCTGACCTCATATGACCTTTAGGAAAAATCCGAGATATACAAGTTGTGAGACTCATAATGGATACTAGATCCTGAAAGTTTCATTTCCCTGTGACATCTCCTCTGGCAGTGAGGGCGTTGCGAAGTTGCGACATCTGAAGACCGTGCAGAGGTTCACTTATGACGTCATAGGTCAGTGACCTGACCTGACTAAAAAATGCAGTTGGTGTCAAAAGATCCGGCTTGAATCAAAGGTCAGGTATTTTAAGTTTCAGCTCTCTATCGCCAGCGTGTTCGGAGCTATCGCGAAAAAAATCCTATGGGGGGCGGCACCCCCCTCGGCCGGCGAGGGTTAATTCACGCCATGGCGGACATTTTACCCTCCCTCTGATTTGTTTCCCAGCACTGAAAGATGAGACATGTAATTGTAGAGCCATAGTTTCCAGCATACTTTACGATGTACCTTTTCCGTACATTGCGTAAAAAAAAACTTAGGTCATATAGGTCAGGCCACCATTTCACGTTAAGTAGTTTTGCGTAAGAAATGGAAACTATTTGTAGAGCGATTTAAACTTAGACACAGCTGGAAAAAAATTCAGCGATCAATTGGGATGACAAAACACATAAAGTTTGCCACAAATCTGACGTCATCTTAGATAACGTAAGCTCATTATTAGCAGTTTATCGACAATAACTTTGAATAGGAAAATGATATATAGACACAAACACCTTTGGTGTGCTTAACGAAACACATCGGCCAGCGCATGACATGAACTTTTCCGATCAGATCATAATCTTGATCGAAAGTCTCATGTTGACTTTTCAGTGCCAATTTATTGTTCATTAGTTGTGTCTCGACAAGAGAAGCATGTTTCTGGTAAAAGTGATGCATAAGATTCAGATGATTTTTTTTTAAGAAAAAAAACATCGCAGCAAACTTCGACGTTGACACAATGTGACCCCGCATTTCGCCGTTTATGAGGTTTCTGCACAACTCATAAATGGGACCGTCGAAACTTGCACGAAATGATTTGCCCAAATAATCTACCCGTGCACGTCGTTTATGCTGACCCGACTTTGCAGTTACCTGTTACGACGTTAATGGGAGGGCAGCAGTAAATGTGAATGACGAGTCGAAGGCTTTGTGGTCTGCGGTTGTCACAGCGACGTGTAGTCTCCGATGTCCGGTGGTACCGTCCCTGGCTCGGTGGTGCCCATTTTGAGGGCGCCAAGGCGGAGACCACCAGCGACTTGGAACTGCTACTCGCCTAGTGCAAGAGGCAAACTATCAAACATTCCAAGTCGCCTTTGAGTGTTCAGTTTTCATCAGAGTAGCAGCTGTGGAAAGCTGAATTCTCGGGCCTCTGGACGGGTGGACTTGAAGAGACCGCCCGCTGGAACGCCGCAAGCAGTGGGCTGAATCAAGAGGCACTTTGGTTCGTGTCCACCATGGCCGGTCCCCCGCACTGCTGCGCGGTCACTGTGCTGCTGTCGCTGCCGCTGCTGGCGCTGCTCTGGACGTCAGAGGCGTGTCTGGAGACCGCCTGGAGCAGCGGGCGGATGGACGCCGACCAGCAGCTGCAGGTTCTGACCATCGCACCATCGCAGGACGGCGGCTGCACCTGCTGCGCGCACTGCCACTACCGGCCGCGCTGCGCCAGCCTCAGCTTCAACTCTGCGACCTCCGAGTGTGAGCTGTACAGCAGCGTGGCCAGCTACTCCACCCTTCAACCGGACTCTGACAGCCAGTGGAGCTACTACGTGATGCCGGGCCGCTCTGAGACCGGCCAGTTCTGCCGGCAGGACTCGGACTGCACCGCGAGCGGAGACTTCTGCCGCGGCCGCTTCTGCACCGCACTGGACAAGGTGACCTGTCGCACCGTTGCTGAGACGTTCGGAAGCATTCGCCACTACGCTGTAGAGCCGCCCATTTTTGGTTGGATCGACGGCAAAGAGATGAGCGTGGTTTGTTGGATGACACTAAGTGGCAAGGGATATACTAATATTTTATGGAGTGTCAACGGCTTTTCTTTCAGCTTCAGCACCCTGATGAATTATGATCTCCAACCGCAGATCGGAGCACGGTCAATTCTGCACCTCGCCGAGTTTCTTCGCGAGTCTGAAAGTGACGGTAGCTATCACATCTCGGTCTGGTCTGTCACTGGTGGTATCTGGACGGAGCTTCTCTCCTACGAAGCACCTCGGGATGAGCCTGTTCTCCAGCTAGCCCCCCGTGCCAACTCATGGCTGAATCACAGGCGACATTCCATCGTCCACTGGAACGTGTCCATGCTCTGGATGCCCTTCGCGGGCCCCACTCTCCTGACGATAAACCGGGACGACGGACAGACGACTGCCGGGGCCATGGCTCGAACTGACGGCCTCATCGAGTACGACGAACTCTGGATCTCCATGCTCGAGTAGTTCCTGTGAACTGCCTAGAGTCGCCCTGCAGATTGCAGATGCACATGTTGATGGGGGCAACACTTGCCGAGCTGTATCGAGGGAAGAGCACCTCTGAGGTGGCTGAAGAGGCCCCCTGACAGACGTCACGTCACTGTAGGCTCGGGAGCTCGTGTGATGTAAGCAGATGACATACACGCTAGGTTTGGCGCTTATCACACTGCCGTACTCGACACAAATTAGAAGGCTGACAAAGGTTGGCTCTTGAATTTGAGAAAATTGCATAAAGTAGGGGCTCATAGACGTCTGGTACTTCACACTTGTCATTCGAGCACTTATCTTACTTTGCATAGTCCAGGCACATAGTCCAGGATCTGCTCGAAGGAAGTGATTTGCATGTAGTTTGCTTCACCACATATGCTTTATGGTGTTTTTGCATAATATAATCAATTGAAAGCGGCATTGTGTGAAGAATCCTACCCACCAGTGACGTTGCAATGTATAGTAATGGCGAGCTTACAGTATTCGATGCCTATAGCGAGTAATTTGTTTGGAAAAAGCTAATGCCGGGACAGTTTCTATTGGGTAAGGTCCATTCGGCCCATTTTCACCATGTTATGGCCATTTATTTTATAATCATTATAATCATTTCACCATTTATTTAGTTGGAAGATGACTGATTCGACTATTGACTGCTCCACCGCTATAGCTGAGCCCATACTTGTGACACACGCCACTACGCTGTTCTTTGGGGAAGTATAGCTGCAGCTGACAGTAATCTGAGGCCTCTTGCACCAAAATCTTCTTGCACCAATGCTTGGATTATTTTGCATCGTATACACAGTCCAAGTCTCAAATGTAACAATTTGCGTGCAAAATTTAGTAAGCACATATAGGATTGTGTATTGGGCTATTGCAAACAAATTTACCTCCGTTAGATTAGCTAATTCTGAAACTGGTTTTTCGATTTTACCTAGCTAGGTAGTTTGGTGCAAGAGGCCTCTGATCAAACACTACAGTGTCGACTGCAGCTGACACCCGCGACCACATCACCGATGCCGCCACAAGGTCCTGACCAGTGCTTTGAAGACGCTTCTTAATCAATTTATCAAGCCAAGCGCACTCTGAACTGGTTTAGCTAGCCCTCAGCTCGTGGTGAGCCTCGCCAGGGCGGCTCTCTCTCGTCTCCCTGCCGCGGATAACCCCACCCCACCCCACCCCGGCCCGGCCCGCCCAGCTCACGGACCGCTCCTTCAGCACCCCACCTGCTCCTCGGGAGGTATACCACCACTTGCGTAACCTGCCTGTGGCTCTATGTCAGCGGTGAATGGCCCAGCCGCCCTGCAAGGCATATCGTATGCCACGATGGGCTCAACGATCCACATCAGATAGTACTCAGCAGCTGCGGTAAGTCTGAATCATGTTGGATTTTGTCTGAGATAAAACTGAGCCGTGAATTGCCTGCTAGGAATCTTGAGCAGGCTGTACCGTGACCGGTCAGTCACAGGGCGCGAATCATGCTTAAGAGCTGCTAAATCTGGCGATGTGTGGTGTTAATATTGCATTCATCCTAATCCAATCAATTATCCGGTTTTGTGCGGCTATGACTGGATGCCTACATTGCGCTTAGTAATGGTTTGTATCGTCCTATTTTGATAACAATCGCCATTTGGCTTGGTGTCAATGCCGAGAATAAGTATACATAATATTGTGTAACAGTGCAGCGATCTAATTTCCTTGAAACTCCTTCGCCGTAGCATGCACATCATGCTTGTAACAAAGTGATGCTGAAATATTTTAAATTAAACATCGCACGGACGGGGGTCCGGACCAGCTTCGCAACGACGGGGGAGGATACCTGCCCCCCCCCCCGCCCGGTCCCTTACTAAGATTTCCAAAACGAAGCAGGCTATCACGTATAGCAACAAGGCGTTGAATATCTATGAGCGGACAAGGGCTAACATTTTTGCTTAGGTCGTTTTTAGGTCAGGTCAAAAATGACATCGATTAGGTCAAAATAGTCAAAATGGCGGCATTGGAGGTCAGGATTTTTTTTTTTTGCGCATAGCTCTTGAACTATTCAAGCAAGAATAAAATAATAGCGCTATCAAAATCCACTCATTAAAACGTACCTACAAATGTCTGTCATACGACAGCACTTTCAACGTCACCATAATACTATCGTAAATGAATGTCTAATTTCTACCAATAGCCAACTATAGGCTACTGTCGATTGCGTAAATTACGTGTCTCAACAAATATAGTATGCGTTTTTACTCGATCCGTCTCATTCACGCAGATTTCCGAAACAGATTAGACGAGCCTAACCTCTGACCCCGCCACAAAAGTCACCTCGCCCGCTGTTCTGACAGTGACCTTGGTGTGCCTACGTCCGACCGTGCCATCTCATCCGTTCCGCATATATGGAGCGTCGACCTGGGCCTGTCCTGACGCGAAGCCCGGGCCACCGCCCGCCCGCCGCCGCCGCCGCCACCGCCGCCACCGCCGCCACCGCCAGGGGCAGGACCTTGGCCCAGTTGCAGACTTGGAGAGGAGATATAGTGGACGGTTTGGAGGGGCGCCGATCAGTTGTTTGGTGACCCGAACAGGTGAACAGCGCCACACTGACCCACGTGACAATTGAGTGAGCGCGCCACATATTATCAAAGTGAGTGACAAGGGCAAGAAAGCATAACTGCATAGGTTTAAGCGCACTCCAAGTTGTGAGTGCCTCTTTTATCATGAATATACTACGGTTGTGTATTTGTGACTGGATTGGCTACAACCAACGTAAATATTTGTCTTTTTTCAAGGAAATCGCATGACAAGCCAATATTTCTCCGAAACCGCGCGCTAAACCCTGCCGTACCGGTCGGTCGGCTGATGGGGAATTAGCTGCAGCTTCCCTCCACCTTGACATCCTTGCCAACCGGTCCCGAGGCGTCCGGGGTGTCTGAGTGCTCACCGGCACCGTCATATCATCCACTCAAGAATCCAGCCGGCGAATGTGGACGTGCTCTGGGCGAGAGAAAAGCAAACCTACTTTGTACTTGGTGTTTGATCGCAGGTTAAATCTAGTAGTAGTAGTAGTAGTAGTTTATTAAAGAGCCATCCACAAGACAAGTGGCTATTATGGCCTTCACGTCAATAAAATCGGATCATAACATGCAGGGTAAAATACACACTCACGATGTTACACAACCTAAAATATACATATAGCTCAGGATAAAAAAAAAACACCACCTGCACGGCATCATGATAAAAACGCGTTCATCACGTGTCTCGTCTCGAGAGTAGGTGGGCCTTCAGGGCTCGCCTGAACCGCGGACCTCGCTGGTTCCGCACCGACATGGGCAGATCGTTCATGAGGTGGGGCGAGCGGTATACAAACCGTCGCCGGCCCGCCTCCGAACGGATGGGTGGCACGTGCAGGAGATCGTCCTGTCTGGTGTGCCGGACATGGCCATGATGGTCCCGGTTGAGGCAGACCTGACGGGCAATGCATTCGGGCTGGCTAGAGGAGAGGACTTTGTCAAGGAGGCAGAGGGATTGGTATTGGAAGAGTTGAGACGAGTCGAGCCACCCCAGCCTGTCTCGCACAGCTGACACGCGGTCAAACTTTCGTTTTCCTAGCACAAGCTCATGATATTAACAAAAATTAGGATTGATTTTTTCGACTTAAAAAACATTTAATTAGAGGGATGAATGTAATGGGAGAGATGTCATCAGAGGTGTACCATTTTACACATCCTTTTTAAAAGAATATTTAAGGTTTGATTTATTTGAAAATTTAGGTGTATTTTAGAAAAAAATATTGATTTTTATTTATTTTTTATTTATTTGATTTTATTTGCAAATTTAGAAATTTTTGGTGTAATTTAGGTGTACCTTTGAAAGCTATGATCACAAAAAAGCTATACATACTCACCTGTCATACGTTTTTAGTGATGATAACTAAAAGCTTGCAGATGTAGATCCGATCGATAAAATAATTGCTCCATGTTTGTGTGACCCTGTTTTCACCGCAAACTACACTTGTTTCAGATGCGGGCCCTGATCGTCCTGGGCCTGGCCGTGGCGGCGGTGTCGGCCAGCTCCGACCCCGTCTCCGACTCCAAACACGACTCCGACTCCGACTCGGTGGTGGTCGATGGCCGGAACCTGAGGACCAGCATCCAGGCGGACGACGCTGGCTCCGCGCGGCACTATCCCGGCGGCGTGTACCCGGGCGGAGTGTACCCGGGAGGAGTGTACCCGGGCGGAGTGTACCCAGGCGGAGTGTACCCCGGTGGAGGCTATCCCGGAGGCATCTACCCGGGCTACAATCGTCCCTCCAACTGCAAGTGAGTCTGTACAAAATGTAGTTGATAATATGTTTTGGCTATGCAATTGATTATAGAGTAAGTTAGATCACTTTGTTTCATTTTGTTTGTTTATACTTCATTCTTGATCTTTTTTTACATCTTTTTTATCGGGCTCATATAATTCATTATCAGTGAAAATATCATTTACATTACCATAGATAATGGAAAGCAGGAGTCTGGTAGCTACCAGTCAACAAAGCTTCGCTGATTGCTCGCATCTCCGAGTCGTCACATATTAGACCTCGCTAGCGACAGCCGCTTTCTGCTACCTTCTGCGCGCCAGAGCGCCAGGTCCTGACGTGATTCAGACAGTCTCCGCTGGCACCGGCTTCTGTATATCCGTGCCCTTGACCTCGTCCGAGTGACATGAATATTTCATGAACATTTCTCATGCACGAACGGACCGATTGTGATGTAAACAGCGGTCCTGGAATAGCCTGGAGGTGCGGCTCATGGGAATCTCAGTCTCACAATCAAATGCTTAGATCCTTTGACTGGGATGGACTATGAATGAATCGACTATGCAAATTCCGTGTTGGCGTAGAAGCGCGGCAGCTGCCCACCTCCCCAGGCTTTAATTGAGATACATGTTTGTTAATCAGCTCTCTGGCTTGATCCTCGTGCCTTATTGCACTCGACGACAGCGCGATGACATCCCTCTCCCTTCCCCGACAGGAACTGGTGCCGTCGCCAGCCGGGCTACCTCGGCGGAGTGTATCCTGGCTACGGCCGTCAGCGCATCCAGTACTACTGCTGCGACCACTCGGGACCGGTTATCGTACCGCGGCCGTACCCCGTGCCGTACCCGGGGCCGTACCCTCAGCCGTACCCGGGACCGTACCCGCCGGGACCGTACCCGGGAGTCTACAGCGGCTCGAGCGGCACGGTCAACCCACCGGCGCCGCCCAGCACTGGCTACACTGGAAACAGCGGATACACCGGAAACAACGGATACACTGGCGGATACAACGGAAACAACGGATTCACCAATAACCGCTACACGACCTCTGGAACCAACAACTACGGAAACCGCTACACGGCTAACAACGGCTACAACACACTGGCCACATACCGTGGCAACAGTGAGTATGGGAATGTGGCGACGCTGGGCGGGGTCCTCGCACTCAACGGCGTTATCCACGACGAAATCCGAAAAACGCTCTAGGTCTGAGCCTAAGATACGCTGCGTCACTGATCAGTGAATATTTGACACATGTTTGCCATATTTTTATGATAATACGGGTCGTGGATCGTCAGCTTGGGTATTTGGTGGACCGCGTTCGCTGCTAGAGTTACTTGTTGTACTCGTATATGTTTCATGAGCTATGGAGGCGTGGCTCTACTAAGAGGCTCTGACGAGTGACGGGTAGTGAAGAAGCTTTCAAGAATACGCGATGGTATCGGGTACTTGCCTCGTGCGTAATGCGTAACTTTAGCTTTGTTTTGCTGTTAATTAGGCGGGTTACTTGGAGATGTGACGACTAATGCTTTTTGCGAAAGTGCTGTTTCACCCAGGTCGCCTCGCGCTTTCCCAATTTACTTTGCTTGCCACATTAATCAAAGCGTAGTTTTTACGTGTATTGGGTGGGATGCCTATTGATAATTAATGTGCAATAAAGTAACCGACAGAGCTCCGTACATTGTGCGCGTAGTTCAAGCGTAAGACATTGCATCTCTTATGGAAATCAAAACTTCCATGAACCAAAATCAAACATTGTGCACGGCGGCCGCCCTGTGACCTCGCCGCTGTGACCCTGCACCTCTGCTATGACCTCGCCGCTGTAACCCTGCACCTGGCTGCTCTGAGCCGCCCGGCCGCTGCGGCGCCGGCCGGCCGGCCGCCGGGCAGACGGCCCCATTGACGCAGCCCGCTGATGTTCGAGCAGGAGTGTGCCCCCCGCCGCGGCCCTACTGCGTGACGTCACGGAATTTCGCCTCGCCTCCGACCGAGTGCGCCGGCGACCACGAGTGCTCGGCGGTGGACCGGTGCTGCTTCGACACCTGCCTGGAGCACCGTGTCTGCAAGACGGCCGACATCGCCGCGCCCGTCGGCCCTGTGCCCTACTCCAACAGCGACCTGGTGCGACACGCCCACTCCGACATTCTGGCCGACGAGGACGGTGATGACGTCACTGATGACGCCACCGCGGAGAGTTTTGACGTGCGCGCGTCGTCGCCGAGCGACGTGCAGGGTCGCAGCGGCAAGGTCACGTTCGTGGACGCTGAGTAGGTGCGACTGGGTGAGCCGCCGGGTGGGCTGGTGAGCTGGTGGTGTGAGTTTGGGTACTTGTGGTGAGATAGAATCGCGAGTTGTGTGTTCGTCTAGTCTGAACCAGTTGCGGGCGAGAGAAGAGTCGATTATGTGTCTATGTGCCATAATGTGTGGCGAGGCCCTCAATTTTTTCACGCATTGCGTGGAAAATGACTGAAAACAGTCGCAGCATTGATGTGATATCGTTCCAATGGCAATCGAAATAATGAGAAGGTATTCTGTGAAATGCTTTCACTGCAGGAAGTAAGACTTCATAAAAGCTATGCGCCGAATGTTGGCACCAAGGACCATTTCCTCGTCTGGTCTCTACACCAGTAAATGTCAGTAGAAAGACTGCACACACTGACTTGTGGAACAATTTGCCGAAGTCGGTTGGTTTGACAGATCACGAACATGCGAGTCTGGGTGCGTCTGAGTAACGTTCATCGAAAAATATTGCTCTTCAGCACGTGTCATTGAATGATTCAGGTATTTATTATAAGTGATGTGGCGAATGGGTGGATGAACTGCTGCCTTCACGGTTGATAATAAAATACAATATGCAGATACTCATAACAATTGTGTATAAAATAGCTACCTATTGAACTAGTGCGCTGCCAAAAGCTCTATGGCAGTCGCCTCGTCGATTTATGCGTTATCAATGAATACACTGGAACATAAACCCATTTTTAGTAACAGTTTCGAAAAGTGGTGTTTTTATTAGCATTAATCCGCGCCGGGCCGGGGGTGTTTGAGCACCCCCCTGCGGTTTTTCGCAGATATCTCAAAAACGGCGGCGCGGAGCGCCGTCGTTTTCGGCACACCTGTGTGTGCATCTTTTCCGCACATGTTGTGAAAATTTCAGACCCAGGTCACCTTAGGTAAGGTCACCAGGTCACGCCAAGTGACCTCACCTCAGAAAAAAATAAGAATGCTCGTCATAGCTACACCGACTGATCGATTGCCTTGAAACTTTCAGCGATTGATAAGAGCAACATTATCTAAAAAATGTTTATCTCGGAATTTTGATATCGGTGACCTAAGGTCTCTCCATTATAAGTCAATGGGAGAAAATTGAAAAGCGTCTGTTTTGCACGAACGCCATTCTAGACACTTTCAAACATCGAGATGTAGGTAGAATTGACACACTGAACCGGAAAATGGCAACCGTGACCCCTCGTTATGTCCCCGAGGTCATCTCAGTTCACGAACAGAATCTAACAGTTTTTCGCTAATAACTTCTAATAGAGGCGTGCTAGAGCGCTGAAAACGCTATAGCTGTGTTCGGCTCGACGTTGCGGATCGACTGATATGCAACATGACCTTTTCCGGTCAGGTCATGACCTTGACCTGAGGTCAACTTTTCAAGTTGACCGTTCAAGGTTAAATTGTAGTTCATTCGACGCGTCTCGATAAGAGGAACACGATGCTGACAAAAGTAATGTCATGGCTCTTTTGAGTCAAAAGTTATTGCCGAAAAAACGCTTTTTGTAAAAACGGCTATTTTTTAGTTTTTGCCCTCTCTGGACTCTGGAGGCTAAACCGTTGACCTGAGGTCAAATCTGAGAACATTTCTCAGAAAGTTCTGTAAAAAGGCTATCAAATGCGTTTTTCCGCGGCACTGTAGCGCTATCGGTTCTCGAGATCGCCGTCGGCAGTTTCCAAAATGTTGAAATAGCATTTTACCTTTGGTGACCTCTGGTGACCTGACCTTTGACCTGACCCAAAAAATGACCGAAGTGTTTTCGTCCTTATTTTGGACGTTCTTTCGATTGCCGCTTACCGCGTGTCGCTACGTGGCCCAGGAGCCGAGTTAGAAGGGGTGAGTGTTCAGACCCCCTCCCCCCCCCCCGGCCCGGCGCGGAATCTCAGAGCACCGGCCCGGCGCGGGTAAATCAATGATACCGTCTGGCGTCTGATGATATGACAAAGCAGGCATATATAGCAATTAGGGCAACCCTAGCTGATAGCTGCACTGAACCTAATTTGACCAAATTTGCACCAAATTTGACCCTAATGTGCACCAAATACATATGTACCAGATGGCCGTTGTGAAAACGGCTATTGTCGGTATACGAAGATTTGAGTATGCTTTTCATTTAGCACCATCCTACTGGCCGTAACAAGTCCTCAACAGAGCTCGTAAAACCATGCCTATGATTTCAAGAATATCTGGAATAGTTCTTCATTAAAAATATTGCGTTCTTACATTTTTAAGACCATCAAGCGATTGTTACAAAAAACATCATTGGAATCAGCTCACCGTCAGCTTTCGAATGGTATTATTGCACTTATTTTGTACATCACATGACCTTACGACGGACCATGGATGGTGAGGTCACGTGACCGACCTGACCTCAGCTGACCCTTAAAACACTGAAATTGAAATTCATGATCTGAAGATATTTGCTGTAATAAAGATTTGGTGCAGATTTGGTCAAATCAGGCGCATTCGCCAGATGGCCCGTCGTGAAGAAGGCAAATAAGGCTAAATGTACCTAGATATAGCTCAGTCTCACGATGGAACATACGTAGAATAAACCCAGGAGGTGAAATGACCCTTATCAACAGTATCTGTTCCGCTGCGCACTGATCAGTCAGTGATTTTTCTTAAATAAAATATCGTTATCTTACCTAGAAGATGGTCAATCATTTGATGTTCGACTCTATCGGTACAATCCTAGGCACACAATTCTGAAGAACGGTTCTGACCGTTCTGACAGAAGAATGCTGACAGAAGTGCGCCTTATTGAGGAGCTTTACGAAATCTTTGCCTCTGGCAATTTTCCAAACCAGATTTTAATCCGGCAAACTTCCGCGCGACCGTGACCCACTTGGCAGTGGACCCGCCGGTGATAAAGGTAAGCGGTGCGGCGGCTGATGCATTGGTGAACAGAGATCTGGCGCGCTCAGACAAGGAACGGTGCAGTCCGCGAACTAACGTCAGATTACCAGAGGTAAGTGATGCCGCGAGGCCGTGACGAGTTAATACGTATGATGATGTGGTGCCTTGAATGACATTTTTATCGTTTGCACAGCATAGCTAAAATCGAATGCCTTTTCATGAATTTATTATGTAAAAACCAGAATAAAATATATCAGTCCTCATCTACAGATTGTTGAATAACTACCGAGGCCCAGCATCTATTTTACATTGGCCGCCCGTTACAGATGCTGCGCCTCTCTGCACTGCTGTGTGTGTGTCTGGCTGCGGCCGGGTCGGCCATGAGCCCCCAGGCGGCCAGCGCCGACACCCCGCAGAACACCCCGGGTCTGCTGGGTCTGCTCGGAGGGGGTCTGCTCGGCGGCGGCGGACTCGGCGGCGGACTCGGCGGCGGCAGATTCGGCGGACTCGGCGGTGCGGGGCTCGGCGGAATCGGCGGGTACCCGTACCGTCCGTACCCGTACGGCGGACTGGGCGGAGGATACGGCGGGTACGGGGGCTTCGGGTACCCGTACCGGCCGATCGGCGGTTACCCGTACGGCGGCGGCTACCCGGGCGTCTACCCGGGATTCGGCGGGTACTCCGGGTTCGGAGTGCGCCCCCCGTTCGGCGGCGGACTGGGCGGAGTAGGCGGAGTAGGCGGACTGGGCGGAGTAGGCGGCGGGTTCGGACCCGGCGGGTTCCTATTCGACGATAACAGCGCAGCACAGACCAGCGCGTCAACGTGAGCAGCGTGCCGACAAAACGACGACGCATCGCATTCATATGGGTGCTCAGTGAGTGTTCATCTCATTTTTGTGAAGTACTTGATGGTTTGTCTGAACCAAAAGTTACTTCGGTAACGTACAATTTAACCCGCGCATGATGGGGTATATTCCATAACGCGAGTGACTGGGGAGGGGGGGGGGGGGGGGCTAGAGAGCTCCTTTTTATTTCCGAAGCTACTGGTCCGATCTTCAAAATTAAAAGGGTACTTGATACCGCTGAAAAAACTGTCGGGCAAAAACTGATTTCAAATACCGTAAGGTCACCGACAACGTCACATGTCATTGCAAAGTCAACATTATCAACAGTTAGGTATGCTTACACTTCAGGCTATGCTGATGATACACTGTGGGTACTGAGCTTGTAGTACAAAGTAGTATTTTTTGGCTCAAAGAATCACGATTGGTCACGGAACTTTAACCCTCGCCGGACCTATTGGTTTTCTACATACGCGCCGGCCGAGGGGGGGGGGGGCGGGTACGACCCCCCCCCTCGCCGTTTCGCCCCTGGTGGAGCTAGCGCGTCGCGGAAAAAACGAGCGTGTGCGCCGTTACGAGACGCAGAGATTGGTACCCGATTTTAAGGTCCTAGGTCAACCGGTGACCTCTGAGGTCAGGTCAAGTGCCCCAAGGTACGGTTCAGTTTTTGGTGAATAACTTCGCAAAAAACGGCCGCAGAGCGCCGATTTTGGCAGCATCGTGTTCGTCTCGCTCAGGCGCGTCGAATGATATACTTTTTGTCCGGGTCAGGTCAACTTGGGGTGTTGACCTCAGGTCAAGGTCAGGTCAGCACCCCCAGGTCACGAAGTTGGTCGAAAGAGGTCATGTCGCATATCATTCGATTCGGCAGGTCTTCCTGAGTCCATTGGTGACTTTCCCGACTCGCTAGCTCAATTTGATCAAGAGTTATTGACGAAAAACTAATATGACCTTGATGACGTCATAAATGACGTCACGCAAGGTCAACATTGCAAAAGTGACGCATCTAACCTTGCAAGGAGTGCATAAAATCACGATTCTGTGTGCTTGAGATAGTTGGAGATCGTTCCCGGCGCCAGAATAGCAGTTTTCATTTTTCCCCATTGACTTATAATGGTGAGGTCACGAAAATGACCTGACCTCATATGACCTTTAGGAAAAATCCGAGATATACAAGTTGCGGGACTCATAATGGATACTAGATCCTGCGAGTTTCATTTCCCTGTGACATCTCCTCTGGCAGTGAGAGCGTTGCGAAGTTGCGACATCTGAAGACCGTGCAGAGGTTCACTTATGACGTCATAGGTCAGTGACCTGACCTGACCCAAAAATGCGGTTGGTGTCAAAAGATGCGGCTTGGATCAAAGGTCAGGTATGCCAAGTTTCAGCTCTCTATCGCCAGCGTGTTCGGAGCTATCGCGAAAAAACCCTATGGGGGGGGCGGCACCCGCCCCCCCCCTCGGCCGGCGAGGGTTAAGGCTTGTATAAGTCATGTGCAGTGAAACATGTTTTATGGTCCATTTTGGGCAAAAAAAAATCGAAAATATTGTCGTTTGTGCCATCCGAAATCATTTCAGATGGCTAAAGCGAAGTTCGGATCACGATCAGGTAAAAATGTTAGAGTTTAAAATTGATTTATTTTTCCCAACAAACAGGTGCCTATCACATGCAGTTTGGGCTCAGAAACACGATGGGGCTATTTGGTTTGGTGTATGGCGTACGAAACGTACTGAAAATTGCATTAGAATTAGGGTGAATAATTGGCTTCGGTGAAACGTAAAAGAGGATAACTTGGTTATTTTTTAATTTGTCGGCATAAAACCTTCTAAAGTAAGGCATAGGTCTTTGCTTTATCAAATAAATTCCGTTCTTTTTTAAATCAAAATTTACAGGTCAAATTTTTAAAATATTGTTTTTTTGTGCATTTCCTCTAAACTTTTCACAGGTTAGAAAAAATGAGGCATTTGATAGCCCCGTGTATTTCATGTCATTTCATGTAAACAAATTGTTGCTTCCTTTTAAAAACTGAGCTCTATAGAGCGATTGCAATAAGCACATGTTTTACATAAAAATCAATTAAAACATGACGTCACTCTAACCTCATTTTAGGCCGACATGTGATAGCTCCAAACTTCATCTTCGCACAAAAGGTGCCAAGTTGTTGTAGCGGAGGACCGAAAATTTCATGTCGATACATTCAGCAGTGTTGAAGATATTGCAAAAAAAAAAAACGGGAGGGGGCTGTGTAGAATGCCCCCGCAATGCGCTGATTCACGATGACGAGTTAGTCATGCGACACCAATTATGTTTCCAAATCATAAATTCAGAACGACTTTCAGTTGGACGGTTAACCTAAAGGCTAAAGCTATTGAACAGTAAAATCAGTTGATTTTATCAGTCTGTGATATATGTAGGTATGTGCACTTATTTGCATTCAAATAGCAAACGGGTCGAAGCCAAAAATGCCAAAAATAAGCCAATCGGCTCGTAGGAGTCTTGCGAGAGCAAAACCCTTCGCAGCTAGCCTGTGCTCTTTTATCTGTACATATTCATCAGAACGGCAAAATGACATGAAAAGGATATTTTTTTTTTTTAAATGAGGGCCAAAATATCCCAGTACAAATGAAGCCTATTAGCAACTTCTAAAGCGTACAGAATTAGAAGCAATGAGTGATATTCATTCCGAATAAGCATACCTATTCAATTCTTAATTTAAATTGGGTTGGTTTAGACATTACGATTCTTATGTTGTTAACATGTTTTTTTTATACATTTGTTTAGTGTGACTTCCTCCTTGAACACTTACTCGAGCGCTTGAATGAATTTCTCAGATATGCATTAAAAGGTTTGTGGGTAGGTATGTTTTCGTGCAATGTGTATTTATGTATGAGCGATATATAGCGAGCCTGCGTCATGTGATAGTGATATTTATATCTACATTAGGGGTACCCATTTTTCCCGATTTTGGAAATTTGTGGGTGGGGGTGGTTTTTCCCATTATTTCCCGGCTCCTGATTCCAATGGTGCCAAAAATATTGAAATCAAAGGTGGTTTAGGGGTCGCGAATTGAGATTGAAATTTGCGTATTTACCTAGAAATATGCTTATTTCACGCTGATAGTAAATCGCAACGAAGGCAAACTTTTTGTTTCGAGAGTCGGGTAGAGGGGTCATTGGACGCTCCCTTTTCATCCAGGTCGATGTGCTCCATCACGTGCTTACGGTTCAATGCTTTACTAGCGTTCATTACAATGTCGATATTGTAACATTTGGTGAAAAGCGCCGGGATGTTTTGCTCCTGTTGCTGGTATCATTCTGGTCAGCGTGCAATCATTTTTGATATTTTCTTTTTGTGTTGCATTAGTGACCTTTGATGACCTTTGAGGTCAAACTAAAATGTGAAGTTTCAGAACTGCCATATCTCAGTTCATGACAGGCTCTTTGTGTCCATTATACAATTCAAGTTTGTGCAAATTAGCTCAGGATACATCTGACAGATCATGGCTCCGAATGTATTTCAAACCATGTAATTCAAAAACGATCAAACCATTTCGACCGTATACTTCCACAAGAAACGCCGTCCTGTTCGCTCACGGCTACGATGTAATACACCTTTAGACAGGGTAGGATAAATACCTATGGGTGTTCTATACCAAAAAAATCAACTTCTGATCCAAAAACAGAAACTCCCAAAGAGTCGATTCTATCCATGCCCACCAACCATGTACCATTTCATTTCTTCGGTGGGGACAGATACACACCGTTCATGTAAGAGTTTCCGATACAATCCGATCACTTACGAGTTCATATTAATTATTCGACACGGGGGACTAGCCATGCGCTGATACGTGCACGGTTGATAGGTATGTGACGAAGAACTTTCACGGCTTCTGGCACAGATCACTTGTGATCTCAGGTAATTAGCGTCTGAATCTGAAGAACCTATAATGTAGCAGAAGATTTTCATCCTGCATGGGCCGTATGGTGGCACCAGGACGCATCATATAAAGGAGTATGCGTGCAAAGGCTGAAGAGGAGGAGAATCAGGTCCGCCACCATAAGGTCCGTGGCCCACCCACTGTGTCGGCCCCCAGGCAATGCCAAGAGTCAGTAAACGGTTCTGCCTCGGAGTTGGCTGAGTCGTTTAGACTTGGTACCTTCCTAATTCTCAGCTTTAGGCAATGCCATTCGACTTCAGTTCAGCACCATCTGAGGGTTTGGACTGGGCCTGTGACTTGTGAGTGCAGCGTAAGATCCGTTACTTTATCTTGCAAGGATACTGCTGACAGCGGCCATCACCAGGCACTAGTTCCATGACATGATATCTGCACCCGTCTCATGTCAACAGCTGCTTGTAGTGGCACATGCCCAGAACTGGAGCCACGAGCAGTCGTGCACGCGTTCGGCCAGGCCAGTGCTGTCCGTCATCAGCAAGATTGCAAACATATTGCTTTCATAATGGGGTGAGGATGAAGTTCATTGTTCCTCTCCTCCTGTGATGTTCTCCGCCAGCTGTCTTTCCATATGCACAATCGCATTCTGTGTGTGGTTGTGGGTGTTTGTGGGGGAGGGGCAAAGCTACACTCAAGCACAGCGGTCACCCAAAGGCGCGGTGGTGTAAAGCTTGCGCCCCTCCCTCTGCCGTCTCTGCAACTCCGGGACTCGGGGAGGTCGTCTAGCGAATTGGAAAAGGTCATGCATACCGGCATAGCTTAGTGCTGTTTTTATGTCTTTGTAGATATATTTGGTGCTCTCTTTTACCGCTGTACGTCAAATATACAACTGAAGTATGTAGTGTTGCACGGTGTCCAACAGTCATCAATACCACTGCAACACATTGGCTTTGCATATTTATAGTCGTTAAAATGAAGTCATTTTTCCAAGTAAAATTAAAACTTCCAATGCAAGCTCGCGACCCCTAAAAGTAGTCTGATATCGTTATTTCTGTCACTGCTAGATCGGCAGAACGGAGCAAAAAATGATACCATCAACCCCAAACTGTTGACATGGTAACCTTGTCCCAACATAAAATAATGTTAATTTGGTCGATTTTCCGCTAAAATTGACATTTTCATTTTGAATTCGTGACCCCTAGAAATCGTTTGGTTTCGTTATTTTTTGGCACAGATGGAATCAGAATAGACCAAATAATGGGAAAATTGACTCCAACCTGTGCGCATGGCAACCTTGTTCCAAAATAAAATAACATTATTTTGGTCAATTTTTCGCTAAAATTGGCATTTTCATTTTGACTTCGCGACCCCTAGAAATCGTTTGATTTCGCTATTTTTGGTACAGATGGAATCAGAATAGACCAAATAATGGGAAAATCCACCCCCACCTAAAATTTGGAAAATTGACCCAAAAATGGGTACCCCTAATCTACATGTGTGCGCTGTCCATCCCGATCTAAATATCAACACTGAACACAGTGATGAGTTGGTGGTGGTGATTGTATTGCATGAATATTTGTAAAACAATGACCTATTCAGGGTGATCATTCGGAATGAAATAAAGTAATACGTCATTACTACACTTTGTTTACACTCAGCATAGCAACGTGGCACATCATTAGAAAACGCAGTTGTTTGGCATTTGATATACATATAAAATAAAATAAAATAAAACGAAGTCGTTCAGTTCGACCTTCGATCCTAGCATGTGTTCGAAATTACCACCCTGTTTCGGTTAATGCATGGCTCCGCTCGACCCTATAGGAGCGGTATGTTAGCAGCTGCCTCTCCCTGATGTTGCGGGCAAATTAATCCACTATGCCATTCAGTTGTCTCAAGAATTGGAACCTACGACGAACAACTTCGTCTTGAGCCTGTAGCTAGAAACTCGATTTGAGGAAGTCGGGTCGAAACTACGCGAAAACCAACAATGTTTCGTGTTGAGCAAACATGTGCATGGATCCGAGAAAACGGATCTGGGATCTGATCCCACGGATCCTGATCTTGGATCCGTCAGTATCATAGATCCAGCTCTTCAATTTATCGAGAGATCCGAAAGGATCATAGACCAGAGTCTATTTTTTTTTTTGCTTGAAATCCAGTGAGATCATAGATCCTCGTTTAGGTACTTGTTGTTAACCCAGAAATCCCAGAAAATCACTTGTCGCAACTCACAAACGTTCTGTTTTAGAGAGTTTATGTGACTACACGTCATAACTCATAATGCATAGTTGTGTGGCACGTATTGACATAGAAACTCTTGGAAACCTGGTTTCAAATGTTGTGCATGGTGGGATCCACTCAGATCATAGATCCATTTTTTATATTGGTTTATCGCCAGATCCTATCAGATCATAGATCCAGATTAAATTTTTCACGACGGATCCGGTGGAATCATAGATCCTAACCTGCAGTTTGCTTCGAGATCCACTGAGATCGTAGATTCATCACTCGGATCCATGCACATGTCTGGACTGTTGAGCGCCTTCTCTTCTGACGATGCCTTGCGACGAAAGCTCATTCGACGTTTCGGTCTTCCCGGTTGCTAAAATAATACATTTGTGCCATATTAACCCGCGCCCTGATGCAGATGGGGTCTGCCGAGCAACACGCCTTGATGGGGGGCGGCATTTTGGCCCCCCAAGATCTCGAGAACCACGCAACATAGCGACAAGCAGAAAACGGCGTTGGATAGCCCCAACGGAGAACTACCTTGTGACCCAATTTCATTGATCTCAGTCTAACCGAAGACATCACAGTTCGGGTCAAATGTCGAAGTTTCATCGTTTACAGGTATTTCAAGAAATACGTTGTAAAATCGAGTAAAATACATAACATTGAAAATCATCGATAGAGAATTGTCCATAAAACGCATATTTTGCTATTTGAGGTCAATGATATAGGGGTCAAGTCACAGAGGGTCAAAATATGTAAATATCATGTGATACCTAATTTATGTTCCATTTTACATGACAAATACGACTATGTGGGTCAGGCAGCCTTTGGGACCAGTTTAAGTTATGTTCTGGTGAAGGTCAGGTCAAATAAGGTCAAATTTCAAACTTGATATTTTTGCATAAAATGCGTACCTATTGATTCGATGCAGCTCGTCACGGGGAGTATAATGGTGGTCTTTGTTTTGCGCTACGTGGTCTAGAATTGCTAAAAATTGACTTCGAAAATTTGACGTCATCAATCTTTAAGTTTTTTTTTCGCTTAACCCGCGCCGTGCTGGGGGGGGGGCGTTTTTACGCCCCCCCCTCAGGTTTTTCGCGAATATCTCAAAAACGGCGGCGCGCAGCGCCGCCGTTTTTGGTACACGTGTTCCTACATCATTTCCGCACATGTTGTGAAAATTTCAGACCTAGGCCGTTCAAGGTCAGGTCACCAGGTCACGTCAAGTGACCTTACCTCAGAAAAAGTTCAAAGGCTCGCTATAGCTACACCGACTGAACGATCACTTTGAAACTTTCAGCGATTGATATGAGTAACAGTATGTATAAAATGTATATCTCGGATTTTTGATATCTGTGACCTAAGGTCAGGTCAATTTTGCGACCTCTCCATTATAAGTCAATGGGAGAAAATTGAAATGCACCTCTTTTGGACGAATATCGTTCAAAACGCTCTCAAACATCGGTTCATAGGTAAACATGACACACTGAATAGGAAAAATGCACCTGTGACCCCTCTGTGTGCCCCTGAGGTCATCTCAGGTCATGAACGGTCGCCAGCAGTTTTTTGGCTATAACTTTTGATAGAGACGTGCTAGAGCGGTGAAAACACGTCAGATGTGTTCAGCTCGACGATACGGATCGACTGATATGCAACATGACCCTTTTCGGTCAGGTCATGACCTTGACCTGAGGTCAAATTTTCAAAATGACCTTTCAAGGTCAACAAATAGTTCATTCGACGCGTCTCGACGAGAGGAACACGATGCTGGCAAAAGTAATGTCATGGCGCTTATGAGTCAAAAGTTATTGACGAAAAAACGTTTTTCGTAAAAACGGCTATTTTTGGAGTTTTTGCCCTCTGGAGGCTAAACCGTTGACCTGAGGTCAAATCTGAGAACATTACTCAGAAAGGTCTGTAAAAGGGCTATCGAATGCGCTTTTCCGCGGCGCTGTAGCTCTATCGGTTCCCGAGATAGCCGTTGGCAGTTTCCAAAATGTTGAAATAGTCAACATTTTAACTTTGGTGACCTCTGGTGACCTGACCTTTGACCTGACCCAAAAAATGACCGAAGTGTTTTCTTCCTTATTTTTGACACTCTTTCGATTGCCGCTTACCGCGTGTCGCTACGTGGCCCAGGAGCCGAGTTAGACGGGGGGGCGTGAAAACGCCCCCCCCCCCAGCACTCGGCGGAAAGTTCAGGCCACCAGCACGGCGCGGGTTAATAAGGCCAAAAAAGGAGTTATCGATCTAAAACTTGGTATGTAGATAGAAGAGGTTAGGAACTATCATACCTATGTAGGTATTCCGTTTTGTTTGACATTCGAATTTTTTTTGCTATTAAAAAAAAAAACAATCATTTTTTATTTTTGGTGGTCAAAATCACAAAATTTTGACAATCCGAGACAGCAGTTTTGTAGCGCCGTCTTTTCTCTACACGACCATATAAAGAACTTTGAAATTGTTCGGTAACTGTAGCTTTTGTCAGCGTTTCAAGACTTCATGTCTTTTGCTCATTTTTGCTCGAACATGACCTCAGTTTGACCTCAATAACTCCTGACCTATGATATGACCTATGACTAAATTTTGTATGAATTGAATAGCGGAAAACGGCGGCGCGTCACTATTCAATTCATACAAAATGAATAGCGCCGCTCTCGCCCCTCCCTCGGTAGGGGCTCATGTAGAAAAACGATAGGTTAGGCAAGGCTTGAACGGATCCCCCCTCAGGTTTTCCCAAATAACTCGATCAAAAAGCGGCCGATCGCAACGAAACTTTCAGTAACCTCGAGTTGATCAATTAGACACCTACCTTGAAAATGTCATGATCCTGATCCAAATGACCCTTGACCTGTGACTGCGAGAACCTATTCAAATACATTATAACTCTGCCCGCATCAATCGCATGCCGAAGGTGCGTGCGATTGATGCGAGCGTGCTTTCATGCATTTGAATAGGCTCTCGCATGCGATTTCCTGACCGCGGAGAGTCTGATTCAGGGTCTAATGACCGGAGGGATGCTGGACGTTTCAGCGGAATGTCCGACAAAACAAAAAGACGCATGCCAGTTGCCACTACAAAAACTTTTCGGTAATTATTTAGACGATCAGGGACAAGTTGGAAGGATATTCTGTCAGAACAAAGGCAAACTGATTAAGACGGATTTATTTTTTTATTCCTCGAGTATTTTTTAGCCACTGTTACCTATCTATACTAATTTATATGGTACATGATTCCTACAAGCTAAGTCATTCACACTGTTCACATACACACCTCTACCTACATTAACGCAAAAACCTAATCGCGAATTTGTAAAACAAAACAAAATAGCTATTCAATAAAAACAACAAATTACATTAGTACGTGTAACTATGAGCTGCCACAGGCTCGTAACGGCCCCCTCCCCTCCGTCAATAATAACCGTTCCATATCACTGAGCTACTATCCCGTGACACTCCTCGGCCACTGATCACTGCTGCATCACCTCCGGGCGCGGCCGACTCTGACCCCTGTGACCTTAGCTGGCCCGAGGGGCGACCCCGCCTGCCCCTCCCGGAGCGAGTGGCCCCCGGCGGCCGGTCGCGATCGTAGCGACCTCTACAGCAGCCGTCACTTGAGGAGGCCGCCGGCGGCCAGCCGGCCAGGTGCCGTCGAGAATTTGACCGCACGTTCTCAGCATAGTCGATCCGTGTTTGGGCTTTTCGAGCTGCGAAACGTCTGGAGCGATTCTGAGGCGATGCACTGCTGGAGGGCTGTGACAGGGAAGCCATGCGATTTTCCGTAGCTGCGTCATCCTCCGGTACATTTTCATGTGATATTTCCTCTGCAGACCGCTTCCTTCTCCGTACTGTCGCTCCGAATTTCTTTCCTTCCAATACTGGATCGCCGGAATTCCTTTCGACTGCGGTCTGCGTAGGTCGAGAGACAAATATAGAGGTCTGACCATTGTCAACCGAGCTAGTGGAAAATGATTTATGAATAGGGCGGGACCGTTGAGGGCGGTTACCCGCCATGGTTGTGTTTAAATCATATTTGCAAATTTAGTAGGATGGTAGTATGCCGGGTTACTGAGATGTTAAAGCCACGATGTTGACCTCATGGCCACCCGACCTAATTAAAACGAAGAAGTAATTACAAAAAGTGGCACGCACTCGGTCGCACGTGTAGTTTCTCCAGTAGGCGCTGACAAAATGATGGTTTTTGGAAACTATCGGTGCAAAATAATCATTCAACCAAATTCATTCTCATCAGTCAAATTCAAGAATCACCACAGTAAAACGCAATGCTATTGAGACATAATTTTTTACTACTTCATACAACATATCCTACAGAATATCCATACAGAGTCGCCTCATACCGAGCACTCGCGTACAAATCACGTATAAATTGTAAAAAACGCAAGCACCGAAAGCACAGGCATGAACAAAACATAACCTCTCAAGTTGTACGTCCAAATGAAGATGGTCCACCCGCGGCATCCAGCCGCGGCCACAGCGCAAAACCGCCGGCAAAACAATCTCACAAATGAGTTATACCTTCCAAAAACAACACCAACTGAGCCCCGCCCAATCGCGAGCTGGCAAATCATAAAGCCACTAAACGTGATTGTCCTTCTGACAGGAGTTCATATGGCGAGTGAGACGCAACTATTGCTTTCGAGAGCGCGTGAGACGCGGGCCGGCCGCCGGGCGCCCCCACCGATGCGGGTTTCGGTAGAGGCCGGCCGACCGTGACTAGATGCGCCTCACACTTTGATTTCGTGAGATTCCGATAGGTGAACCGCGCCCGGCCACGCGCGAGATTCCGATGAGTATGGCTAGCCACCACCAGCACTGAGATCCCGCAATTCGATGGCCTTCGTACAGAACCACTGGCGCGACGGCCTTCCGCGTAAAGCGCGCGCGGTTGGCACCAAAAAACAAACACATCCAGCGGCGGCGCAGCGCGCACATAGAGAGACGAGGCGCGGCGCGGCGCGCCAGACACGCCGCCGACACGAGCCGCTGAGCAGAGGGCGCCGCCGGCCAGCGTATCAAACGTAGAAAACGGCAACACTGGGCGCCCGCCCCGACCGCTCACTGACCAAAACACTCGGGCCAACCGGCCGCTCGCACACCGCTCTCCGCCTCACACGCGCGCCCACACGACATACAGCGAAACAGCAGGCAGGCAGGCAGGGAGCGGGGAGGGAGGGCAGCGCGCCGAGGGCGCATTGTCGCCGGCCGCGCCGGCCACCGCGCGGGCCCGGCGCGCGATACACCGCTGAGATCTGGCCAGCCGAGTGGCAGTCTGGAATGCTGGCCCTCGCGGGCCGTCATGACTCTTCTCATGGCATGTCACGGCGCTCGTCACCCTCCTAACCGAGTCCCGAGCGGGCTCCAGAACCGCCGGCGGGCTGGCGACTCCCATAGAGTAATGAGTCCACATTGAGTGATGAACCTATCGTGTCCCTCGGACCCTCACTGTCACCGAGCTATAGAAATGAGTCCCGGCAGCTCAGTGACTCAAAACTGACCGCGTGTCGCCAGAGAGTACCCAGGAGTCCTCAGAGGTCCCGAGTCCTCTCCAGGGCGCTCCTCAGGGCTCCTCGTCCTCCTCCGACTCGCCGCGGCCGTACATGTCCGCCAGCTTGGAGAAGCGCGGCCCCCAGTTGTTCAGATAGTCGAAATCCTGCTCATTCTCGTCGGTGCCTGCGAAATCCGGGGGAGGCCAGGTTCAAGGCGCGGGATTGGTACGTTTCTAAGCAAGAAGAATACACAACAGTGGAAAGAAATTGCTCGATAAACAGACAACTCATAATTACATTACGAAGTAACGATTACGAGTACGTCCGAAACGCAGACATAATGGGAGACAAATTTAGGCAAGCTTAGGCAACACCAAATCTGATGACCTAAAAAGCTGAACAGAACGGACCACAGCCACATTTATATCACATAGATAAAGAGGACACAAAACAAATCGCCATGTGACCATCTATGACAGTCTCCCTAAACTGACACCGAGACGGACAGCCTTCAGCTTTGTACAGCGTACGAACACATACGGCTGGTACCCCGCCCAGCGAGTGAGGTGCACTGCATGCTCTGTGTGGTGACCAGGTACAGATATGTGCGCGGGAGAGAGACCAGTGGCGTCTGGGCCAAGTCTCGGCGAACAGTGAGCGAGAACCAGGCCAGGAAGAGTATGAGGCATTGGAGTGTGGTAGGAGTGGAAGAGGAGCATAAAATAATGACGTAAGGCGAAAAGAAGAGGTTGGAACGTGGCCAGAATAACAGCAGGAGGATGGGAAGTCGGGGAAGTATTTGGAATCCGCAGGCTTATGTTAGTGTTACACGCATGACTGATTGTCCTTGTTGTACGGTACAAAACAACTGCGTGATCGGTAGCCCTCCAGTATTGCGACAGAATACACGGAGAAAGTTGTAGTAAAGCAGAACAGAACACAGAGAGCACCACTGACTGCGAAGTGAAGTGAGGGATATGCCTTTATTTACACAGTTTTGTGAGGCCGTTACATTCTTCACAATAAACTACGCAGTCTCTATTGCATACTCTGGAATATAACATTGTCTAAATAGACTAAAGGCCGCCCCACACTGGACCTCGCATGCGGGTTGCGGGTTTGCGGGTTTTCAGTTTGCGGGCATAATATTAATTCATAGAGTGATTAGACCGTTCCCTTATGGTAACTTTATGAATGCAGTGAAGCCGGTACACCTTCAGAAACTTACATATAGTCGCAATACCAGCGCAACGAACCAAAATTCGACTCCAACGAAAAACCCGCAAACCTCGCAGAACTCGCAGACCTCGCAGCGAGGAAAATCGAAAGTTGACCCAAAACCAACTTTTGGAATGCGATGCAAGGTAGCTCGCAAGCTAAAAACATGCAGACTCACTTGTCAGATGGTAGTGTGGGTCACTCAGCTTATATTGTATAATTAAATTTTGAAGAAACCCGAAAATCCAAAAACCCGCAACCCGCATGCGAGTTCCAGTGTGGGGCGGCCTTAAAGCGGACTTTCTTGCATGCAGACAAATCACTGAACTTAAAGACAAATAATGAGCACAGGCAGAATTCGTCTCGTCCGATAATATGAATATCATTGTATCGAGAAAACAATCACGTGCATAATGCATACTATATCCATTGCATGGACCGAAAAAAAATCTTTTGAATTATTGCCATCACTCCCTTCCGCATACCAGAGCCAACAAATCTTAAGTTGGCACCTGTTTGTAAATTCATTAACCCAAAGGTATGGCCAGGACTTTGTTCATACGGCATCTGTATCAGCAGAAAATCGATATAAACACAACGGGGGCTCAAGCCATCGATCTACGGACTGGATAATGTGCGCGTTAGTGCTGTGTTGCGTATTATGGTTCGACTAGGTGACAGCACTGTCCATACTACTCCTCCAATATAAACATCAGGTCAGACATGTAAGGAAGGTTGGCAGAGAAATACATGGTATGAAAAGGATAAGGAAAAGAAGACTGGTTTGTTACATCTATGCCGGAGGGAACATACATGAACGACGGAATAAACAGAAAAAAGGACAAACACGAAAATCATCCTAAACATGGCAAAATAACATGAAAAATGGACATTGATATAGAATAAGACTGCTAAAATAACAAATTACTGCAGCTGGTATAACTAAGGAAGCGGAGACAGAAGGAGAATGGATATCGACAAGACAGACGTGGCGGTGCAAGTGCAGGGCAGTGACGTGGCACGATCAGCCAACTGACACCTCTACCAGAGCGTGCGAGCAAGAAAACGTAACCAAACACACCGACAAACACAAAACAAACAGAGCACGGCCGACAAAGAACAGAGCGGAGCGGTGCGGGGCCAGCGAGCGTGTCGGGCGGGCGGGCGGTCGACCCAACAGTACCTAGACTACTCGGAGAGGCCTGTCGGAGAGCGAGAGGGAGAGACAGAGAGCGCCGGTCAGCCAGCGGTCGGTGGGCGCCGCGCGGTGCGGCGCGTCCCGGGGCCCGTCCCCTACTGTGGGCCGGCCACCCGCCCGCCCACCCGTCCGGCGCCATGGCAGCGCCCGGTGCCAGAGCCCGTCCAGCGCTAAACCAGTGACTTCAGCGCCTGCCTATCGCCTGCCAGCGGGGTCTGATGACCTCTGCTGACCGGCCGACCACCGCTCACCGAAATGGCAGAACATAGCTGGCCGAAATAATACTAGCTCCCATGCCAAATCGTCTCCTGGAGATTCTATCACAACTGCAACCCGATCTAAATAAAAATTTGGCAGCCGTTCAAAGGTTTACGCTCTTACGGGCTTCAGCAGTGTAACTATTGTGGTGTTCACAATTTTGCGCTATTTTAGGCTAGTGCGCCAGGTGACGAGGGTTTCAGGGGAGTTTTCGAATTCAGATACTTGTCCCTTAAAAATCAGCGTTATCTACTGGCTGGCTGACTAAAACCTCTTCCAGCCCGGACAACGGTGACGGGTAACTCTGTCACCTTGCCGCCCTACTCCCTAACCAAGGTCTCCGAACCAGTGTAATCAGCGGTGGTCGGCCGACGTGTACCCGAGCCAGGATGACCCGGCAAAGTTGCGACAGGCACATAATTCAGACAGATCAATATTTGTCTGATTGTGTCTACTCGAAGCATTATTTAAATATGGTGTTTGTGAAAACACGAGATGAGAAACAGCACCTCAAAATGTACTAAACAAAAATGGGTCGCCGAAGCAAGGTCGCAGCACAGCCCGCAACCCCACACAGCCAAAAAATATCACGAAAATGATTGGCAAACAAGGACACGTCATGACAGCGCTAGGCTATTTATTCAACTCTAAATAGCCAGCACTCGCCACCATATGCACGAGTAAAGCGATCGTGACCCCTGCCAAGTCCATGCCAAACCGACACAGACGGGTGGTTGCAGTGCCGCGGCTGATCTCAGCGTCCCGAGACGGATCATACAGCCACCAAAACGGACCGCCCGGCCTCAGACAGGTGTGGGTGCGATGATCCACCACTGTCCACATGTGGAGGGCCCTCCACACGTGAACAGACCGTCCACAGTCCACTAACGGACCCGCCCGGCCGCAGACAGGGTGGTAAGCAGGGGCGTCGCCGACGGGGGGGTCGGGGGGGTCGTGACCCCCCACTCTTGAAAACTGGGGGTGTCGACCCCCCCACTTTTTGCGATGCTGAGTATGCTTTTTTAGCTTTTATGTCAGTGAAGCAGGCGTCACCAACACCAACAAATACATCAGATTCAGAATCGCTTCAAGAGCTCCCTAAAGCCAATTAGCCAATTACCTAAAGTTCAATTAGTTGTGGGCGGGGAACACCAGCACAACAATACCTACTTTTAAGTAGCCACCATTCTAGTGCCTTTTTATCCCTCAAAGGATTGGACGCGCCAAAACTGCCCCGAGCGTTCGTCTGATCGTTAAAAAAAAAAATGGTCGCAGTCGATTCGTCGGATCAGTACCTAACTACAAAACTACAAACTAGCCTCAGCCCTATGGCTACCGTCACAACTAGCTGTACAGTGCACATGTAGGGGAAAGGGAGTCAGATGAAACCGTCTCGGGCTTTCGCAAAGAAGTCGCGCAAAAAGGAGCCGTCAGCCGATTGCAACGAAACTTTCGGTGCGCTCGAGTTAATCGCCTACTTAAAAATAAATCGATATCCCTGATTAAAATAAAGATGGCCTTGGTTCACTTTTTCATAACATGCTTTTAATTTAGGTATAGGATAGTTTTTGGAGCTGATTTTGAACTTAGCGCCCATCTGAACATTTAAGAAGTAGTTGTGTTGCTTATACATGTAACATGTTAGGAAGCAATCAGTGGTGGTCATCCACTATTAGGTACTGGTCGATCTGACCTGACCTGATCTACCCCAAATGCATGGAGTCATCATCTCCGTTCAAAACTAAGATAACATTCGTAATCAGAACCTCGAAAAACCATCACAACTTACATTCACAAAGTTCTAGCAGGTCCCGAGTTTCCCTACTTATTGGCGATGACCTGAGTCCTGAGATGACCCGAAACCTTGTAAATGGGTATCATCGGCTTTCTCTCGTCACGGGCAGCATGCTCTTTTTTTCCGCAAACCTCTAGATCGATCAGGGGTCGAAAGCATACCTCAGCGTTACTTTAGTATACGTTATACGTTAGCGACTGGGAACCCACCAATAGAAGGGCTACAGTGAAGCAGAAAGCATATTCGATAGCTCTTTCAACGCTCTTTCGCTAGCTTCGCGTCAGATTTCATCTCAGGTCTATGTTTTGCCAATAGAAGGCAAACAGCTAACTGGACAGATTCTGCCGAAACATTTGCTTTGCAATAACTTAAGATTCCGTGAATTTGTATGGTATTTACATATGTTGTCTTGTCACCACCGTGTTTATCTCTTTGAGACGCGTCACATGAGTTAAAATTTGACCATTCAGAATTAACGTTAAAACGACCTCAGGTCGACGTTATGTCCTGATCGAAAAAGGACCTCCTGCTGCATATGAATGGATCCGTGTTGTTGAGCTGAACAGTGAACACCTTCCAGGTGCTGTCATCGCTCTACCGCGTCTTCGTCAAAAGTTGTAGAAAAAAAAAATGCTGGTGGCCATCGATGGACATTTCCACTAATGACCTTTCGAGTCATCACTCGCCATAAGTTGCACCCTGTCCCTGGCAATGATGAGCTGATTTGTCATGGCTCCAAAGATATTTTGCGTTTCTGACGAACTTTTTGAAAGCAGGAGGCATTCGTGCTTTTTCTAATTTCTCATTATTTTCTAATGATGAGGTCACGTATTTGACCTGCCTCCAGATCGATGTAACTCCTCAGAATCATGAATTGCTGACACGTACCTATAACCCCTTACATTAGGTATGTGTACCAAATTTCGAAGTTATGGGAGAATAGCTACAAGAATGGCGAGAGGGGAAAGTTTGATAGAGGTATACCGTATAACTGAACTTGACATGGCGACCTGAGCTTAAGGGACCAGTGATAATTTTTACGCAAGTGATGTAGGTAGGTATACCTACCTAATAGGTTATACCAAATTTCGCGGCGCTGCGCGCCGATTTGTTACACGCGCACACACACATACGCACGCACAAAACTGGTAAGTGTGGCAAGAAAAAACACCCCTACCCATCGGGTGAAGACTAGAAACCCGACCCCCCCACTCAAAAATCCGTGGCGACGCCCCTGGTGGTAAGGGTGCGATGATCCACCACTTGTCCACAGGTGGACGGCTCTCCACACGTCCACAGTCCACACTCGCTGGCAGCACTCGCTCGGCCCATCCATTCAGTCCAGGCGCACCTCTACTCAACCACGCGCACCTCTATAGCCACACATCGACATACGTGCTCTCAACCAGTTCACACCCACAGACAACAGACTTCTAAAGTTCCCAAAAATCACAACAACGACCCCTACGGACATCCCCGGCCCCACATCACCTCCAGAAACTTTCACAGAGACTCCAGAGACTCTCCCCTGCTCACCTGAAGCTAACGACGACAGCGAGCCGGCCGTGGATCCGCCACCCTCGTAGGCGTAGTTGCGCAAGTCGTCGTACGGCGGAGCGCTGGGATCCGTGTCGGCTCGCTCCTTGTGCTCGTCAATGAACGAGCCGACGTCCGGGTGGGGACCCGCCTGGCCGCCGTCTGGGGATAGGGTGGGGTGTCAGCGCGGGCTGGGCGTGGGAACGGGTCGTGACGAGCACAGGAGTGCCCGTAGTAGCACGATGGGGAGCGGTAGCTAGGCCCCAGTGGGTCTGAGAATTACTATCAATAGTAACTGAATCAAACTACTTATGCATCTCACTGAAGTGGCATAGATTTAGAATCAACGGCAAATCACAGACAAAGTGAGCACGAACATGTTGCACCCACCCATCTCCATCAACAATATTATAAGAAACTAAGTCACCCCCTGATTGATATCTCTCCTGAATTACGCCACTCCACAAATCAAGCTCGAGTTCGTCTCCATCCCTCCTTCCCCGTCCCATTTACTCACAGTGGTGCGGCATTTTGGCCATGGGTTTTCCGTTTCCGACCATGGGCCCGATGGGGATCTGCAGGGGCGTGATGTCGAACGCCGTCATGTCGTCCTCGCCGCCGCCCTCGTCGTCGTAGTTGATGATGTTCTCTCGGACGTCGTCGTACGGGTCCTGTTTGGGGTACTGGCGCTCCTTCTGGCGGTTGTACACCACAAACACCAGCACCAAGACTGCACCAGAGAGAGCGGGGGAGGGGGACGGTGGTGTAAGAGAGGGTACACACACGTGGGGAGGGGGGAGGTGATATATGTGAATGGTGCGAACACGCAAGAGTTGATTTGGCAGAATTACAGTGAATTTGGTTACAGTTACAGTGTAGAGTTACATATCTTTGAATACATGAAAAATGATTGCAGTGTATGCTTTAAAGATTAATCTAAGCGAATGAAAAGAACTGGGAAAGAGCTTTTGACACCTTCATCATCAATCACTTTTGAATAGGGCAGTCACATGCAGCGTAGCATAAATGAGTATTATAACTACATACGGTGCTGAAAAAAATAAAAAAACAAAATCATATAAAAGCACAATTTTGACTAACTGGCAATGACAGACTAGCATACTGGTGAATATGAATAATCAATCGTGCGTGCCTCTTTCAACATACGCCATCAACATCAACATCAAATGAAGATAAAACATCAAAGGCTTGACATGGCGCGCATGCTACGCAAGTGATACTTGAATGACATGTCACCAGCTCGGAAGATAGGTAATAACTTACTTCTTTCTTCTAAGCTCAACTTCGTCCTGGATTTGTATCAGTTACTAAATCCCCTCCATTGCCCCCCCCCCCTCGTATTTTGTGTCAGTCCCAATCAGTTCTCGAGTTACTTGCTAAACCTCTACCATATTATCCCCAATGCCGAATGAATTCCCGAATGAGTCCCTCCCTCTCGCTCTGAGCCTCCTCACCCCTCTCCCTCTTCGCGTCTCACCTAGCAGCAGCAGTATGCAGACCACAATGGGCACCACGAACTCGGCCGGGTAGCGGAACCGGCCCGTCACGCCGCCCACCCGCTCGCAGTCCCGACCGGCGAACCCGGACGAGCACTCGCACCGGTAGTCGCCGTCCGTGTTCCGGCACTCGGCGCCGTTCAGACACGGGTTCCATTCACACTCGTCTTCGTCCCGGCAGCCGCCGTTCCACGCCCGGAACCCGTACGGACAGCTGCGGCGGCGGCGGTGGCGATGGCGATGGCGATGATGGTAAGATGATGACGATGATGCGATGGTGGCCAGGCGAAGATGACACGGAGGGGCGGAGAGAGTGCAAAGACTGATGTCAGCAGAGGTGGCCATGGGCCGAGTGGCTTCACGGCAGGTAGGCTTCAGGGAGACGGAAGGAGGACTTTGGATGACATTGTAGTGAGGAAAAATGTGGTTTGTGCTGGGCTAGGAAACATGCGCCCGTGGTGTTAATCCCGATTCTTCGGACGGAGTTTATTAGTTTGTTAGAAACTTACTTCCAGAGCCATCAAGTGAGACGTGGATGTCCATAACAGTGTATCCAGCGTTGATGTAGTAAGTTCATGCAAGCTAGCTACTGCTAACTAAAACCAGCATGCCATGAGAACCGAACACAGAAGCGCCGCCTCTATGCAAGTCCGAGAGGCCGACCTCCTCTGTCGAGCCACTCAGTCCACACAATGGCACCCTTCACCTTACCTGCACCCCCTCCCTCTAAGACCCCTCACCTGTGCCCCTTCCCTCATCTGTCCACCTCCCCACTCACTGAGGATGATGAGCAGACAGACGAGGATGGCTGCCAGCGCGCCCATGCTCAGCCGGAGCACCTGCGGCTCGGCCACGCCGCCGCAGCGCCGGCCCGTGAAGCCCGACCGGCAGCGGCACTCGTACTCGGGGTCGCGGTTCACGCACAGGCCGCCGTTCAGACACGGGTTGTCCAGCAGACACTCGTTGCGGTCCACGCACGCCTTTCCGTCGGCAGTGACCACGCTGAACTCGCCGCACCTGAGACAGTGGCGGCGCGGCGCGGCGGGCCGCTCAGCACCCCGCGGGCGGCCCCGTACCAGAGGCTGGTAGTGTCAACACTTGGCAGATGTTTCTTTTTTAATTGACGTTACCGGTCACAATATTGGACGTTATTGGAATTGCAATAGGCATTAATATCGTACCTACCCGATATTTCGGCATCAATCACAACCAAAGGAGAAAAAATAAACCATGAACCGTATTGGTTATTAAGCACTACCGTGAAAACGAGCTTTTCTTTTTAAATCATGGACAAATAAATAGAGCCAAACTTCTGCCAAGTGCTGACAAGCCCTCTCGTTGTATTCACACCCAGGACCGAGGCTATCGAAGCAGTCCTCCACTTCCTACCCACTACCCAGTCCAAGCGAGTTAGTAGTTAGTTATGATGCAACCATCACCAAACCGATGCAACCATCCCAAACCATATCACAAACCATGCTGTTAGCGGCGCCCAACACCAGTCCCCGGGACGGCTCGGTAAATGGAGCCAGTAAATGGATAGAACCAATGAGATGTCATGTCCGTAACTTGGAAGCTATGAGAATTCGGGAGACAATGGGATAAAGTAGGAAAAACATAAACAAACACACAACGGAAACAGTAATAAAGTCAAAAATAAATCATGTCAAATTAATTTATGACATTGGTTTACAAATAACATATTGCTAAGACAAATAAGAAATAATACGCTTTACGATAAGATTGAAAGCGGTACAAAAAGTGAACACAAAATCTTCGGGACGACTGGCGCTCCGTTCAGCTGCGCGATATCAATTTAGACTTTCCGGCACACGACCACATGAATGGTCCCGGAATTCAAATTCAGTTAGCCCCCCTCCCCTTCCTTTTCTCTTTCCACCCCAAAGTGTACGTCACCCCATCTATTCCCCCATTCCCCCCTCCACTCTACTCACGCGCAGTCGTATTTTTTCCACATGTCGATGCAGGAGAAGGGCGTGGGACAGATGACGTTGGCGCACGGGTCGTTGGACGGACAGTCCATCTTCAGGTTACGGTGCAGCGTGGCCTGACCCCACTGGGTGCCGTTCATAGCCGGCGGCAGCGGTAGCTGGCGACCCTCCAGACGAATGTCGTCCAGGCAGCCTACAGGGGAAGCAGGGGTCAGACGGGCGACTCAACGGGGCAAAGACGTCACCGGACCACACAGATTGACTGCTTCGGTGCTGCAATTCAGTCCGTCTAAATGCAAGGATGCAACCATCACCATCACCAAACCGATGCAACCATCCAGTCACAGGTTCACTCTAAATCCGTCTAAATGCAAGGCCTTCACCACCACTCTTCGGCGCCAGCCGATTCAAGTGAAATATAGCATCGGAGGCACCAGTCTCGAGTCCGTCAAGAGCATTCGTGATCTCGGCATTGTTCTGGACTCAAAATTGACCTTTTCGGACCATATAAACCATATCGCTGCCCGAGCCAACCGGTCTCTCGGGCTTCTCATTCGCTCATTTCAAACCGGATCTAAAAAAAAACAAATTCAATACGAAATCTCTGTTGGCTGCGTACCTACTGCGCAAACGTACGTTCTGTCCTTGAGTTCGGAACGGTCATTTGGGCAGGCGCAGCCACTTCCCACACAGTTCGCGTCGATCGGATTCAGCACAAGTTTCTCATCTGGTTAACCCTCGCCGGCACAGGGGGGGGGGGGGTTGATGCACCCCCCCTAAGGTTTTTCGCGAATAACTCGCGTAAAAAGCGGCCGATCGCGACGAAACTTTCAGTACCCTCGCATTGATCAATTTTACACCTACCCTGAAAATTTCATGACCCTGACCCCAATGACCTTTGACCTGTGACCTCTTTTCCGAGACCATGTTTGGCCGGAATCGCGATTCGGCGTATGTCGGCTAACATTAGCCGCGCGTTTGCAAGCTTTTAGATGTTTCAAACGTTCAAACATGTGATTTGATGTCGCTCCCATACATTAGGGTTGGTGTCAAGGTCACCTGAAGGTCAGGTCAGGTCATTGACCTTTGGTGACCTCGGGTGACCTCGGTTCACTTTGTCGAGTTTTACATGTTTCTAGGCTAGTTTTTGGAGCTGAATTCGAATTTGACAACCATTTGAACATTTACGAAGTAGTTTTGGTGCCTTCGTAACATGTTACGAAACTGTCAGAGGCGGTTGACACGTATTACGAATACCCGTTACAACCCCTACCGGTTGACCTGACCTGACCTGACCCGACCTGGTCTAAATGCTTAAAGACATCATCTCTGATCAAAACTAACACGATATTCGTGATCAGCACCCCAGAAAACCACATAGCAGCCACAATTTACGACTTTCTAACAGGTCCCGATTTTTCCGGTTTTCGGGTCATTGACCTGACCTGGAAGGTCACCCGATGACCTAGGACCTTAAAATTGGGTATCATCGGCTTCGTCTCGTGACGGGCAACACGCTCGTTTTTTCCGCGAAGCTCTAGCTCGATCAGGGGCCAAACGCGAGGGGGGGGGTCGTACCAACCCCCCCCCCCCTTGTGCCGTCGAAGGACGCAAAATGGCCTGTGCCGGCGAGGGTTAAACCACCACTCCAACAATCCTTGCCCATCACTTACCTATCCAGATTTATCCAAGCATTTCCGTGTCCCGTTCCTTTCCTCTCGAAGAGCCCAACACGACCTCCTGTTCCTAAAGGGTCTGTTCTCTGAGAAACTGAACTCTGAGATACTCTTATCCCGATTCCAGTTACGCGTGCCTATCCGACCGACGCGCACTGCAGCACCGTTTGCTGAGAGTCGCGCCCGAATCAGCACGGTCCAGAACGGGTTGGTCTGTCGTGTCGCGAGAGAGACAAACTCATTCCTCGCTCATTCCAAAGACGACTTTTTCACGACCAGCTTTTTTGCGTACAAAGCTCATGTCATCAAATACGTTGCGAACTTACCACCACCTCCGGGCTACTAGTCTGATTGTTGGGAGGTGATTCTTATTGATTTTATATTTTTATGATTTTAAATATGTCTATTTTTAATGTTTTCTTATATTTTTCATTTCACTTTATACTTTTTTACGTGTTTTTCAAGTACCTATACATCGTTTATCTCTCAGTGTTCATATTTACTGTTTGTTCAGCTATTCTGGTTTACCTTGTATCATGATTTCTTTCCCACCTTACATGGGATTTTAAAACTCATGCTCAGTGGTCGTTCACACATTTTTTTCTTCATATTTTCACTTCATTGCCTATCTCATTGTATTGTTCATTGTTTTCTATTTTAGTTACATGTGTATCTGCGTTTTTATCCGGGCGTGTGTATGCTGCCTGTGTGTGCCATATTTATTGTTTTTAATCTTGTGACTCCGTCCTTTAGTGGGTCAAGTGCCTGTTGACGGTCTGTTGAATAAATACAAATACAAAAAAATGCATTAGAGCAAATGAATGGAGTGATGAAGAATTAATGAGAGTAACTGCACTTCAATTTGCCGGCATGGATAGGTAGTTGGAAGCTTGGAAGCTGGTGGGTCAAACAGTCCTTTTGTAAACCATTTCCAAGCTCACACAATATTCACACGTCATCAACACAGCCACATATCGAGGGTCCCCCCCCCCCCGCCTGCCTAGACCGCGGCTGGCGTCCGGCTCACCGTTTTTGTAGTCGGAATAGACCTCGAACGTCTTGATGCCCGTGTACTCGGCCTTCCCGCCGGCCCAGACGCCCTCCTGTTTGTCGACCAGTAGCTTCTGGTGGCCCGTGAACTGAATCGTCTCGTTGTACCTGATAACAGGGGAAGCGACGTCAGGTCAGGGAGGTCACGGGTCACGGGTTGATGTGACCCGAGTAGTGATGAGTAACGGTTTGCTGTCACCGGCTTTTCAAAGCAAATTGCATGTTATTAAATACAAGACCGTTTTCCGGCAGCATGTTCAAACTTAATTTCCTTATTTATTAAGTAGTTGTAGCTACAGCTAGGTGAATTACTAAGCCCAAGTGCCAATCACACCGTGAGCTCAGAGCTGCTGCCCCACCTCTCCCTAGCCTCCGCCACTGCTACTGACCTGCGGCCCTCGCCGCCGTCCATGCGCAGGATGGCGGCCGAGCCGTGCCGGGTCACCCTGACCACGTGCCACTGACCGTCGTTGACCGTCACCGCCGACAGCGTCAGCTCGTGCTCCTCCGTGTGCAATATGTTCAGATTGTACCTGCGTAAGTAGAGGGAGGGAGGTGTTAGACGTCCAGCTGCGGCACGGAGGGGTTCGGACAAGACGTGCAGTGCTCGAGCCCCGGTCAGAATGTAGGAAGGCATTGCGTTACTTGTAAAATAAAAACGTGCCTTTTCTCATGACATGGTTTATTAGAACGTAGACCAAGAATTCGCCCGCAAGAGTTCAAAACATTTGAATTGTGCAATAGCAAAACAAACTTCCCTCAGGCGAATGCCCCTCGACCTGCCCTCCCCGTTACCTTTCCCCTCTTCCTTTCAATTCACAGACATCCCATCAGTCATCCCCCTCTTACGCTACACGACCCCCTTTTGGGCACACTGCCCTCACCTGAAGCGTAGTCGTGCGTCGTTGATCTCCAGAATGCACCACTCGCGGTTGTGCTGGTCGGACACACGGAACAGCTCGCCGTGATCCTCCCGCGTGCGGAACCGTAGCTGTACGTCCGTGTGGAAGTCGTTGGGCGGAAAACTCAGCGCGTACTTCACGTACGATTCGGGTTTGAACGTGGCAGGGATGGTGGGGATCGAGCACGCGGGGCCTGCCGGGGGGGGGGGGGGGACGAGAGTCAATGGCGGGCTGAATTGTGAACGGGACTAACGAATGTCTGCTCGGGAAAAAAAGCTTAAAACACTTGGCAAAATGCGCCCACTTTTCCAGTTAACTCTCTATAAATGACTGAGGCTAACGAAACGCGCAGCAAGAAATTGCATTTCATATCATCACATTAGAGGTGGCAAAAGATGAAAATTTTGGGAACCAGACTCGAACCAGACCCGGCTGAACATTTCTGGAACCAGTCGGACCCGGGCTTAGTTGGAACCGGAACCAGTTGGACCCGTTCCCCAAAAGTCAATTAATACAAACTACTTGTAGGAATCATTAGTTGCATCATGTAAAACAGCCTATTTCCCACTGGAAATGCTCATGAGCTATTGTGTGCAAAGTAACATTCACTTAATTCCCTTCATATTTTGTAATAATGTGTAGTGTGCAAGATGTATAGTTTATGGTATGACCCGGTTGGACCCTTCAGAAAAATTTCCAGGAACCGGTCTGGACCCATATGGGTCCAGACTGGTTCTTTGGACCGGGTCCTCGGGTCCACATTTTGCCACCTCTACATCACATATTCCCGTGATGACAAAAATGACCCTAATTTCCTAACTTCAGACTATGGAAACAAAAGTCACCTGACCATCATTGATCAGTTATGCCCTGCAGAGCTTTGACTCTCCTTTCTTCTCTCGCACACTCATAAACCCAGTAAACAGCTCATCCATATTCCCCCACAACACTAAATCTGTCCTATTGCTGACTCCCTCTCGATCACTTCCCCCTCTAGCCCAGCCCTCCGTTGACCTGGCCGGGTGACTCACCGGACCATCCCGGGTTACACTCGCAGTCGGGCCGCGTCATGGAGCCGACGCAGCGTCCGTGCTCGCCGCAGCGCGAGGCCAGGTCGGCGCCGCTGCATACCGTCTCCACTTGCGGACAGCCCGGGTACGAGTGACGGTTCAGGCCCGGGTTCGACAGGTCGTACATCTGAAACATAGAGAACGGGAAGGGCCGAGGTGGGTGTGAGAGGTTAGGTAGGTGTGTGAAGTAAGTTGTGATGTGTTCAGATAATTGCATGTCCGGTACAAACAGTGTTTATCACGATGTAATGTTTTCCATGAGGTTATTGAATCGTCGACGCATAGTTATGCATCGTTATATTTACTGATCTCAGGCAGCTTTTGCCAAATTGTCAGGGAACTCAAATTAGTTTTTCAATAGAAAAACACAATTCTAAAGAATAGTGTTTTAACTGTTGACGACAAACCTTCGGTTACCCATGGAATTTCAAGAGGCTTTCTACTTTAGCTAAGATATTGCAAAAGCCACAAAACCTTGTCTATTTGAACACCTAACCATCCTCCAACCACCGACATTCTCATGACCCATTTTTCTGACATACCCTCCTATTCTCCAAAATGGAGAGCTGCATCCTACCAAATACCCTCCCATGTCCACATCTTCTCCGGCCGCGTTCTCACCTCGCTGTTAACCACCAGGTTCCGGATGCAGCCGTCGAACGGCTTCCCGTTGGGCTTGTGATCCCAGCCGTAGGCCGGCTGCGCGAACGTCGAGTGCGCCACGCCGCCCAACTGCAGCGGCGCGTTCACGTTCAGGTACTCGTTGAACGGCGGGATGGTGCCGCGCGCCGCACACGTGCCGTCCTGGAACACCGGCTCCAGGCCGTCGTCGTTCTCGACGACCTGAGCGGCGGCGCAGAGGTCGACCAGCAGTCGCACCCGTTCGCGGTCCCAGAACACGTCCAGTCGGTGCCACTCGCCGTCGTCCAGGCCGGCGGCCGTCTGCACGCGCAGCTCCAGGGTGCCGGAGCCAAAGTCGAGCAGCAGGCGCGGGTTACCCTCCTCCAGCTCCAGCGCGATGAAGTCTGGAACGGGGAGAGCGGCGTCAAGGAGGGACGTTAGATGGGAAAGGAGGTGTTTGGGACTGTGATGAGACCATTTAACAGCATTGGAGCTTTTCCCGAAGTATCTAACTAAGAAGACAGTCTATGCATCTCAATTGGTTTGCTAGTGTTTCATAGATATTGAAACTTAAAACAGTACATACAATCCCTGTAACCAACAGCAGTGATGATCAGACATTCAGCCCAGCATCAAGATGGCAAGAAAATTGAATTGAAACTACAACCTTGTACCTACAGAACTACTACAGTAGAAATATCATCTTTCCGACTAATAGATCAAACCAGACTCCATCCCACCCCACTCTAATACTAACCTGACACCACGGGCTGGTCGGCCTCTGGCGGTTTGATCGGTCCGTTGTACAGGATCAGTCCGTCCTTTCTGCGGGTCACAAACTCCACAGCGAGGTGAGTCTCCTCGCAGAGTGACAGCGGCGGCAGCCAGGCCCAGCCGTCGCCGCGGAAACTGCGACTCGTCTGCTGGCAGCGCGGACCGTCGTAGCCGGCCCGGCACATGCACCTGGGGAGGGGAGAGAGCGGAAAAGGCGTCAGAGAGCGGAAGGGGCGGGAGTCAGCATTTGATGTTGGATATTACGATCGATTAGATACGATTGGATATTAAGATCACTGTAAACGCTGGCAATGTAGTGGTGACCACGCTATTCCACAAGCCACCTTAGTATTATACCCACAGCACACACGCTGAGTTTCCAGATATGAGCTCAGATCCTTCAATCTGTCACGCATTGTAGCAAGAGCCCCATGAGCAATGTGCATGGATGTTCATAAGGCTCCGAAAAAGCGAACGCCAGCCTCATTTCACCAGGCGTCCTAGGGCCACCAGTAAGCTTCGACCCGTCGCCCGCACTTACTTGATGCCTCCCTCGCGCTGCTGAACACATTTCCCTCCGTTCAGGCAGACATTTGTGCTGCACGACTCCTCGCGAGTGAAGTTGCGAGCCATGCACGTACACTCCGGTACAACCTGGTGATGGGTGGGAGGGCAGGTCAGGTCAGACCAGACCAGATCAGCCCAGATCAAATCGGGCTAGATAACCAGGTCAGTCAGGCCCGAACATAACAAAACACCACATTCCTTATGCCAAAAACCGGCTAAAAAGGCCAGGGAATAAGCGTGTGACTTCCGCACGACTTCTTCGGCCAAAACTAGGAATGCTACATCGATCAACAACACGAAATGAGCAAACATTCGTCAAAACCAAAAGTAGAAATTCATAATTTGCAGCATCTCGACACATAATAAACATGAACTACAGCAATTCACGATCACCTCTCCCACACATTTAATGACTGTATTCCTTTGCTCACTCCTATCCCCTTCATTCCCACGACATCGTACCTCCGTGCGCACGCCGACCAGTGATGTTTTATTGGCGTTGACCAGGTAGGGGATGGTCGATATGACCAGGTTGTTGGTGCAGCTGCCCTCGCAGTTGACGTTCTCGTACAGACACTCGTCGATGCTGATCATGGTGATGTTGATGCCCACCTCCTCCTCCACCTGAATATGACATGGAAACGTGAAAGGTGTCAGTAATGATGCACAAGGTAGTCAAAGATGGCCCTAGTCACTGGTGCTATTGACTCAATCCATTGTTGGATCCAATCCAGCCACAACCAATCTGGAACTTTAAATCAGCATAAGAAGAGATAAATAGCGATACAATAAACACCACTAATAAGAACATTATTTCGGTCAATCAAACAAAGGAAATGCTTCATCGCAGGCCGCAGCCATCTTAAGCTCTCACTTTTCTGCTTTACCATCGCCACAAAACATTTCACCAGCGCCTAGTTTGTCCATCAACGACGGTTATAGACGCAACCGTTGGCGTTATATCAATAATACAACCAACATCAAAGTCCTGCCCCTGGCACTATCACCACCAGTCAACCTTTCCCAACCACCCAGCCCTACCTTGATCCTGTTTGTGAGCAGCATGCCGTCCAGCATGACGGCCTTGTAGTAGGGCGAGCCGTGCGCCGAGTAGCGTACGTCGATGACGGGCGGCCGCTCCTGCTTCAGCTGCACCGAGAACACGTCCACGTTGCCGACCGGCGTGCCCACCAGACCGGCTACCACCTGACGATGGGAGGGGGAACGGAGTCAGAGCTGGAGAGACGGGGAAGAGCGAGCAATACTGTGTGACGCGGACTTCCTTTGTAAGCTGTGTAGGAAACTCCATGATGTAGACACGCCAAAAATGCATCCTCGGTTAGGCTACGCCGTTATGGAAAGCTAGCAGTTTGCCCCATTATCATTTCCCTCTATACCGTTAGACCAGACGTCTCGCAAGGCAAACTACCCACTAACAGGTCGCTAACACATCCCAGTTCAATAGGCACATCCTTTACCCCCTTCACAACTGTTTCTATTCACCCCCCTCTTCAGTCTCTGACTATATTCTTCCCTCGGTCCCCCACCTCTCTGAACTTTTCCAGCTTGCTCTTCTTGACGGCCTTCTCTCGCTCGTCCCAGACGCGGATAAAGTCCTCGTCCGAGATGCCGGCGATGCGGACCGAGCCAGAGTTGAGCACCGCCTCCTCGGGGAGGTTCTGTACGACCACCGTCACGTTGGCCTGGCGACGGGGGCAGAGGGCAGGGGTTAGACAGGTTGACCGCCGCAGCTGGGTGGCAGCGTGGAAACGGCTGAGGGGGTAATGCGGATTTATCAGCTGGAGAGAAAAGAAGATGACACGAGGCAAAAAGCAGCTGGGGCAGGGAGGCTGCTGCCCACTTTTGGAACCTCAAATAAGAGCATAACATATCACTTTAACGGTTAAAGGTGAAGAAATAAGCGAAAAGTGTGACAACTGACAAGCTTCAGACTCATAGTCAAAATTACCAACTGTATTACGGGGGTTACCGACCCAGAACCAACAGCAGTTATCAACTATCTATCTTCCAGTAACTCTCTCACCATCTAAGCTTCAAGTCTCCCCCTTCATCCCCTCGCCAATTACACTCACATCAATATCCCTCTGGGTGTGTTTGCGGTCGAACACGTGGAAGCGCAGGTGGTAGCGTCCCTCCAGCGTGCGCCGGCGCATCGTGATGGTGCCCGTGTGCTCGTCCAGTATGAAGGAGGGGTGCTCGGCGCCCTCCCAGTAGAACGTCTTGTCCGGCAGGTCCCAGTCGTCCTTATCCGTCACGTGCACACGGCCGATCGCCACTTCCGGGTTCATGCCCTGCGGGTGGACCGGTCAGCGGGGGAGCACGTGATAGGAGGAGGCGCATTGCATACGTGGTCGGCTATCGTCAAGTCGTGATAGCCACGATGCGTTGTGATATTCTCGCATTATTATAGCTCAAGTCGATTGGTATTTATGAATTCACACGAGTGAATTGACGTTCAATCACCATGACCTCTCCAACATTCCGTATGAATGGGGACATAAAATGCAGCTATTCTAACCGTCCATGCGTTGCAGCACTTCCCTAATGATCAGACACCGAGCAAATTATCAACCGTCCCACCACAAACATCCCATTCTCCGCCCCACCCGAGTTAGACACCCACCTTGTAGTTGTAGACGAAGATCTCCTTGCTTCCCGGGTACATCCTGTTGTCGTTGAGGTCGCCGATGATGACAGTCAGAGTAGACGTACCAGATAGCGACGGCTTGCCGGCATCCCTGATCACAATCGGCACGTGGTACTCCTTCCTGTCCTCTCGGTCGAAGGACTTCAGCGAGCGGACGATGGCCATGCCGTCTCCGTTGTTTCCCGTCGAGTCGTGCTCCACGCGGAACCCGGAGCGGATGGTATCGTCGGCTCTGGGGTCCATTTTGAAGGTGAACGGCGGCCCGTTGCCACTGCTCCGGTCGTCGGCATCTGCGGCCATCACCTCGGCCACCTCTCGCGGCGCGGCGTTCTCCATCAGCACCGGCCGGTAATCTTCCAGGAAGGTGGGCGCGTTGTCGTTCACATCGTCCACGATCACCGTCAGCGTGGCGGTGGCCGTCTTGGGCGGCACGCCGTCGTCGATGGCCAGTATTTTGATGTGGTGTCGCGGCACCTCCTCACGGTCGAGGCCGCGCTGGATGGACACCTTACCCTGGCCGCTGATGGTGAACTGACGCTTGCGGTCCGACTCGCGGTCGATGGCGTAGGATACCTTGCTGCGGCCGCCCTGGTCGGGGTCCTTGGCGTGGAACGTTTCCAGGTGCTGGCCCACCGGCGCGTCCTCCTTGACGTGAACCTGCCGTCACAGCCACCAGAGGGCGAGTCATACAGGATGCCACCGGCACCAGACAAGGCCGGTCAGGCAGGCTGCCAGTCACCAGAGGGGTAGGTTAGATAGGCGCCGCGGGCACAAGAGGGGTGGGTCAGCTAGGACGCCACATCAACCGCTAGTTCCGAGAACAATTACATATATCGTTGACCAATTGGCGCATTGCGCAGAAATTAGATGCTGATGTAGAAACGCGCTACCGAGCAAACCTATTGAAGACAAAGCACCACGCCACAGAGTCGAGTGACGTCACAGCTAAATATAATGAGAAAGAAACTGGTCATTAAGATGGCACAAATGTATTCTTTTAGCACTTGAAAAGACCGAAACACAGAATAAGCTCAGCATTAAAATAGCTGATTATCCAACCCGTAACCACAGTCGGTTCCCGTTTCGTACCTCGATGTTGGGCCGGTCGAAGATGGGTCTGTTGTCGTTGATATCCCGCAGTTTGACGTGCACGCGCGCCCTGGCCACGTGACTCGAGTCGCCCTGGTCCTCGCCTTTATCGTTCACCTGGCGACAGGGAAAGGGAGGGCGTGAGTAGGGGTGGGAGCTGACGCAGGGCAGCTGGATATGTGCGCACAAGCATAGACAAACAGCTAAAAGCAGGGTGGCTGAAAACTGCCTTTAACAGTTCTGGCTCGAATTGGTGTCGTGACTGTTTTGAAATCGACATCCTACTGAATACACCATCAATTACACGATCAAAATCGTCCATCACCAGCTGCAATCCACAATGAAATCCAATCCGTAAAACCTCTGCGGGCTGTCGATGTGTAATCACATCATGCACCGACAAATAACAACCTGTCCGCAATTAGAATCCAATCCAAACACACTCAGAAATATAAAAAATTATAGCCTTTCCGCAGCTGAGTCGCCATCTCGCTCGTACCTGGATGGTGAACGAGAATCCGTTCCTGTCGTTCATGTCCTCGTAGTCGAGCGGCTGGACAATCTTCAGCGAGCCGGTGTCGTCACTGTTGCGGACCATGGTGAACTTGTCGGCGCCGTAGCCCGTGTCCTCGAGAACCTGCCGGTTACCCAGAGGTTAACGGTCAAGGGTCAGGGTCAGAGTCAGAGCAACGCTCAGGGCAACGGTCAGGGCCAGGGTAAGGCTCGGAACTAGCGGTCAGGGTGATCAATCAGGGTAGCTCATCATGTCCTGGTACACGTCAACGCAACCGCTCATTTATGTTTCCAATAAATACGTTATTTAGAGCGATGAATAGAGACTTGTACCAACACTTCCTACCTCATCTATTTACCACAGTACGATGTCTTCTCTCACTTTCGGACAATCCGTCCCCCTACTATCCCTTTGTTCGACCCATCCATCCCCACCCCGTCCTCCTCTGCCCCCCCCCCCCGCCGCCGCGCCGCCGCCCACCTTGTAGTGGAACTTGTTGGTCTCGTCCTCGTCCAGCACGGTCACGGTGAGGATGGCCTTGTCGGGCAGGTCGTCGCCGTCCGTCTCGTCTACCGTGGTGTTCCACACGGCCTTACTGAAGCGCGGCGGCATGTCGTTGATATCCCGCACGTGGATCAGCGCCGTGCCCGTGCCTGGAACCGGGGAGGGGGGGGGGGGAATTAGGTCAGCGCCGTGCCAGTGCCTGGAAGAAAGGGAAGGAGTTGGGTGTTAGGTCAGCGCCGTGCCTGTGCCTGGAATGGGAGGAGGGAGGGGGCGATTAGATCGGCGCCGTGCCAGTGCCTGAATGGGGAGGAGTGGGTAGCTGGCACAGGGACTCGGGCTAGAGACAGATCAGAGCCAGGCTGCCAACTTGAGCGCAAAAGCAGGGCCATGCCGTACCTGTCTGAGAGAGCATAATTGTATCGTTAACTTAGCATTGGTGGTCGTAGTTATTTTTGGCACAACATAGTTATGATAAAATTGCTGAAACAATAAAACTCTTTAACATGGCTTAAGCATTCACATACTTTTCCTTGTTCCTTGTCCTTAAATCCCTCCTTCCAACGCACCTCCTGGCATCCCTGCGTGCGTCGCCCTCTCACCTTTGAGCCCGCCTCCGTCCATGGCGACCACCTGGATGCTGTACTCGGGCGTCTTCTCCCTGTCCAGGCAGCACACGTTCGTACGGATCACGCCCGTTGACGGCTCGATGGCGAAGATCGGCTTGCCGTGCGTCTCGTCGACCACATTTTTCTCGATGCTGTAGGCGAGCTTGGCGTTGTTGCCCTCCTCGGGGTCGTCGTAGTCCTCGGCCGTCATCGTCATCACCATCATCTCTGGGGTGGCGGGGGGAGCGAGGGGGAAGAGGATGATGTCACGATTGAGACGCTATGTGGGAACGTGATATCACGCTTTACATTATTATTCACAATTACTCAAAATACCCGGCAGGCGTTGTGCTCGACTCAAAAAAATTTGCCGACTCGACTCATCATTCAACTTCAGAAAGCCCTGACTCAACTCAACAGCTCAACATTTTATCCGACTCGACTCAAATCTGACTCATTTGAGTCAGAGTTGAGTCAAATTTCTGACTAGACTCATGAGTCAAGCACAACCCTGATACCCGGATTGGTCAAAATATCCGACCACCAGTTTTATCAGCCACACCACAACGCGCTACCAATTGCGTCCTTTCTGCCACACCCCGACAAATCAATCCCTGCTCACGGGTCCCTCCCCCCCCCCCCCCTCCGTCCTCTCATCCTGTCACACACCTTTGGTTCCGTTCTCAGTGACATTTCCCCGGTAGACGCCCTTGGGGAAGACGGGCGCGTTGTCGTTGATGTCCTTGAGGTTGACCTGCACCTCGGCGTATCCCACCAGGCCGTTGCCGCCCTCGTCCTGGGCGAACACGGTGAACCGCCAGCGGGGACGGCCGTTCGGCATGTCGCGGTCCAGAGGCTGCGGGAGGCGGGTCAGGTCGGGTAAGCTCACCAGATCAAGGCGGGTCATGTGAACTTGAAGTTGAAGTTGAAGCTGTCCATGGAAAGAGGCCCCTTCCAAGGGGTCTGAGTGACTTCCTCGCTATCACTTTTACTTTTCCTCCACGCTATTCCTTCTTTTGGATGTTTTTCAACTTTGTGACTGATTTCGACGATACATGTGACAACCGGTCAGAGCACATAGTATGATTTTAATAACTGAATACAATAGGACGTATAGAAGGCAGACATGTGCATGGATCCGAGTGATGGATCTATGATCCCAGTGGATCTCGAAGCAAAGTACAGGCCCACCGGATCCCACCGGATCCGGCGTGAAAAATACATCTTGGATCTATGATCTCATATGATCTGACGATAAATTACGAACATGGATCTATGATCTGAGTGGATCCCACCATGCACCACATTTGAAACCATTTTTTAAAGGGTTTCTATGCCAATAAGTGACACAAAACTATGGATTATGACGTGCGATCACATAAAATCACCAAAACAGAACGTTTGTAAGTTGAAACAAGTGCTTTTTTGAGATATATGTGTTGACAAAAAATAAGTGAGGATCTATGATCTCACTGGATCTCAGGCAAAAAATGAGACTCGGATCTGTGATCCCTACGGATCTCTCGATAAATTACAGAGCTGGATCTATGATCCCGTCGGATCTGAGATCAAGATCCGTGGGATCAGATCCCAGATCAATTTTCTCGGATCCATGCACATGTCTGATGGAAGGCATTGAACTGATGGTAACTTATCCAAAAAGGGTCAGAATGTACGATTATTATTTTGAATTTTCGCATCATACCAGATTGCTAGCACTATCATAAGAACTAAACGAGACGACAAGCAGTTACAGCTACCCCACGACCTACTCCCGACCCCACCCACCCCGTATCACGCCCCGCCCCCTGACGAAGCCCCGCCCACCTTGGTGACGGAGATCTCCCCGGTCGTTCTGTTGACGGTAAACATGGAGTTGCTCGGGTTATCCACGTCGATACCCTGTCCGGTGAGGAAGTATACGATGTCGGCCGGACGCTCCACGTCCTTGTCCTTGGCTGCCACCTGAGGGTAAACGGGGGAGCGATTAGGGAACAATTGAGGGCGGGTATGTGAGGGGTGCGTGCTGGGTATAATAGCACACATTACATGGAACCGGTGAGCAATGCGAGGCTTATCATATCACATTTGTTTGAAAATATCAGCAATAGCATCAGCATTGTTTGGCTCAAGCAGTAGGAAATAACGTCAGATTCTCAATAGCTCGGCTACGATGGAAAGAGACAATAATGGCTCCCAGACAGTCTTGCACCAAACCATTTAACATAGCCCGACCTTGATTACAATGAAAGGCTAAGGAACTCCGCTCTAGTGCAACCCAGCTGGTCGGCTGACCTACCTGCAGTATCTGTTTGGGCAGTCCTCTGTCGTCCTCCTCAGTGATCTGCGCCTGGTAGATGGGCTTGTCGAACAGCGGCGGATTGTCGTTCACATCACGCACGTGGATCACCACGTCCGTGTAGTTCTCGTTCAGGTTGTCCGAGGCCACCAGCCGCAGCTCGTACTGAAGGTGACGATGGGCGGGGGTAAAATGTTTAGTTGGTAGTCGGGTGGACACTGGACAGGGCGAGATGGCCATGATATTGGGTAATGCGTAATTATGATGTCGGATATTCGACGAAGAATACTAATCTCGAAGATGACACGAACCCGTTGAAATGAAAATAAACCCAGCGATCTATACAGATGTTAGTTTTTTTTTGTAAAAAAAACAACAACCATACGATGGTTTACAAAAACAACCATCGTACATGTCACACAATGCATTAATCGGCTGAATAATAACCAACGCATTGAAAAGGTACGGCCAGGCATCCCTTCTCACCCATTATTTACATCCCGTACGAAAATTCCCTCGTTCTCACCCGACTGCGCGTCTCAAAGTCGAGCGGGCCGGCCACGTAGATTGCGCCGGTGCTGTTCTTCACTCCGAACGCGCCGCCCACGTTACCCTGGGTCAGCTCGTAACGGATCCGGGACGCTGCCGAGCGGGGGGGGGGGGGTCAGCTAGTACTGAATCCAGGACGCTACGGAGGAGATGGGGCGGGGTCAGGGGTGGGGCTCAGCTCGTACCGGATGCGGGACGCTGCCGAGCAGGGTCAGGCGGGCTCGAAGCGAGAGTGGCGTCTACATACAGCGGCGGCGGCGGCGGGGAACATCAACAGAGCTGATGGCTGATGTCATGTATAATGAAAGGACTTCGAAATTATATGGGCAATGAGTACAAACGTTGACAAGTCAAGCACCAGATACTTTCAAAGAACAATAACAGAACGTCGCGTTTTCTTAAGCATTTGTTTCTAGCGCCACATTGTCGTTGCGCTCGTTCTTACCAGTTCTTACCAGAGCTCTTACCAGACAATACGTACACTGTATTTCCTCACAGTCCCAGTTACTCACACTCGTCGATATCCTTGGCGACCACGGTGAGCACTATGTGCTGAATGTCCTCGTTCTCATCCACCTCGGCCTCGTACAGACGCTTGTCAAAGTAGGGCGGGTTGTCGTTCTTGTCGGAGATACCGATACGGATGAACTTGGTCACTGGAGAACAGACGGGAAGAAAGACGTTAGAAACATGAGTTTAAAGGAAGACTGCCACCTTCAAAAAGTTTTCTCAGATCGGCCTATGATTTATTCCCTGGACAAAACAAAATTTTAGAATTCACCTGACAAAGTATCATCACGTGAATCGCGAAAAAAAATTGTCGATTATCATACAATTATCAATCGGTTAATGTCTAGCGACAATGTTTACACATCACTAGACTTCAAGGTCATAAGATTATTACATTTTATTTGAAAAAGTAAGGTATTTTATGATTTACTAATATATGATTTCATAAGAAATTGGCCATGTTTAATTTATTTTGCATTTAAGTTCGTAAAACATTTAAAAATCATGGCTCATTTGGAATGGGTCTGGCCCATGTTAAACCCCATTTCCCACACTTTTTGGAAAAAATGAACTACTGAATATATAAGTTTAACTTTTATTTTGACACTCCAAAATTCTTCTCTGATCTCGAAACAATCTAAGTTTTGACATATATTTACCAAAAGATAAGAAAATTCATGTTTCAAAGTTATCGATAAACAGTAGAGATGTCGGTTTTCTTGGACTAAAAAAATGGCATCAAACTGAACTTTGGTCTCCGATTTCTCGCAAACGGGTTCGAATTTCGGAAAACCGACTTCAGTCTGGGACATAGGTGGCTCAGCTCTAGTGAAAACCGTTTTGTGGAAAAAAGGTGGCAGTCTACCTTTAAGGCCGGAACACAGCTTTTAAGCTCGCAAATCGCGTCTCGCTTATCCCATTGCAATACATGGCATATTTTCAGCTCCCAACACGCAGGTCGTCTCGCTTTTACGCCGCGAAATCACGCCGGATCCCGCTCGGAAAACGCGAGCAAATCGCGAGCGAAACGCAAGCAAAATCAGACCGACGCGATTTGCAAGCTGAAAAGTTGAATCTGTTTCAACTTTTCAGCTTCTCTGCTCGCGAAATGCAAGCGTAATAGCGTCAGTAACCATGGAAACCAAATAAAGCACCTTGGCTTACGGCAATTTTAACTAAATACCGGCGTGGTCTCCTGCTTTCAACACATCGGTATTCATTTGATTCACAATTTTATACGTAAAATGTATTAAATTGTTCAGTTTTTATGTTTCGATGTTTAAAGAAATCTTACCACGTATCTTGTACTGCGGTCAACATAAAATGAGGAATCCGTGGATTTTTTTTTTCAAAAACCTCCCTTCGTAATTTTCTTCAAAATCAGTAAAACATAAATTTGATTAGAAAATGGTAACTTTTACTTCCGTTCGAAAAATTATATGCCTGGCATGTAAATTTCGGGCTGTAGACAATTTTTGACATTGTGGTCCAATTGCTTAGATGTTCAGCGTTTTCAAGAGTAATTTCATCTATTTCCGTAAAACCACAACGACTTTGTAGACAAAACTTTTCAGAATGGCAATGCGGGGTAATTTTGCCGGTGCTAGTGGAACAGCTTTGACGGTGCTCTCAGGATCGCTATGCTGGAACGGCCGACTTGATAAGCAGTAGCGGCGAAACACCTTCAATTAAGTGGGGCACTGCCCATTCTTTCCATGCAACACCCATAGGGCTTATGTTAAAATGGCAAAATCAAGGGGGGCCGGTGCCCCCCCCCCTCCGTTCCCGGTTCCGCCACCTATGTGATGATAAGGTCGTCGTACCGAGCTGGTTGGGTTTATAGCCGTTGGCGGTGGCATTGCGGCACAGTCTGTCTCCTAGGCGCTTATCAAGACACAGCTCAAAGCAGCACGACGAAGTTGCTAGGGATCTGCTCAAACCAAACTGATAGTCACATCTCCAGCTAGTAAACACTATTAACAACTCGTTTGCAGACATCGGAGGCCTATGAGATGTGAGGATTTGAGACTGAGCTGAGTAGTTTCTTTGATTGCTAAGAATTTTTTAATTGAAATTAGTCGATTATTTCCTTACTAGAATAAACAGTTAACGTTTTTCTCAACACAAATAAAATGCAAATGTTTGATTTAGCAGTGTATGCTAAGGAAGCGCATTTTCAGTTGTGCAGGAAAATGCTGAAATAAGACCTGAGTCAAAATCATTCGAAGATAAGTGAAAGTCCGACATCGAGTCAGCCTAAAAATGCGTAAAGGACACATGTCATTGATGGCGCTGAAGCTGACTTGCCCGTAACATAAAATCCAGGCCTCAAATTAACACCGGCCAAATTGCTCTACCCCACCGGCCAAATAACCCAGCTAGCGGGGCAATTTAGCCGCTTTGCAGACCTTTGCTAGAACGACAAAATTCAAGCATAAGTAGTTGCTCTATCATTTTCAGCTTGCTGTTTAAGAAAGTAAAATGAATGCTACACCTGCCAGCCTTGAGAGAGTGCAGAAGTATGTCGCCAATTTCGAGCTACAGCGGGGGCGCGGGTTAAACAGGGGCGCGGGTTAAACAAGACTGCAATGTCATGTTAACCCTCGCCCGCACATGGGGGGTGGGGGAGGAGGAGGTTGCCATCCTCCCCCCCCCCCTCAGGTAGTTTTTCTGCTCTGCACTCAACATTTTTAGAGCTAGAAGCCTGGTTTCGTATAGCTGCTCCTCTATCCTTTCTTGATGTCCACTGAAAATTTTTCAGTTTCTGTGGTTTTTGGTTTCGGAGACATGACCTTGTTCTTCAGGTCATGTCATGACCCAAATGACAAATACCTAATATCTTGCGTTGGCTATGGGTCTTGTCAGCTTTTGATACATTGATTCCTAGGGAGTTTGCAAACTCCCTGACCCATCAGTGAGTTTGCAAACTCACTAGGGAGTTTACAAATTCACTAGGGAGTTTGCAAACTCACTGACCGGTCAGGGAGTTTGAGAAATTCCAGAGCGATTGGGCCAAATAAAATCAAGTGTGTAAGATGAGGGCGGCATACGTGCCGTCCGTGATGTTAAAACAAAGGCGGCTAGTTGTAGGGCCTCGCACGCTGACGAAAAGCTTATAGATCAATGCACACCATAAATACCTTTTTATCTTAAACTGCTCAGTGATCTACCCATGCATGTACCGCCGCTTTATTTAGTCATACATGCATTTAGTTCACGTCCAAATTAGATCCGTTCCACTCAAGTGTGGCTATTCCAGAGTCAGGCTCAATATATCAAAGGCAGAAACAGCTCACTGTTGGTCACTTATGCTAAAGTACAGGCACACGCACCAATTCACGCCCATTCCCAATCCGCCATAGACGTGTCATCGAGAGCCGGCGCTGCTGGCAGCCAGCCCAGCTGCGACTGGCGCACGCTGCCTGTTTGTTTTTGTTTTGTTGGGTTAAGCCCTTTCGGTCTGACAAGACCATTTCAGAGCCGGACGAATGATAGGAATTAGGGGGAGACATTGGTCTGGGCAGACACCCTACAGAGTCGCCGGGGCTGAGCCCGTCCGAATGGACAAGCCGACCAGTCCCCCAAGCACTCTCTGCACTCGGCTACGAGGTGCGCTCCCTCGGGAGTAGCGGTGCCGCTCCAAGGGTATCTCAGTCCCCGCATGAGATAAAGGTGCCTGTCCAGCCCGGAGTGGGAGTTTCGGTGTGGAGGAGGATTTCAGTATCTTCAGGCTGCAGATTCCTGAGGATGGAAACGACGGAACGGAGGAGCACGCTGCTCCGAACCTCCCCTCTACATAGCCGCGAGTAGCATTTTTTTCCGGTAAAACAATTCAGGATCTGTAAGCTTTTTGTCAGCGTGCGACGGTTATATCCCGCGCCCCGCTAGGCTATTCAGCCATACGCGCCCTGCTGGGGGGGGGGGGGGGGCAGATTCCTGTCTAACTTCCAAACCGATGGTCGTAGAAAGACGGGGAAAACGGCAATCGAAAGCTCTCAACAAGGCGGATCTTAAGAGCCCAATTTTTTTGCTTAAGGTCAGAGGTCAGGTCAAGGTCAGGTCAAGGGTACAAAATGCAAGTTTCTACAGTATCGGCTTTGCACCGTAGTTGCCGAAGAATGGACTGAGACTGATTGCCCAAAACGTGTTCTTAGATTACCAAGGCAACATTCGTTGCATACAATGTCACTCAAAGGTCAAGGTCAAGGTCAGGTCAGGTCAGGTCACCAAAAACAAAATATAGAAAAGGGCATGTGTGACACATGTTTTATGGGTCATTTTACTCATAGAATTCAATAGGCACACTCAATAAGTGATATAGACCACCTCTGGATGAATTTCAGGTCGAGGTCAGGTCAAGGTCAGGTCAAGTGAGGTCAAATTTTGAAGTTGGATGTTAAGGCCTAAAAAGGTGTCTATCTGATGTAGTTTTTCACGGCGAATCGAATGGTGCTATTTTTGTTTCCGTACGAGGTCAAGAACTTCAAAAAAAATCATTTTTCACAAATTTTGTGTTTCGTGACGTCATAAAATTTTGAATAACTCACATTTTTGAATTGATTCTTCTAAAAAATGGTATGTAGGTGCACATAGACCACTTCTCTGACATATATTCCGTTTTTTTCGATACACTCAAAATTTTGGGTTTTATAATTATTTTCCCAAAAAAGTCAGTTTTTGGAAAAAAATAGGCCAAAATCCAAAATTTTCACGTCCGCCGAGATAGCCATTTGATAGACAAAGTAGAATCACGTATAACCTTTTTTTGTTACGTCTTCATTCCTTGAAAAATGAAGATGTTAGCGGCGTTTGAAATTTTGCCGTTTTTTAGGCAAAAATGGCGAACATGACGTCACTAAAACGTCAATTTCTCAAAAATTTCCAACGGATTTCGCTCAAATTTTCAGGGAACGTGTCAAATTGATGTATGCTAACTGCTAAGGTACTGATATGAAAGTTTGACGTCGCTGGCGTAACGCGTTTAGAAGTTATTGGCGAAAAACGGGAGGGGGCAGATTCTGCCCCCCCCCCGCGGGGCGCGGGATATAGGCCGTACCACTAGTCACCTTTGTTTTAACATCACGGACGGCACGTATGCCATCCTCATCTTACACACTTGATTTTATGGCCCAATCGCTCTGGAATTTCTCAAACTCCCTGACCGGTCAGTGAGTTTGCAAACTCCCTTGTGAATTTGCAGACTCCCTAGTGAGTTTGCAAATTCACTGATGGGTCAGGGAGTTTGCAAACTCCCTAGGGAGTTTGCAAACTCACGGATTTCTCAAACTCCCTGTAACATACACACATACACTCACAGACATGCAAACACATATCATTGACCTTGACCTAACTTGACCTGAAATGACCTCAGCAGCAAAAACCTGGTCGGATAGTGTGACAAAGAGGTTCTAGCTGGCTTAGCACCACAAAACGGCATCGTCATCGGTACCTATATGATGAGCAGCGCACTTGATATCCAACGGTGACCCAAAACAGCAACATTTTTTTAGTTTGTCCTGACTTGGAAGGTCAATGACTGACCTGATAAGGTAAAACTGGGTATAATTGACTTTGTTTCTTCCCAAAGAATCTTTTTGGTCTCTACCGCGAAGTTTTATCTCCAACAGGAACGAAATGGCGCGGGAGGATGGCACCCCCCCCCCCCCCCATGTGCGTTCTAGGATGGGAAAATGGCATGTGCGGGCGAGGGTTAAGTATATCCTGTGACAGTGGCGGATCCAGGGGAGGGCAAATAGGGCATTTGCCCCTCACAAACGGCAAAATTTTAACATTACGCCTATAGACAGTGCATGGAAAGAAACGTTAACTGTTTGCCGCTCCCAAAACTCTGAGCTGGATCCGCCAGTGTCCTGTGATTTGCATAACGCAAAAGGAGAGACATGTAGTTTACTTACGGATGGTAATCGTTGGATTATTAGATTGAATGAATTGCTAGATTCGATTGAACGATAACAGTTTTTAGATTTGCAAGAGCGGTGATGTATTCGTTTGAAAAACTTCTGAACAACCGATTGTGACCATGATACGTGGCAAACAAATACTGACTAAAATACTAAAATTGACTGAACAAATTATAGTTAAAGGAAATAGTTCACTTTCCTGAAATTAGTATTTTGCTATGGATTTATGTTTTTTATGCTCAAAATGATCAGAAAATAAAACAAAACGTTTTTGTAAAAAGGATTATTTTCTATATTTTAGTATAAGAAGAACTATATTCTATGCAAAATAATGTTTGACGCGGAAGCTTATTACGCGTTGACCAATCATATTGCGTAGGACAAACCTATCGGCTGTAAGCAGCATTCTGATTGGCTGACGATGACGTGACTGCATTCCTCAGCAAGGCACGCATTCCTCTGCAAGGCACTCTTTTCGGAACGAAAAATGGAATATCTTCGTCTAGGGTGATCGTTGGGCCGTAAAAGCTTCTGATTTGTGCTAGTCTCAGCGCAAGCAACAAAACTGCTATTCCAGTTCCAAACCCCATGTTAAAAGTGAACTATTTCCTTATAAGTTCCAATGTGGCATGATGAACTACCTGTGTGGCATGGCATCAACTGTTTTTAAGGAATTTCCTACAAAAGAAAGTAACATTTAACCTGTGCTGATTTTAATCAATGATCGAGGAGAACGTCATTTAAAATACCAAAGCTAAAAAAATTTAATCGAAAGAACGCCGCATAAAATTTTATCATGAAACAGACGCATGGATATGCTAAGATGTCACGTGCAAAGGTCAAGTGTAATCAATAATCAACGCGTTTCAGCCGCGAGTTGGGAGCGCAAAGCGTTTTCCAAGCGGGACGCGTTTTCGACGCGAGTTGTGAGCTGAATTGCAAGTGAAAACACAGCGAACGAAGCGATTTCCGCGCTTGACGCGAGTTCGACGCGATTTGCAAGCGTGTGCTGTGTTCCGGCCTTTAACGGATGCAGACTGAAGAAACCACTGCCAATAGCGCTCAGTCATATTTTGTTTAAAGAGAAAACTAGCAAAATCAGTCATCAAATTGGAAAGAGCGTGTGCTAAACGGAAATCAAGATAGCAAGGTCAATCGACATGTTTATACAGTTCCTCCCAAATCAAATTCCAAATAATAATCTATACACCAGTATAGCGCCTTTTGGGGCGACTAACGGAGCGAGCGAGAGGGTGAGCCTTGCACGTGCGAAATTTTGAGGGGGTACCTCCAACTGACTTGTGCACGGCACCTTACTAACCGGTCTCTAGCGATGTGCCAAATTTGGGCACAATCGGCCCAGCCGTTCTCGAGATCTGGAAGCGGCACCCTGCACGTGCGCACGTGCAAAATGGGTCCCAACTGACTTGTGCACGGCACCCTACTAACTGGTCCCTAGCCGTGTACCAAATTTGAGCGCCATCGGTCCAGCCGTTCTCGAGATCTGGAAACGACCCCTGCACGTGCGCACGTGCAGCAGCACCCCAACTCTGGCACATGGATATGCAGTGCCTAGTGGGTGTCTACCTACATGCCAACTTTCAGCGCAATCGGCCCAGTAGTTACCGAGATATTGCAACAATTACAAAACTGACACCTCTTCGTTTTGCACGTGGCACGTGCATAAGGGGTCACCCACATGCATCGGGAATATTCCAATACTTGGTAGAAGGAATGAAGCTACCCTACAAAAATTACCGCGTGTAAATCGGTCAAGTGGTTGCTGAGATATAAGCCTCGCAAAAGCGTCCGCACGGCCGGCCGGCCGCTCATACTCAGAAATTTCCGTTAATCTAAGGAAAGACTACGCTCGCTTCGCTCGCTCCGTAACCACAAATTCCATGTTATTGTTAGGAACGCCTATCCAACGTAACCGTTAATTCGGCCTTCCACGTCTCGCCACTTTCCTCTCCACTTCTCTCTCCACACCATCATACCCGTGTTGGGCTGTCCATCCGAGTGTGTGCGCCCCCCTCCCTCTCTCCATACTCCCTGTCCTCCCTCCCCTCTCTCGTACCCGTGTTGGGCTGTCCATCCGAGTGTGTTCGCGACGAGGGGGCGCCATCCCGCGCCGCCACCTCCAGCGCGTACGCCTGCTTGTACTCGCGATCAAACGTCTTCTTGGTGAATATCTCGCCCGTGTGCTCGTTGATCTCGAAAAAGTCCTTGCCCTCGTTGCGGGGTGAGTCGATGATGGAGTAGTAGACCTGGCGGAGATATGGGGCGGCACGGGTCACGCCAGGTGTACGGGAGCCACGGGATATACAGCAACATGAACATTCTAGTTAGTAATTAAGGCTGTGATGACAGATGGCTGGAAGAAGTCACTGGAAAAAAAAAATCAAATACATTTTCTTCGTTATCATAAAGGTGTAATTTGTAGGACAGCAGCTGCAGCATATCTGTCCTCACTGGTTTACACCTGTACTTCTTACTTATTTGGTCACAGAATCTCTTTCCACCTAGCTTCCCATCCACGCATTTTAACCCCCCCCCCCCCCCGGAAATTCTACCTTCAAGCACCTCCAGCCCGCACCTCCCGCCTCTCCCATCTTACCCCCTGAATACTGACCTGTTTGTTGGGGAAGGTGCCGTCCTTGTCGATGGCGTTCACCTGCGTGACCTTGGTGCCGGGCGGCTCGCCCTCCAGCACCGTCTCCTGCTCCCGCTCCGTGAACAGTGGGATCTCGTCGTTAACGTCGTCCAGCACGATGTAGATGGTCGCCTCAGAGGCCAACTGCTGAGCGCCGTTATTCTGAGAAGGATCGGGGTAGAGTTAGAGTGGGGTGGAACGGTTATGGCTCAGCTGGAAACGGCCGGATCAGTGGGGACTATCGGTAAAGAGATGATAGTAAGTGACGAAATTCGATTAAGTTTTACGGGTTAAGAGCAAGATTCACAAAAATCGTAAGACTGGAGCATTACTCATACCACACGTCCAACTAGAAACAACCACACCAAATAACCAACAACAGCCCATACTCAGTCAATCACATTTCCACACTGGCCCGTGTCCCACCCCCACCCGGCCACAAACTCAGCTCACCTCGACCCGAATGGTGAGGTTGTACTCCTTGATGTCCTCGTAGTCGAGCGGCTGGTTGACCTGGATGTCGGCCCACGTCTCGCCGTTCTTGCTGCGCTCTTGCAGGTAGAACGTGTCGTGTTTGTTGGTCTGCGGGGTGCTTCCCCGGATCAGAGAGTAGAACACGGTCGGGTTGCCCTCGATCCCAGAGCTGTGGGGAGGGGAGGACGAGTGTTAGGAGGTAGCTAAAATGCGTTCAAATGAGGGTGAACGTCAAGGCCAAACAAACTGAATCGATGGAGCTGTGTTCGCTGAAACAAAAATCCTACGATGTACTCTTGTTCGGCAACCAATGAACAGTCATTTGAAGACCATCGGTCTTGTTTGATACCACACTGTTCCGTAATGTGAGGGAAATCAAACATTTATAGACCAAGACGATGCAATTAAATATAATTTGAATTGAAACAAATTCATACTTGAGCAAATCAAAGTTTTTGACTAGCATATCAAATGGATCACATTAACAATGAGCCATGCCACGACACGTCATCAAATTGCGCTGTCACTTTATCAGTGATCAGGCCAAAAACCGAGCACAACATCCAAACACGCATCCACATTCATACATTCGTTGTTGTGTGCATGCCCACAATGCTGGGTAGTGGGTACGCCTCGATGAACAGTCAGGCAGCGTGCTTGTCGCGGGTCGCGGGGAAAATAACACCCATGTACAGGGTGTCCCAGAAGTCTTGAAGCTTTTTTATTTTTGTCGTGTGACCTTGCTATGCCACCGATTAAGGCAAATGACGCCTCAAACGAAAGAGAATGAACTGAAATTTTGTATTTTCATGCGTAGAGCACCACTTTAGTCAGGTGGCCCCCGTTGTGAGTCGCACAAGATTGAGCACGAGAGATCACGTTCTTCGCTGCCGCCAAGATCTCCCGGTTTGCGAAACACCGGTGTCGCCATGCCCGTTTCTGGTCAGCTTCAGAGCCTTATTTCATGAAGCGAGCCAGCCGCCAGGAAACAGAGTATTGGATCTCCCAGAAAACATTAGCAACATAATGATTTACTGATCAGAAAGTCTCCTGACATGTTTGCACGCATCCATTACGGAAATAAGGCTCAGCTGCTTGAGCACGCTAAGCAACAGCCCGTTGTCATCCTTTGATTCGTCGCATTATTATGGGTCGAAAACAAATATCAACCCGTCGGAAATATATGTCGCTAATATTATGTCCCTCGCTTCAGGGAATAAAACTCTGAAGCTGACAAGAAACGGGCATGGCAACACCGGTGTTTCGCAAACCGGGAGATCTTGGCCGCAGCGAAGAACGTGATCTCTCGTGCTCAATCTTGTGCGACTCCCAACGGGGACCACCTGACTAAAGTGGTGCTCTACGCATGAAAATACAAAATTTCAGTTCTTTCTCTTTCGTTTGAGGCATGATTCGCCTTAATCGGTGGCATAGCAAGGTCACACGACAAAAATAAAAAAGCTTCAAGACTTCTGGGACACCCTGTAGATTATCTTCAGTGGCCGTCACTTAAATAGTATGATCCGCCCCTGAGCTAGCCGAACACAACAATCATGCACCCTGTTTTGAAAAACCACTGCTCCTGCATAATAGGAAATCAGCCTGTTGGAGCTTAGTGGTAATATTTAAAAAAAAAATATTGAGATATTCGGCAACGACCCTAAATGAATGGATGACCTGTGATTTGAATTCCACTCGTAAAAGTCCAAACTAATGATTTTCGGGACGAAAAATGTAAGATAAATACCGACCCCGAGCGTGGCTTTGCTGTGCTTAAAACAAGCCCTGTACTGTATCCCTGGAGAAGTGCATTGTGTGAACAGAAAACAAATGATAATTATGCGAAAACTATCCACAGAAAAAAAAACTTAAAGCATCACAAAACACTCCTCATTGTGATGCCCACCAAAGGATTAATCAAGCACCGAAACATCCATTTAGCATGACGGTGGCGTTACCGCGTCATGGAACGACGTGTGACCAAAAACTAACAACATTTCCGAAACACAAACTCAAACAGATGCATCGTGATTACCCCGATGGCAAGCATGAACATTTACGCCATGTTTCTAACACGAACATTCAACATGACATGCTCCTATCTTATGCATGAATGAAAGCTATGACTTATCCAGGGTATATTGAATATAGACTTATCACTTAACGAACATGGTAACTAAACTGTAACAAACAAAAATGAGTCACGGGTGGCCGAAGCACCAGCGCTTCCTATTTCCTGACCTCCAAAAGTGAATTCTATCACATTAAGCATATCCAATCAGCCATGCAACCAATGCACGATAAAATCGAAAACCCATGTATAAAAGTGTGTAACCCCGCAGTCTATAACCGAGCACCCTGTGCCTCAGCTGGTTTGAGGTGCACGCTGAGCATGCACGTTGTGCAGGTGGGACGGCCGGGGCGGCGGCGCGTGTCATGCGGCGTCCGGCCGCCCCGCGCCCCGCGCGCTGCGCTGCCGACCTGGCCTTGGCCTGAATGACACTGGATCCGACGGCCATGTTCTCGGGCACGTAGATGGGTCCGTAGACGATCTGGCCCCAGACGGGCGGGTTGCTGCCGCGGTCCACCACGTCGATCTGCACGTCCACCGAGCGCGACAGCGGCGGGTAGCCGCGGTCCTCGGCCGTGGCTCGCAGTCGGTACGTCGCCCGCTGTCCGCCGCACCAGCAGCAGCAGACAAACAGACACACACAGAAACACAAGCCCAGCGTTAGTTTCCAGCGGCCAACGCGGGCGGTTAGTCCCGCGACGGTAGCGCCACGGGGCGGCGGCAGCTGCAACTGTTAGTTCCCTGCGGCGCCTATAGATGACGCCAGCGTCGGGTCTCACCTGGCGCGCATCGTATACACGCGCTGTCCCACGGCGACGTTCTCTGGGACGTGCACGGGTCCGTACACACTCTGGCTCCAGATGGGCGGGTTCGAGTCGCGGTTGATGACGTCCAGCACGATATCGGCCTCCGAGGAGAGCCGCTCGGGCCGACCGAGGTCTGTGGCGGTCACACGCAGCCTGTACTGCGGCAGCTGGCGGGCGGCCGGCGGCACCACCGGCTCCGTCAGCCACGGACAGCGCACAGACGACAACGGCCCCGACACAGACACACACACAAACAGGCACACAGACGGCGAGACATGCGCAGACACGGGCACGGGCAGCGGCGGCGGACAGGGTGAGCCGCGGTGGGACAGGGAGCGGGCAGAAACGGTGGGAGGGAGGGGATACAGTGGGTAGATCTAGGCGAGTGATTTTCTGAAAAAGAAAAGCATTTAATGCGGAGAGCCAAGGCCAGATATCAAATAATTTTGAGCAAATCTAACGTTATTTGGAACTTGTGCCACGCGCACAAAAGCCTCGAAATTACTATGCCTTCATGTAATTTCTAGCCAAATGAAAATTCGATGTAGCAAATTTCGCCACCAAACAAATGCTGAGAAACGTTTCAGCAACTGATTTTATGGGGTGTTACAATTTCATCCGGCACATCTTCCTTGATGGCTTCTCCTTCAAGCGACTTTAAATCGAATGGAATTTAGGAGTAAATGAGGAACATTGCAGACGGGATTGGTTCGGAATAGCAAGCAGGGTGTGGATGCAGCGAAAATTCCATTTATACACTTAAAAAAACAGTGCAACATTCAGTCATTCACTGGAGCGAACATCGAACATTGATCAGTCTGGACTGGGAAGTAGGAATGATTGCGGGATGTGATTAAGCCGCGGTGAAGTACAATGTCGCTTTGAATAATAAGGATGTGAAATCAGCTATGCATTTGGACATGTATCAAAATAAAATTTAATCGATTTATCAAAGGCAATTTTAAGTGATTCAGTTGCACAGAAGCCCTCTTTGCTTCATGTCAATTGCGACATTCTTTGTAGAAATTGATGTCTTGTTACGTTGAGTCGACGTAAAGAAGAAAGTCAACTACAAGGTTACCACTGAGTGCCGGCTAATTTTCTCATTATGGTCGATATTACTGAAATAATAAATCCCGTGAATAGTCATAAAAGCATAGCCGGTGTTCCGTAAATAGCTGGTCTATTATTTTTCTAACGACCAGCCAACACAGCTCAAGAGAATTCGTATAGCTGAAGCATCAAGAAACTAGTAAATAGGATAGGAAGAAAGGATAAATCAAGTGTAGAACACAAGCAAAACAGAGAGAAACAGGCTACACTAACAAAAACTGAACTACAGACTATCTTCCCACGACATAAACCCCACTATCAAGAACAGACTAGAGAGTCGCACTAGTTTTAGTCCCACTTTAACAGTCACAGTGCCTACATGTACAAAGGATCACAGAGCAGGCAAAGGCATGCGGGGTGCAAGGACCATGCAAAGCAGTGCATCATGCGCATTCATTTCGAGCAAAGCCAGATGAACACAGGACACGACGTCGAGTGAAACCAGCGCTGAATGTCTAGTTCCGAGCTTGGGGAGCCGACTTAGCCGGCTGCAATTGCATCAACTCCAACCGTCACCGTCGCAATCATCGCAGGCGCCAACATCTACGTCGACTGTTCAGTTATCTGTCTAGCTACTAAGCTGTTGGTCTTTGGCCTCAGCACGCGCGCTCAACGTTTGAGGCGACTTAGAAAACATGGCTGCTTCAAGACTACGCTTCTACATAACGGTTTCTCCAAGACTCTACACTTAATCTGTCCACTCTGCAAGATGGCTTCTGTATACTGGGCCCAGTTTCACCAAGTGCGGTAAACTCAATTTGGGGTAAAATACCAAACTACCCCACTCCATAACTACAAAAATACTACCCCGAAATTAGTTAAACTAACTTGGTGAGGTTGGGCACTTGGCCCAATCTCACCAAGTTATGTAAACTTAATTTCGGGACAGTATTTTTGTAGTTACGGAGTGGGGTAGTTTGTTATTTTACCCCAAATTGAGTTTACCGCACTTGGTGAGATTGGGCCCTGGTGTGGCGTGCAATAACTAGAAGAGTAGTGACGTTGAGGGCTAAGTAAGGTGCCTAGAGCCCAGTGCAGAGCTGGTTTCAGCTGACTGAAAAGCCACCACTCACGCATCCCTGTAGACATCGGCCGAGCCATCCATCAACCAGGCGGAAACATTAACCAACCAACCATCGACGATCGCAGCAAAAGAAACAAGTTACCGTATTAATCAGATGCTTCTAACTTAACCCTCGCCCGTATAGGGGGGGGGGTCGAACGGACCCCCCCCATGCTTTTTCGCGAATAACTCGCGTAAAAAGCGGCCGATCGCGACGAAACTTTCAGTACCCTCGCGTTAATCAATTTTACACCTACCCTGAAAATTTCATGACCCTGACCCCAATGACCTTTGACCTGTGACCTACTTTTCGAGACCATGTTTGGCCGGAATCGCGATTCGACGTATGTCGGCTCGCATTAGCCGCGCGTTTGCAGTCTTTTCGTGGTTTCAAGCGTTCAAACATGTGATATGATGCTGCCCCCATGCATTAGGGTGGGTGTCAAGGTCACCTGAAGGTCAGGTCAGGTCATTGACCTTTGGTGACCTCGGTTCACTTTTTCGAGTTTTACATGTTTCTAGGCCAGTTTTTGGAGCTGAATTCGAATTTAGCAACCTTATGAACATTTACGAAGTAGTTTTGGTGCCTTCGTAACATGTTACGAAGCTGTCAGAGGCGGTTGACACCTACTAGGAATACCCGGCAGGACCCCTACTGGTTGACCTGACCTGACCTGACCCGACCTGGACTAAATGCATAAAGACATCATCTATGATCAAAACTAACATGATATTCGTGATCAGCGCCCCGAAAAACCCCATAGCAGCCACACTTTACGACGTTCTAACAGGTCCCGATTTTCCCGACTTTTAGGTCATTGACCTGACCTGCAAGGTCAACCAATGACCTAGGACCTTAAAATTGGGTATCATCGGCTTCCTCTCGTCACGGGCAACACGCTCGTTTTTTCCGCGAAGCTCTAGCTCGATCAGGGGCGAAACGGCAAGGGGGGGGGTCCAACGGACCCCCCCCCTTATAGGTACGTTCGCGGCTGGAAAAACACCAATACGGGCGAGGGTTAACCCGCGCCCAGCTGGGGGTCCTGGATTTCCACGCCCTGCTGGGGGGGGGGTGTTTGAACACCCCCCCTTGTAACTCGGCTCCTGGGCCACGTAGCGATACGCGGAAGGCGGCGTTCGAAAGAGCGTCAAAAATAATGAGGAAATCACTTTGGTCAATTTTTTGGTCAGGTCAAAGGTCAGGTCACCAGAGGTCATTGAAGGCAAAATTTCGCCGATTTCCAGGTCGAATGTCGAAAATTTCCAAGAAGCCAACGCATACCTCGAGAACCAACAGAGCTACAGCGCCGCGGAAAAGCGCATTCGATAGCCCTATTAAAGCCCTTTCTGAGTAATTCTCTCAGATTTGACCTAACGTCAACGGTTTTGCCTGCAGGGGGCAAAAATTGCAAAAATAGCCGATTTTTTCGGAAACAGTTTTTCTGCAATAACTTTTGACCCAAGCCCTGTACGAGCTTACTTTTACCGGCATTGTGTTCCTCTCGTCAAGACGCATCGAATGAACTATAACTTGACCTTGAAAGGTCAACTTGAAAATTTGACCTCAGGTCAAGGTCATGACCTGACCGGAAAGGGTCATGTTGCATATCAGTAGATCCGTATCGTCGAGCTGAACACATCTAAGGCGTTTTCATCGCTCTAGCATGCCTCTATCAAAAGTTATTTGCGAAAAACTGTTAGATACCATTCGTGACCTAAGATGACCTCAGGGCATAAACAAGGGTCACGGACACCATTTTCATGTTCAGTGTGTCTAAACCACTTGTAATTCGGTGTTTGGGAGTGTTTATAATGTCTTTTGTCCAAAAGAGGCGCATTTCAATTTTCTCCCATTGACTTATAATGGGGAGGTCGCAAAATTGACCTGACCTTAGGTCATCGATATCAAAATTCTGAGATATACATTTTGTACATGCTATTGCTCTTAGCAATCGCTGAAAGTTTCAAAGCGATCGGTCACTCGGTGTAGTTATGACAGACATTGAAACTTTTTATGAGGTGAGGTCACTTCAAGTGACCTGGTGACCTGACCTTGAATGACCTTGGTCTGAAATTTTCACAACATGTGTAGAATTGATGTACGATAAGGTGTACCAAAAACGGCGGCGCTCCGCGCCGCCGTTTTTGAGATATTCGCGAAAAACCACAAGGGGGGGGGGGTGTTCAAACACCCCCCCCCCCCCCCCAGCAGGGCGCGGGTTAAGCCAAATCAGCCTCTAGCCAGCATAACACAGGCATATTATGCGGTTCAGACGAGCGTCTCACAGCGTGAGAGGAACTCGAGGATTGCCAGACAGAGTAACTGACGACGAGCCGCATTGAAGTGCGGGTCACATGCCATGCCACTACTGATTTTAGGACTAAAGTACGTATCGCTAAAGTACGTAGGACAAAAGTACGTATGCAAATGTTCGTACGCAAATATACGTAGGCGATAAAGTTCGTATGCCAAAAGTACGTACGCAAATGTTCGTACGCAAAAGTACGTATGCAAAAGTACGTAGTGCATAAAGTACGTATGTCAAAAGTACGTACGCAAATGTTCGTACGCAAAAGTACGTATGAAAAAGTACGTAGTGCATAAAGTACGTATGCCAAAAGTACGTACGCAAATGTTCGTACGCAAAAGTACGTATGCAAAAGTACGTAGTGTAAAATGTACGTATGCCAAAAGTACGTACGCAAATGTTCGTACGCAAAAGTTCGTATGCAAAAGTACGTAGTGTATAAAGTACGTATGCCAAAAGTACGTACGCATTGCAATTGTTCGTACGCAAAAGTACGTATGCAAAAGTACGTAGTGTATAAAGTACGTATGCCAAAAGTACGTACGCAAATGTTCGTACGCAAAAATTCGTATGCAAAAGTACGTAGTGTAAAAAGTACGTATGCCAAAAGTACGTACGGTTCGTATGCCAAAGTACGTAGTGTATAAAGTACGTATGCTAGAAGTAGGGTATAGTAGTGTAAGTTGAGCCACTTTTTCTTTATTGCTGTTCTGTTGCCATACTACAGGGAACTCATGATAAATTCATACATATACCAAATAATATAGCTTTATCCATTTCGCCCATTTACTCATCGAGAAATTTTGCTTTACCTTGTAGCAAATGCTCATTAAATAAAGAATAAGAAAGGTATTACACATTGATCAACTTAACCCAAGGGTGGGGTACGTACTTAATACCCTACGTACATTTGCTATACGTACTTTTGTCCGTGACGTAGGCACTTTTGTCCACACGTAGGGTAGACCGGGGCAAGTCGCCCCGCCGAGGTAAAACGCCTCACCGATGTTTCTCGGAACTGGCAGGGTTCTGGGGAAAGATCCTCTCTTCTGGTAACCCGGCCGGGCCCGGGGGGTAATTCCAACCACCGCAGCCCGGGAGGGGCGTTTTTCGCCCCCCCCCCCCCTATCTAACTCCGTAAATAAGGGAGCTACGCAAACAAAAGCAATACCAAACAAAAGGTCCTTACGAGACGATTCTAAAGCACCCAAAATTTTTGACCTCAGGTCAATTTCCAAGGTCAGAGGTCAAGGTGAAAGGCAAAAACCGGCACATGTGTAGTGATCTCAAAGTGAGCGCTCTAGAGGACGGCAGGATGCATAAAACCGGCAAAATTGGGTGTCAAACGAAAGAAGAGAATCTGAGAACTCCGAAAATGTGCTCAACATCAAAGGTCAAGGTCAAGGTCATGCTCAAAATTGACCTCAAACTTTGCACTTTTTCGTACATCTTGCGTGTCAACTTCCAAGATGTTTTGAAATGTTTTGAGGCTTATCAGGTCCCTATTTGTGGTTCATCTTACGATACAAGGCTGCTCAAAGGTCAAGGTCACAGAAGAGAGTCCTTGCTAGAGGCTATTTCACTGATTTAAGGTTGTAATAATAAATAAGACAATTATGCCATCCGGAGGCTCTAAATAAAGGCTTAGAGGAAAATAGATGCCAGATTCGTGATCAGCGGGTACGAATCCATCATAAACGACTTTTGATGTGTCAAGGTCAACCAAAGGTCATTCGAGGTCACATGAGGTCAACATAAAACTTGCCCTTTTCCAAACAAAATATATATCGTTCGACGCGGCTTGACAAGGCAAATGCGATGGTACCACTGCCGTAGCTCTAGGACCATTTTTGTCGAAGTTATTTGCGAAAAACTAAAACCACAGCTTGGGGTCGTTGACCTGACCTCTGAGTTCTGACCTCAGGTCACTAAAACTAATTTTGTGTTTTTCTCTAGGTCAAACGCTACACAACCGTGCTCGTAATTTGTCTTTATCTCTAAAACTATTTTTAGCAGCTATTTGAAGTTCGCGTCTGTGACACCGAAGTTTGCCGTGCAGTGGTCTAGAAAAATCGACTTTGTGACGTCATCAATGGGGCTAGGTCCAATTTTTTTCTTCAGAAGATGTCAAATTGATGGGAGAAAAGGTACTGAAAGTTTCGCTTTCCTATCCTATCCCTAAGCGTTCGAGAGCTATCGCAAATATTCGCCAGGGGGGGGGGGGCGAAAAACGCCCCCGGGCCCGCGAGGGTCTAGTGTATGGGGCTTCTTGCCTCAGGCCGTGGGGCGTTTTGCCCTGGGGTTGGGGGAAAATGCCCCATTTGCAGTTGCTTCACAAAGCACTTCCTAGCTGGGAGTCCGAATTTGAAGGGTGGATAAAATGTCCAAAGAACACATTGAGCACAAATTTGGCCTTCCAGGTGATGTGAGACAAAAGTAGGTACCTATGTAGCAAAATAAATTATCTGGGGCGTCTTGCCCAAGGCTACCCTACTTTATACCCTACGTACATTTGCTAAGCGTAGGCTTTCGTACGTGACGTACTTTTGCCCATACGTACTTTATCTACGTACTTCTGCGATACGTACTTTTGTCCGTGACGTACTTTTGTCCATACGTACTTTTTACCCTACGTACATTAGCTATACGTAGTTTTGTCCGTGACGTACTTTTGTCCATACGTACTTTATACCCTACGTACTTCTGCGATACGTACTTTTGTCCCTGACGTACTTTTGTCCATACGTACTTTATACAGTACGTACTTCTGCGATACGTACTTTTGTCCCTGACGTACTTTTGTCCATACGTACTTTATACTGGACGTACTTCTGCGATACGTACTTTTGTCCTTGACGCACTTTTGTCCATAGGTACTTTATATTGTACGTACTTCTGCGATACGTACTTTTGTCCCTGACGTACTTTTGTCCATACGTACTTTATACTGTACGTACTTTTGCGATACGTACTTTAATCCTACGTACTTTTGCTTACGTACTTTTGTCCTACGTACTTTAGCGATACGTACTTTTGTCCGTAACCCGCCACTACTACAAGCAAAACATTCTCACTCCGACGGTAGTAACTGGCCCCGCCACCAGGGCGGCGCCACCTGTACTGGCCCGACGGTCAGAGACGAGACCACAGCCGTCACCGCGGGGGTGGGTAGGTTATTTGGTCAGTGGGGAGGACGGCCTTATCCCAGTGCCGCGGCCAACTAGGGTTCCCGTCCCCGCGTTAATGACCGCACCCGCCCGGAGCACATCCAAACCGGCCCACGACTCAGCGAACAGCGAGCAATTAAACCAGTAAGACCGAACAGCCTGCCATAGCTTGAAGGCTTTGTCAAGTGAGAAAAACGGAGTTATGGGCGCCGGTTTGGAGGGACTCCGTATCATGTTAATGATAACCGTGTGAAGGGTCGCAATAAGCGACAAACCACGTCAACTGCGTATGGTTAGTGGGGCCGACACCACGAGACGATACGCCACAGTCCGCAGCGAATAGCCAATACAAGTGACCGGGAAGGCGCATCAGTAAAACAGCTGCCAGCCGCGATCAGCCCAGCCTGATATCAGCAGTTACACCCTGAGCTCAGCACAGCGATAAAAACACAAAAGATGGAAACCATCACTACCGCTACATACCAGTCCCCATCATAATTATCAGCGCATCCCCTATCTACGGATAAATCATTAACATCCCTCAACACCCCCCAACATCCTTTAGCATATTCAGACATAGCACGACACAACTCTTCCCCCGCCCTCCACGCCGCCGCAGTTACTCACATCGAGTGGTTTCTGCAGTGTGATCCATCCGGAGTCGGGCTGGATGCTGAAGTAGTCCAGGTCGCTGGGGTTCTGCGGTGCCGACAGGTTGTACACGATGACACCGTTGTTGTCCGCATCCTCGTCCGACGCCGACACGCGCAGGATGTTGAAACCCACGTGTGTGTCCTGCTTCACGTTCTCGACGTATTTCTGCCGTGGTGGGGGACATGGTTAGTTTGAGGCTGGCGAATGAGCGTGCTACGTTTTACTGAGAATGAACCATAGATCTAAGACCCATTACACGTGTTTTGTGGAGTAAAACACCGAAGTTCACAACGCCAAACTTCTGACGCCAAACGTCTAACGTCAAAACGCCAAACTTTTAACAGGCAGAACGTTTAGAATACACCGGCTTAGGGCGTGAGCCTCCTCATTAAATCAACGTCCATGTAAAGCCATGGTTTATGATCCCAGGATCAAGCGCCGATCCCAAAATACATACACACGTCGTACGCGCGCCATCAGATTAATGAAGCACATGTGAGGCCATCGCAGACGTTGGAGCAAATCCGGTTGGCAACATCGTACTAACGCTGATTAATTCGACAAAGCGGCTTTTCGTCTGACCAGATGAGGACGTTCCGTAGCAGCATCACATCGTACATTCATAACTTAGCACGTTACCTTAGGGGAAGTTGTACAAATTCTGGAAATTCATGTTCATCAACCACCTCTGCAGATAATACTTTTTACCAATATTGCCTTCCTGTTTTTCGCGGTCTATGAAGGTTTTCCTTCACGCACCTGTCTGTCGAAGAGCGGCGGGTTATCGTTGACATCCAGAATCTCGACGGTGAAGCTGCAGACGCCCTCCAGCGACGGCGAGCCCTTATCCGTCGCCTTCACCGTCACCGAGACGAACTTGCCGTCGTCGCCCTCGCGGTCAAACACCTGACAGGGGTCAGGTCGGTGTCAGCGGGCTCGAGACGGAATTCGTGTTATACCTATGCAGTTAGCTCATGGTCAGGACGTCAAGGTCAGGTGAAGAGTAGTGTCGTAAGCACGGAACAGTTGGTAAGGTCGGAGAAAACTAGTTAGTGTTGGAGATAGCGTAAGGGTTGCCAATAGGTCAATATCAGGTCAGGGTGGGAAAAAGGATTAAATGAAAACATTTACGAATTGCAGTCAGAACAGTGCAATTGCACGCCACCATCTCAGTGCTAGACCGGACATACGACCAGCTGTAATGTGTCGCTGAGGGGTACTAAATCATCGTCCTTTACAAGTCACTCATATCCCGCCCAGTTCAGACGGCAGCACCCGCGGCAACACACCAACTTCCAAGGTCACCCTCCACCCCCTGTAGCCCCCCCCCCCCCCGGGGGCGCGTGTCGCCTCTGCCACGCGCGCCGCCGACGTCCTACTCTGTCCCGGCCGTCTCGGAGCGGCGACAAACACGATATGGGAAGTCGATTGAGCTGCTGATCGAGTTGGCAGTCGCCTTCCCCGGGCGGACGGACGCGGATGATGACATTGTTTCCCCGGGGTCCCAGACTGGAGCCGGGCAGGGGCTCGTGGGTCGGAGAGATGGGGCACATTGAGACTCAACAGAGATTGGGGATGAACATTGGCAGATGGATGAATACCCGATGAATGTTGGCCTAGGACATTTGCAATTATATGCCAATGCAAGCTTGATAAGGTGAGTGCATAAGTTCCAATGAATGCAACATGGACTTTGGAGTAAATATAGGGTCTAAGTTAATCCAGTAACAGACGAACCCAGTCGTATCGACTCGACCTACTCAGCAGCCTCTGGTACCGCCCGTTTTTGCTCCCTCCGTTCGTCCAGCCGGGCCGACGCAGCGCGTGGGCGGCGGCGGGGGCGGGGGCGGGGGCGGGGGCGGACCCAGAAGGCACGCAGTCAAAGTGGTCATCAATACCAGCCGGGCCGGTCGGCGGATCAATCAATAGGCGATCTATCAGGGCGCCCAGCGCTGGCGGAGTGGCGCTCACTGCACGGCAGGACCGCCGCCGCCCCGCCGACACTTGTGGGTGATACTGAGTACACAGTCCAGGAGCACCATATCGGCTATACACACAGATCCAGAGCGTTGGCTATACGCAGCTGGGGGCTCCGCGGCGCGGTCAAACGCACAAACCCTCCCTCTGGGGTGGTATTGTGCATAAGCCGGGGATATTTCAGGGCACGTCGCTGGGCCCCGCTGTCGACGCCGGACGGGTTCGCGGATTTAATCCACTCCGAGTGGGCGGCATCTCGTGTCAGATGATGCAGAAATAGCACCGCGCTCCAACAAATTGTGGAAAATAACAGCCGCGCCTTATTGTGGACCAAATGCGCAGTCGCCACGGTATAGTTTTGTGACTTGGGCGAATTTTCATTCTAGCTCCTTTTATGTTTTCTGGTAAGTCTTAAAAATCCTCCATTACAATATTAATTCCTATACAACTTCAATAAGCCCATGAACACCCAGCCTTCTGATAGCCACTGAGGCCTACCGAAACTCCACAGACATGCATATGAATATTAATTCATACCTAGCTATATTTTCACAGCCTATGAAACTAAAAAACAGCACCATCCCCCACCCCTTCCAAACGCAGACGCACCCCTGCTCTCCGAGCCACCCTCACCTTATTGGTGTATATTTTGCCGGTGTCCTCGTCGACAGTGAACTTGGTTCCCTTCTGGTTGGGTTGCTGCACGATGCTGTACTTGACCTGGCCGTTGATGCCCTTGTCGGCGTCCGTCGCCTTCACCTCCAGAACGAACCTGCGGGGAGGGTCGCGGTCAGGTCAGGTCAAGTCAGGACAGGTCAGGTGAAGTACAAGTTGTAAGGGCAGGTCAGCTCAGGGAAGGTAGGGCAGGGCAGGTGAAAAGGTATTTAGCGAAGTAAGTGAACTTACCTGTGGAAAAAAAACTGATTATCAGCCTCATGCGATTGTTCAAAGATTGCTAATACGATCGCGCCGAGCAGACTGTTTTCGTCACCAGCAGTAACAGGTCAATGTGCTTTTTGAGCTTTCAGAACCTGACTATAGCATTTAACAGACTGACAAACATCGAAAAGCAGTCCGAGTATCTCCCCCTCCCCATCCCCTCCCCTGTCTCACTCTCACCTGCCGTTGGAGGCGGACTCCTCCACTGTGGGGTGGTACTGTCATCTCCTCTAACATCCCTTGCCCACCGCTCTCCCCTGATCCCCTCCCTATCACTCACCTGCCGTTGGAGGCGGACTCCTCCACTGTGGGGTGGTACTTGTCGCAGTCCTTGAACAGCGGCTTATTGTCATTGACGTCCGTGATGAAGACGACCACCACGGCCGTGCTGGTGTGGATGGTCCGGCCGCCGCCGTCACAGCATGAGCCGTCGTCCGTGGCCGTCACGTTCACCTGGGGGACGGTCACAGAGGGGTCAGGTAGAGGTCACAGCGGGTCAGTCAGGAGTCACAGCCGGTCACAGCGTGTCACAGAGGTCACAGGAGGTAACAGTGGGTCAGTAGGAGGTCACGGGGGTCAGTTAGAGATCATAGGGGGTCAGTCAGGGGTCACAGTGGGTCAGTTAGAGGTCACCAGAGGGACAGTTAGAGGTCACAGAGGGTCAGTTGAAAGTTAGGACGGGTCAGAAGTCATAGCGGGTCAGTCAGAGGTCACAGTGGGTTGGCAAAAGGTCACAGCGGACCAGAGGTCACAGCGGGCAAGGTAAGTCAGTTCCTGAGAGCAGAGGTGTTAGCTGTGGAGGCATTACCAATTGCAATCAAATTGCAAAATATAAAACTTGTGGGCAAAATAGCTAGACAGATAGTTCGACATGACCATCAGTCTCAGCATCAAATGCAAAAAAAAGACTTTTACGATATGTCAGTCATTTTGACCCATCTTTACCTTCGTCCACTTTCAAGCACGAATAATGATGGGAGAAAAACGGAACAAACAGAAGAGGGGTAACTGCGATGCCCCTTCGGTCGAAGCCCGCGAGGGGAGGAGATGGGAAGCTGGGCTTTGTCTGCTGTCGCCATCGCCCACCATACGTTGGCTGAGAAAAAAAAACCTGTTTCGACACTTAATAGTTGGGCACAGGAAATGGCCGAATAAACGGCCATTTAGAGGGAGTATGGGAAGGTGAAACAAATAAATATGGCATGCGACAAGATAAAGACAGTATGGGGTGAGAGAATAAAGGAGCAAATGTCAAACGATTCTTCGAGCGGAAGTCCCGAGACTAGACGACACCGATAAGAGGACACTCGAAAAATTAATAAATAAAACCAAGCCAGCCCGAATAAACCAAGGAAATGTCTCTAACGCTTCCTGGCTATCGACCGGCTGTGTCTGGGCGGTCGGATACGGTAATGTGCGGGGTTATGGGAGCGGCGCCCCGGGGGACTGGGAAAGGACCGGGTCGGCGGGGCCGGGTCGGCGGAGAATCATTCATCACGTCTGTCGCCAGCAGCGGCCTCCTGTGGGATATATACGGGATACAGGCGATATGAACGGCCCGGCAGCGGCCGCCGTAAATTGTCACCGGCTGCGGACAGCCACGGAGGGGAGATGGGAAATAAGGGAGATGGGATGGTGGGACGGTGGGACAGTGGGACGAGAGGGCGGTTGGGTGGTAGCCATGGGACGGTGGGGTTGGTGAGAAGATGGGACAGTGGGATGATGGGATGGTGGGGCGGTGGGACGGAAGGGCGGTAGAACGAAACTGCGGCGGGTTATCAAGCCCGTGCTCAGTGCTACCCTCGGCAATGATTTCCTTACACAGGCTCACAAAGTGAAATGTCTTGCACAGATCATTAATGTTACACGATTCTCACGACTGCGTAACAAAAACAGCACATAATTGACCAGCAATCAGCTAAAGTGCTTGCGTTTTGAAATGAGATACAGCGCGGGAGAATCGCCCCACAAGACAGACTATCGTTAAAAATAATACCGCTAGAAGAATGATGGGATATATCTACCCGAGCACTGCTATATTGTGTCATGCCATGAATTAACCAGGACAGGCCTGTACAAAGGAAAGCTTCGTAGTTCGTATTACCTACATCTTCCATAGACTATAGCTGAACAAGATTCTTGCAGACAACCTGAACCAGCAGCTATCCACGGCTCGATCACCATATTAATAACAGCCAAGATAGAACAAGTGGACGGTTGCTACGGCTCCAGAGCTGGAGTAGCCAGCAGTGGACCAGAGAGAGAAAGAGAAAGAGAAAGAGAAAGAGAGAGAGAGAGAGAGAGAGAGAGAGAGAGAGAGAGAGAGAGAGAGAGAGAGAGAGAGAGAGAGAGAGAGAGAGAGAGAGATGTCGGGTGGGAGGGCGAAGGAAGAGCGAGAGAGAGAGAGAGAGAGAGAGAGAGAGAGAGAGAGAGAGAGAGGGGGGGAGGGCAGGCTCATACGGCCTACAACTTGGGTGCGCCAGCATCCCCAGAAATCAGGGCCGCCGGTTAATCGCGCAGCCCCAGACCGGCAGCATGAGTGACACTCTATTTCCGTCAGGGCCCCGCTGTCATCCATTCATGTCATATCAGACATGACATGTGGCGGCCGGCATCGGAGGAAGTCGATTTAACTAGGCGAGAGCTGAGCTATATCCCTAAGAAATCTTGACTTAAACTGGCAGAGAGTTCAGGCCGTTTCCAAGACAGTGTGTGCCAGCAATACGAGCAATATCGAACAACGATGAGTGAAGAAAACGCTACTACGAAACGCAATTTGTGATTATGGGTCTGATCACAATATAATATGAAATATAGGTATGCGTGAGAAATTGACATCAGAAAAAAAGATAAAAGCATCATTTACGAAGAAATTTTAGCTTCAAGTACCTCTAAGGAGGAATGCTAAAAACTATTCGAAATAAGTGAGAATTAAAACATTGCAGCACCTCACCAACTTCAGAACCGCCTATCAATGTCACATCAGAGAGAACACCCTTACTTACAATGTTCTGCCCTGCGTTGCCCACTGTTCCGTCCAACATCCGTAATAACATGGTTTGAAATGACATTGAAAAAAAAACATAACGACTAAAAGACATTGGTTTAAACATAGACCTCTGTATACAGAGGTCTATGGTTTAAGCAATACTGATTTCATCGACAACACAAAAGCCGCAGCTCATAAAAAAACTCCCTATGTGACGCGCAATAAATTTTCGGAAATCACTCAGCCGATTAAATCCCTCTCGTAACGGACACAGTGCATAATTTATTACACACTCTCATCAGTTAGCTGCCCGTTTTGTTCTGTCTCCCCCTCCATTAATCCACTAAGAGTTAGAAATTACTCCGTATCACGCTAGTCTCTCCCCCAGCATAAGGCCCCTGTCTGGGTGCTCGTGGGTCCGGGTAGGAGAGATGAGCGAGGAACGAAGAGAGGAGCGAGGGTCGAGGGACCAGGGCAGAGGAAAGAGGGACTAGGGAGAGGAGGGAGAGACCACTGTCCCCTCTCTGGGAGTTCGGGAGGAAAGGGCAGGTGAGATACGAGCGCGGCACCAGACAGACGGCGACACGCCCAGCCGCCGTCAGCAGTAACCCGGTCTGATTGCCCTTGTGACCGCCAGCTCAGTGCCGGTCCAGGGTCTCTGCACGGAGACAGAGGGAGGAGCCGACCTCATCGGCGGCGGCAGAGCGGAGGGAGATTTCCCCCGGGGTCGGGCCGGCCGCTCTGCTCAGAGTGGTGCGGGCTGGTGTCCGACCAGGTCGGGACATTGTGGCACAGCGAGACGGGAATTGAACTGGGACAGGGCGAGACGAAAGGGCAAAGACAGACAGGTCACTGAATGGCACTCATATGTCAAACGAAATAAAGCCGTTTCAGCTATTTGATGATTTAATGATCTTCCTACGAGGAAGAGAGTCGGGATTGGTCGCAATTTCCATCACATATCCAATGCAAAATGGGGCTAGACGAATGACCAATAAAAATCGTGACCAACCGAGTCCAGAAATGAAAAGCCAACAGAGTGAGTGGTGACTTATTTTGACCAAGTATGTCCCTTCCTCATTTTCATGCGGTGGCCGCTGCTATCAAATTTCGCCAATGACAGCGAAAAAACATCACGATGGGAGATAAGAGATGAAATAGGGCTACTGAAACGCAGAGAGTAGTCTGAACAAAGGCGACTGTCATTGATTGTCACCTATCACCCTCTGCCGTCCAGCAGTCCCCTCCCTCTGCCGTCCCCACCGCTCTCTCTCCCTCTCCCCGGTCCAACCAGATCCCGGCGGGCCTCTCAAACGGTCCTACCCCGTCGGATGGTTCGTCGGCCCGGAGAACGGCAGCGCAAGCGACCACGGCGCTATCCCAGGCCGCCCGAGTCAGTGGTCTAAAGATGACCGTGTGCTGCGACAGTGTGCAGTGTTGTGGGATGTGTTAATTCAAGGACCGCGGCGCGGTGCCTGGCACAGAATGTCGCGATGTGGCCGCTATCTCGCGGTGTATCCGTGTATCTGTGATGTTTGGGGAATTAAACTGTCTCCTGACGTTAATGTCGGCGTCGTTGGAGTCATTTCTGACGTCAGAAGCTGCATAGTTCACCGGAAGGTTTCAGATGACTCATGACACTCAGTAATGGGACTCCAGACATCTCCAAATCTCACAGAATCTGCCCCACCAGTGACCTTACTCAAAGGTCACCGGCGCATTATACCCGTCACTAGCCGCACTGGGGCCTGCACGGAACTCAACAAAACGAACGGCCGACTCAATTCATAATTTTGCAGAGACCCGCCGAGCAGCATACATTCTCATTTATGACGACCATAACGAAATGGTTCCCAGAAGCCGGGAGGCATCCCGACAGTTCTCATGAATCATTCCCCCGAATTATGTCGCGGAAACGTTGAAACAGTGTGCATTCGCCACGTAGCGCCCAGTTTCAAAGAACACCATGACTTATCACTAACATGATAGGCCAGCGGGTGGGTTCAACTCTCTGGAGCCATTAGAGGATCGCCATCACCCCACCGGCCACCACCCAGTCATTCCGTTACTATGCACGGTGCCCATCGCATCGTGTCCGGAAACGTGACAAGGGTCGTTAGCGGCGCCATTTCGCGGACCAGTGACCGAGATGATCGTACAATCTGCGCTGAGACTGAGAAAAGACGGACAACAGCCGCCTCCGACGCTAGGGCTCCTTTCCGGAGAATAGATGAGCTGCTGAACAATGGCGATGGGTGCATGGAAATGGTGCGATTTTCTGCTGGTGGCTCAAATCGGTGGGACAGGTGACAAGTACACTACATGGAGAGTACACATCACAAAGTGTGGCTTTGTCTGAGGAAAGATAAGCAAGAGGTGACGCTGCTTGTGGATCCGCATGAATGGGCTACAGAACAGCACGGATCAAGTTGTAAAGGAGAGAAGCCAACCTCGGAAAACACGGAAGCCAACCTCCCATCCTAGAAACGAGAATCACACAATGATGTAGTTAGGACATTCGAGATACTTTCCGTGGGAACGAAATCGTCATCCACCTTCAATAGGTCTGAAGTAAGGAAACCTGCCAGTCGCCCACCCTACCCACTATCCCATCTCTTCCCCTCCCCTCTTACCACTCACCTCGTATTTATCCCGGTCGAGCTCGATGGCGCCGTTCCTCAGCCGTATAACACCCGTGTTCTGCTCGATCATGAACTGGCCGTAGGTGTTGCCGCCGTTGGCGAAGCCGTACTTGACGCGGTCGCCGTCCTTGTCCGATGCCACCACGGTGGTGACGAGCGCGTTGGGGCCGGCGTTCTCGTCCACATTGGGCGTGTACACCTGCTGCGTGAAGCGCGGCTCCTCGTCGTTCTTGTTTTTGGTGTACACGCGGACAGTGGCGGTGCCCGTCTTGGCCGGCTCGCCTGCGGCGGAGGGAGGGCGAGGGATGTTAGTTCAGGGTCATGGGGATTAGTGCGAGGGGTTGGATGAGCATATAATCGGCGTGAGAAACAACTGGAATTTGGCAACAACCTTTTGATTAAATTATTTACTAAATAGAAAGTTCCCATAATAACCGTAAATTGCTAATTAGCAAACCACTACAAAGCGTCTATCGAGCTACTGAAATATGGCACAAATATCGCTGAGAATGGACATGGTGCGAACAGCACGCTACATATGATCACCCTTGCTGGAGCAGCGGCACCGCTACCCAGCTCATTATATGGTAACCCCCCCCCTCCCCCACCTTGCAGTGCAAAAGACCTCGGCTCCGCCCATTACCCTTCCCCTCGCCACCGAATGGCCCCAGTCGAGGTCACAGTCTAAACGCTGAGCACCCACCGTCCTCGGGGTAAACCGACATCCACTGGTGGGGGGAGGGGGGTCACGACCCCGTCAAAGCCCCCTCCCCCTAACGCATTAGCCCATGATCAATGCTGCGCACCACTGCATAAATCGCGGGCAGCGCGGGTCCGCCCAGTAACTCAATGGGTCCCCCGACCACCGGCGAACGGCATTCAAACCAGGCTATGGCATGAATGAAACGCTAATTAAGTCGTTAGAGCATCAGTTCACCGACCGAATGGTCACAATGAACCGGTACCCCTCCCCGTCCCGCGAAGGAAGGCACCTAGTTAGACTGCTCAGCCGTCGCCGTCGCCGGCTCGGGGGTTAGTAATGCGACTGTCAGTGGCGGCGGCGGAGACTCTGGGTATCTAAGCTCGGCTCACACCAGCGGCGGGTAGTTACCCTCTGGGTGATGCTATCAGAGCCCATAGGTGGGACAGGCACGCTCCGGAGTGGCGTGAGACGAGGCAGCCGATGGGATGCGAGCCGACGCGGTTAATTGACACTGATTAGGCCGAGCATGTGTAGCAGGGAGGTTATTTATCTTGACCTACATCGCCGCATAACTTAGCATTATGACTTGTTTTGTGTCCCGTTTTCGCATAATCAATGCAATCATGTTCAAGCCCAGAACAAAGCTTTCCTCTCTCCCTATGTCACCTCGGTTCCCGCCTTGCCCCACTAGTCTCTCCTTCCCACCCCTACATCCCATTGCGTCTCGTTCTCCCTGACCCTCCATCCCTGCCTCCCATCACCCGGCGGCACCTTTCCTGCCGCTGCCGGCCGTTTTAGAGTCCGCAGTACGCTCCCCGTCCGCGGCCGACTGTCTGGCCGAGCCCGGCCTCAGACGATCAATAGCCCGCTCCCATCGGCCGGTCGGAGCGCCGCAGCGCCGCGGCAGCTCGTGCGACGCACAGCTCGAGCTCAGCAGCGGGCGGCACTCGAGGCAGCAGCGGCGGCGGGGCTGAGACCGCCCCAGGGCTAACGGCCACGCGCCGGTCCGACCCGACGCCCGGCCGGTGACCGTTTGAACTGGCAGTGGCGACCGCGGACGTCCTTGAAGACTTACCACGCGAGGCCAATCGGACGGTTGTCGCTGCTATGTGGAAGAATTAGGGGTGGGGTTGGGGTAGGGATGAGCATTAGGGGTAGGGTTTGGGGTAGGGGTACGGCAGGTTACATCGACAGGCAAGACAGGTATGTAACCGGTCGACGGATACGGAACACATGGGAGGCTGGGGGGGGGGGGGGGGGGGGCTAACACAGGTACGATCAACGAGGGGTATGAAAACGGTCAGCGGCAGTTTCGGCGTGACCTCTGCAACTGGCAGAATGTGGATGGGTCGGAGTCGCGACCAAGCTCGATAACGCACAGAAGGCCAAGACCGATATAACCAGACAGTAACCAGCACGGGAGAAAGAGGCGAGGGATAAGAGCCGAATGGTTTGAAGGGTGGGATAGAGGTCCGATGCGCACAATCGTGTGTGAGTTTATGGGAAATTCAAAGACTAGTGCATAATTACTACAAATGAGGATTAGCAGTTGAGCCCCAAACCCACAAAGCTATGGCTGCGCTTGGCCGTGCGAAGCTACGGTGATACAAATAACGCGCACCTTGCAGCCGTTTTACACTGCATCGATTTACGCCACAAACAATTTGTTGGCCCGTAGTCAAACACTGACCGTATGTGCATGTCCTTAGCGTTTGAACGTCCCTGCCATTTCAAAGTCAAGGCTGTGCCCCAGACGAGGCCTGGGTGGAAAATAGCATACAGGACTAGCTTCATTATATCTACCAACCGCCAGCTTCTTCGAAATAGACGACCTTCACGCGTCATCCGGACGATTGCATAATTAAACTCGAGACATGACCTCTCACCGAACCGGATTCAACTCAGGACTTTGGCATTGAATGTAACGTGAAACCACCCTTGAAGCGGGCATCTCTCAGCTCCGACAGCCATTTCTCGCATTTCTCTCAGCCCAGCGCCCGTATACAGAGAGGAGGCGGCGGACGCGGCGGCCCACACGAGAACAGCACGGCACCGATCAATGCGGCTCGCAGGCCAGCTGAGCATTTGAGCGCGCAGACCGAGCGCAGAGGACGGTTTGAATCTACATCTGCCGCCGCTGCTGCCGGCAGTCACAGTGAAGGGTCACAGGCACAGTCACTGTCAAAGCTACAGCTATAACTACAGCTTTAGCCTCGCCACCGCTACTGGCAATCATAGACCAGTGGAGTGCCATGGGCAGTGGACAAGATGTAAGACAACGGTGGACATTGGGTACTTAGGGTAATGGGTGATAGGTAATGTAAAGGCAAACGGTGGGAGGTGAGGATAGGATGATGCCTGACGGGACGCGGGCGAGAGGCGATGGGAGGCTGGTGATTAGTGGTCGATGGGCGATGGACGATGGTCGAAGGTCGATAGCGACGAACGGTGGGCGACAGCCGGTGGGCAGTGAGCTGCAGTGGCCGATAGCCGATTGAACGCCGACGGCCGCAGCTGTTGCCACGGAGAAATTAGAAGGCAGGCCTCACAACCGACGGCCGTTAGACCGCAGCAGGAAAGATGATGCAGATTACAGCAGAGCCCGTGTGGACCGCCGAGCGTTGCTTGGAACTACCTACTGCTTAACATATAATCCCTTCCATCAAAATGATCAGCATGAAACAGCCTACCTCACTCAGCTAAATGTATTGCTTTCTTTTCGATCTAAATATTTTCATGGTTTACTATAGTTAAACAAAATGTGTCCCTAAATTTTTACTACCTATTTCAAAAACGTTGCGCTTAGGAAATTTTTGCCATTTCAAAATCGATGCACTTAGGTATCATTTGTTCCCAAATTTCTATACCCTAACCTCCGCCCCTCCCTTCTCCCTCTCTCCCCAACCCTTCCCCTGCTCCCCCCGTCCCCCTCTCCCCTCCCCGACGCACCTCTGTCGGTGGCGGTGACCAGGAACTGGTAGAGCCCGTTGTTGTTGTCCGCGTCCAGCACTCGGTTGTTGTAGATGACCCCCTTGTCGTCCACGCGGAAGTGGTCGTCGGACACGGAGTAGGTGAGGTCGGCGTTGGTGCCGCTGTCGGCGTCCGTGCCCTTGACGCGGATCAGCTCGGAGCCGATCGGGATGTCCTCCTCGACGTTGTGCGTCTGGTAGTCGGGCAGCTCAAACTTGGGTGAGTTGTCGTTCACATCCATCACCTTGATGGTCAGCTGCGGGACGGAACAGAGCGGCGTGAGAAAAGGGCTCATGAAAAACAAGGAGGGGCTACGAAAGAGTGGAGCGCTAGCAGCAAAATACGAATACGATACATATTACAATTAAAAACATCGAAAACGGGTAAGTGCAACAGATAACTTCGATGACAAATATTTCATGAATTTGCTTTTTATGTGACTCGATGACAGAATTGGAAGGAGTTTGGGCTCCACGTCGTATCTGCTAGGCCATTTAATTACATGTCTAGTCCGGGCAATTCGTAATAATGAGCAGGATAATCAATACACTATTGAGAAGAACGAATGTAAAAGTAGCTACACAATATTTAAAAATGCAGCTCAAGATCAGAAAGAGAAAGTGGGTTTAAGAGAAACTCCTCAGTCCTCAAGACCATGGTGAATAATCTGCTTCAAGAGCAGCAGCCTGAGACATTTCCTCCCGCAGAGGGCTCTGCGCTCAATAGTTCAGAGTTTGGTGCTTTCGCGAGTATCTTACTGCATCACAGTTTACGGGAACGGATCCGCGGCGAACGATGCTCGCATGCTCAAGGTTGTCAATTTTGCAGCGCGTGTAGTGACCGGTCTTAGGAAATCTGATCACATCTCTCGAGCGCGAAATCAGTTGTGTTTTATGGTCCCGCGGCAAATGCATGATTTGTATACCTTGACTGCAGCTCACAAGATACTTGTCAGTGGAGAGCCGTCCGAACTGGCCTCACTCTTCCAGTGCTTTTCCGACGCGCGCAATTGTGACCGGCCAACTAGACAGGACGGGCGTCTTCGGCCGCCGGCTTTCCGAACCGTGACCGGACAGCGATCTTTTAGTTACCGAGCTGTGACGCTTCTCAACCGCCTACCAATCGAGACCCGAGCTCTGGGCCCGTCTGCTTTTAAGCGCGCTGCCAAGTCGCTGGTACTGCGGTAGCTTTTACGACCGTGTGTGCATGAGCGGTGTGTGCGTGTATGTATGCTGTGTACCTACATGTTGCGTGACATCCTTCCCACCTCATTGACACTTTGTTTTATCTATCTTACTTAAGGCACAGAATAGCCACAACCATGTGTGGAGTGTCTGTTGATGTAATACATACAATACATACATACAGCCCGGCACCCACATCTTTCCCACAGGGGGAGTTATTTGTCGACACCAGCAGCCCCGGGTGAGTGATGGGCGAAAGAAAGCCGCGCCGCGGACGCGCGTGCCTCGCATTATATGGACGGACCGAGCGGGCAGCGAGATGGTGAAGATGGAGAATCGAGATGGACTCGGGTCGACAGTCGGAGGGAGGGAGGGAGTGAGGGAGGAAGGGAGGGAGAGATAGAGATAGAGATAGAGATAGAGATAGAGATAGAGATAGAGATAGAGATAGAGATAGAGATAGAGATAGAGATAGAGATAGAGATAGAGATAGAGAGATAGAGATAGAGATAGAGATAGAGAGAGAGAGAGAGAGAGAGAGAGAGAGAGAGAGAGAGAGAGAGAGAGAGAGAGAGAGAGAGAGAGAGAGAGAGAGAGAGAGAGAGAGAGAGAGAGAGAGAGAGAGAGAAGGAAAGAAGACAGGGGCGAGGGAGGATGGAGGAAGGAAGCGAGGGAGATAGAGATGAGGAAGCTATTTCCCCGAAACTCAGAACTTCAAAGTACGGCAAGCCGGGCCTAGTTTTCGCGATACTGAATGCCTCCAAAACTGCATATGGCAGCCAAATTTCCGAAACTATTACTACGCTGATCAGTCAATTGCAATAGTTGGCCAACTTCAGCCCACTACGGCGACCGGAAGACACGCTGACAGCCGCCGTCTGACGGGAAATTCGCTCGCTCTTTTCGCTTCCATGAAATGCAAATGAAATGAGGAGCTGTCGCTGGCAGGTTGTTTGCGGCCGGCTCGGTCGTTTCCGAGTATTGGGAGGCCGCCCCAACATGTCAATTTCAGAGCACTCCTCAATATGCCGGCAGAAGACAAAAACACTGTGTGAGTGGCAGGCGTGAGGCGGCGGGGCGACAGAGGCGCGCTGTAGAAAGAACTGCACTGGCGGAAAGCCTTCCAACGCTCCAGTCTTACTCCCAGTCCGATATGAACCTCCCGTGTCCCATTCAGCTCCTACCGCCGGGCCCATTTTCTCCGAACGGCAGAATTCTGCGGTACATCACCGCGCACAGGCCGCTATCCCACCCACCCCCTACCATCGCGCACATTCACCTGACGTCCAAGACGGAGCGTTATCAGCCTACCCTGTAATGCAATCTATCCTGCCGCGCGCGCCCACGCGGTCCCAGGTTAGACCGGGCGCCCACTCAACTTCCCAAAGTCTGCCAGTGCCAGAGTGGTGCCAGAGGCGGCGGCAGCGCCACCCCCATGGGGCCACTCTCACTCGTTAACGGCGGAGAGGGGTGTACTTTGGAGCAGAGCAGGCATGCTGACGCAGGACGCCCACGCAGTCCCGAAATAATTCCACGAGCTCGACCTAACTTTGCAGCTGCTGGCTCCTGGGGCATACCAACGAGGAGTCTGAACGTTTGAACAAAGGCTTTTGTATCTGAATTCCAGTCGTCGCATCCAATCTCAACTTCGATTAAACACAACTTGTTTCACTTACAATAAGCGTATCTTCTCAGATACAGATAATACTTCAGTTGTATTCAAAGGTCACAAAATCAATTTCCCTTTTGATTCCAGGACATAACTTCATAGCAATACGAGATAAGCTCTTTAATGTGTGCCACATCTTTCAGAATCCTCCCCCTCCCCTCAAAAACTACTATTTCTTCTCAGTCGCGCAATTCTGACGCACTTTGCCTCTTTCCGCCGCACCACTTCCACCCGAAACGCTCAAACTAAACTTAATCATATCATCAATATCGAATATGTTATTGAACACTTCACTCTGTTCAAGAACCGTTTTCCACACCTCGTCCCTACCTCACATCCAAGCTACCTGTCGCAAAATGGACAGAGAAGCCCCCTCACGCCTCGGGCCATCTCTCCCCTCACCTCGACACTGGTGGAGAATCCTCCCGAGTCCTCTGTGGCCGTCACCACCAGGCTGTACATGTGCGGCTGACGCACGTCCTCAAAGTCCAGCTCCTTGGCCAGCTTCACCACGCCCGAGGTGGGGCCGATGTTGAACGTGCCGGCGCCCTGGCCCTCCGCCTTCAGCGTGTAGCGGATCTCGCGGTCGGCGAACGACTTGGCCTTCACAGAGATCACGCTGAAAACGGGGGAGGGTCGAGTCAGTACAGAGCGGTGTTCGGGTCAGCTCAGACAGACTTGAAGGGGAGGGAAATAATAGCAAAAGAGGAGATATTTCAACTGAGCGGCATTCGAGGTCTTAGTCAATTACCGCGTAGTTAACCCTACTGTATTTCTGTATCCGGCATGATGGGACCGCGGCCATGTTCGGACAGTTGACCGTGGAGCAAGACGTTTCCATGGTTTACTACTTCATATAACATATCACTTAGTGATACAGCGTCCCCAAGAGCACATCTCCATTACCATAACGACTCCAAGAAGACATTCGTAAGAGCAATAGCCAGCATGGGGAAATACCAGAGAGCCAAGTAAACCAGCAAATGCCACCTTTTCCCTCACGACAGCACCATCAATTCACTGCTGTTTGCCCTCGGCTCAGCCCGTACCAATCCTCAGGGAAGGTTCGGGCAGGGAGCCGCCACCCGGGGGCGGCTAATGCACGCGCTGTGGGTCACCTAGCAACGCACAGCATATAACGCACGCACGCGAGCCGCACACACGCCAGGCTCGCTGCCTCGGCTAAAAGCTGGCCACAAACGGACGCAAACCTTACCACGCCATAGCAATGCTCGAAACGCTACGCAAAACGCTTCGAACACGGTACGGTACGGTAGGTTACCTGCAGTACGCTACGGTACAGCTCAGCCGTCAGGTCCATACCCGACTTCATCCCCAGCCGTGCTGCCGCCATGAAAAGTCACCGCGATGCGTCTCACGTAGTGCGGTGTAATTCAAACCGCAGCGAGCACCCCGCGGTGAGGTGGCGGCCGGCCCGCTGCCAGGGGAGCGGCTATGAAGCTCAGACCCCGCCGGGCTGCGGTGTCTGTAAAAACGCGGCGCTCACCGGCGCCCACCACCCGGCGGCAGGGACGGGACGGTTCGGGGCGGGGTGGCGGGCTCAGGTGGCCAGACAGACACCGCGAAACGAGAAAAAAGCCTGACTGGTGCCGGTATCAGGGCTGAGAAGGATGGGGTGAGCGATGGGTACTACGGCGGCGGGGGCAGGGGTGGTGGCGGGGGCGGCGGCTGGTCCGCCCACTCAAGACCACAAGGCGGTGCGGTAAACGAATGCCACGGCTAACGGTGCCGCGCCGCCGCTGTCTGTCGGTGCCCCGGCCATACCCAGCTATCGGAATCCTCCCCCAAACAGACCGGCGCAGTCTGTGATCGACTTCGGGCAGCCGTGCACCGCACCGCGTGCACGACAGGCACGGCGTGCAAGGCCGGTGCACACTCGAACGGTGACATATGGCCGGTTCGAGCCATGTCGCCGACAGGCCGGTTTGTCATCACAGGGAGCCGCCGCGCCGGGTCCGTTGGATCCGCGGCCGGGTCCGCCGGGTCCGACGCTGCAGGGAGCCGCCGCCGAGTCCGTTGGATCCGCCACCGGGTCCGTTGGATCCGCGGCCGGGTCCGTTGGATCCGCCGCCGGGTCCGCCGGGTCCGACGCTGCAGGGAGCCGCCGCCGCCGCCGCCGGGTCCGCCGCGGCAGGGAGCCGCGGCACTCGAAGTAGCTCGGCGGCCGACGGACGTAAGCAAACAGCGCGAGCGCCGCGCCATCATCCGTCATTCACGTCAGCGCATTTGCAAAACACGGCCGAGCCACACGAGCCAGCCGTCCGCAGCCGTTCCCACGCCACCTACGAGGCATAACAAATGGTCCGCGCAGCAGGCCCGCCAATGTAACGTACCGTAATGCCGCCAGTCGCAGCGCAAATACTTCCGACTCGTAATGCGCGGCCGCACGAACAAAACGCCCACTCAGCGTTGTTCTTTTCGGTTACAGGTAAACTTCATTCCACTTAATGTTGTTCCTTGTTGTTATAGGGCAACTTCAGTTTCCGTTTCCCAGGTCATCCGCCAAAGAGTCCAGTGATTACATTTCACTCGCTGCATAGGTATTTTCGCAACATCGTCCACAGAGAAACGACGACAATAGCATGGGCAAAAATAAACCTGCCATTTTTTGGTACTTCGGTTTATGGAAAATTAGCACAATAAAAAGATATTTCCTATTAGGTACGTCACTTCCAGCCGTAATTTATGAATGTAAGAGGCGCTGTATAAAAACCACCAATTCTTCTTTATGAATATGCATAATATTCGAGACAGTTGGGACGAAGGTTTATGCAACGCTCATGCCTACCCCAATCGCGCGTCCGACCCACTCACTCGGTATCTTTCTGGTGATTCTCGAAGATCTTGGCCTCATATCCTGGCATGTAGAACTGGGGCTGCCGTTTGCCGCCGACGATGCTCAGCCGCTCCTCCTCTGTGGACTGGAACCTGCCCATGGCGTCCCGTCCGCCTTGGTCCTCTGCTCGCACGTACAGGAAGTATTCCATGTCCAACTGGAAGGGCTCCGAGCCGCGTGTGCGCACCACGCCCGACCGCTCGTCCACCTGGAACCGGCCGCCGGCTGCGAACGGAGGAAGAGAGGACGTTAGATAGGGGTCAGACAGAAAAGGCAGACCGTAAAAGGGTCAAAGGGACACATTTCTCAGGCAGTCAGACTGGCATTCAGTTATTATAGAAAGATCAGGCAATGGAAAGTCTCCACGACCACAAGACAAGACACTAGATCTTTGTTCCACAGCAGTGTAAACATCTAATGCTTCCATGAGGTAGCCGAAACATCGCATGCCTGCTGATAATTAGCTCCGACTAAGCACAATACATTGGAACATTCCGCCAACCATCAATATCCGGAGCACGTGACCAGGCGCACATAAAAAACGTCATCTCGCCGTGCGCATCACGTAACCGCCCGCAGCGCCGGCCAACCCTCTCCCCATATGTGTACTGACCACAGCCACTACGCTCCTCCCCACCCCTCCCCAGTGGGCGCGGCCGCCCCGGCGGTCAACAGGCTACCGAGGCGGCCGGCAGGCGGTGGGTGGACGGCCACCCCCTAAAGCCGGTCCGGACGTGCGGCAGGCACGCGCGGGCGCCGGCGCACTGTTGACCGAGGCCAGACGGGACAGGCGGAGACCACACAGGAAGACGGGCCGCCGACGGCTGTGACTTGTCACAGTGCCGCCTCACAGAGCTACTGCCCAACAGCGATTGACGCGAGAAATGTTAGTCGGTGATTAGTGGAATGACAACTACCAGACTCTGAGCTCGTCACAATCTGCTCTGTTCACCCCCGACTGAGCCTGTTTGGACTGATATGCACCAATCAAAACATTCAATATTTACCTAATCCGCTCACCATTGACGCCGTGCAGTGTGAGTGCACCCACCCACAATCACCGTACTACACTCCCCCCCCCCCCCCATCTAACCACGTGGGCGGTCCGCAGAGCGGTCAGACAGACCGGTTCTGGCCGCCGTGATTGTCCATCTGCCAGCCGTTCAGATGGTATCGGACCGACAATTAGCACCGCCGCGCGCTCCGTCCGTGGTCAGATCGGAGCGATGCCGCCATGACGGGTTCATATCTCCAACGTCAGAAAGAGGACCGGATTAGAGCATTCGTGGCGACTCTCCGCTAGCAAATTTAACATTTCCCCGGAATGCTGCATTGAGGATTACAAACTGGGCGATGAAGACTGAAGGGTCGCTTCCTGTTAGGTACTCATTAACCTTCCAGGCGGTGGGGGGGGGGGGGGCATTTTTTTGCCCCCCCCCTTTACTTTTTTCGATATATCTCGAGAACCGCTGCGCCGATCGTCACCAAACTTTCAGTACCCTCCCGGGAGCAGCTAGCGCACATTGTGACCAAAAATTTTTCCAAAGGCTATGATAGGTTGGCCGCTAATGACGTAAGAGTGACGTCATTTTTGCCATTTTCGACCCAAAAAAAGGTTTCGCGGGAAGAGCTGTCAGGCCTACAGCTTTAGAGATACAGAAAAATGTTTTTGACATAAAAGGTGTGGAATCAAAAGGGCTACAAAACTGCTATTTCGGTTTTTCGAATTTTTTGGATTTTGACCCCCAAAAATCAAAAAATAGATTTTTTTTTAATATAATAGCCAAAAAATCCAAAAAGTTTTTTGAATTTCGAAAAAACCGGAATATATGTGATAGTCCCTACCGCCTTCTATCTACATACCAAATTTGAGATCGATACCTCGTTTTTTGGCCAAGTTATAGCGAAAACACTGTTCAAAATTGATGACGTCAAATTTTCAAACTCAATTTTTAGCAATTCTAGACCTCGTAGCGCAAAACAAAGACCACCATTAGACTCCCCGTGACGAGCTGCATCGAATCGATACCCATTTTATACAAAAATATCAACTTTGAAATTTGACCTTCTTTGACCTGACCTTGACCTGACCTCCACCAGAAAGTGACCTAAACCGTACCTGATGGTCTTATAACCAACACCATTGAGTTGGAAATGAAAAACTGGCCATAAAACATGCATCACATAACCTTAGTAAAGTTGGGCTCATGTGGTGACCCTTGGTGACCTTTGGTGACCTGACCTGTGACCTGACCTGGTATGACCAGTGGCCTCTAATAGCAACATATGTACTAGACAACTGACGCCTTATCGCTGATTTTCGACAAAATGCGTTTTACTCGGTGTTATAGCGCTTTCCCTAGAAGCCCTGTGAACGGTGAAACATTTTATCTTTGACCTGACCTGTGACGTCATCGGTGACCCCGAGGTCAATGAAATTTGGTTTCCTTCGACAAATTTGACAGGGCTATCGAACGCCGTTTGAATTTTCCGGATCCGTCCAGTAGTTTCGGAGATACGGGGGGGGGCAAAAAAGTGCCCCCCCCCCCCCACCGCGTGGAAGGTGGCTGGTAGGCCCACCGCCTGCCGGGTTAAGCGCTCAAGATAAATGCCACTGGAGTTTCGTTAAACGATCTGAACATCTGACAGCATATGTGCAGAGCCCTGGTCCTAAAAATATCCTATCAAAATCGCTACCACCCCCCTGACCTGACCTCCACCACCCCCACCCCTCATCCCGCGCCCCACCCCGTCCGCGGCGCCTCGTCAGTCCCAGTGACGGTCGGGCCCCGCCCGGTGCACGTCTCTCCTAAACCGTCTCCTGACTCCGACAGGCCGCCAGCCGCGGCACAGCAGCACGATTGATCACCCCCGATCGAAGCGGCGGCGCCCTCCGTCTCTGAGAGGAGCCGAGTTGTTCTACGACCCCCAGACACTGAGGCAGGCACAGGCCGCAGCCAGTCCGGTACCAGACGAGTCTCATCATTATTCAGAGCCGGGAGAGCCGCCGGTTCGATCGCAGGTGTCTGTGAGTGACGGTAGAAACCACGCCCCGTCACGGCCGGAACAGAGTCGTGATTAATGGAATTATAACACGACGTCAGTTTGACATTTGGATCTGACTACCAAATAATAAATGCATAATAAATGGCACATATCGTGCGCTCCGTGCATGCCGCGACCCAGACAGACTGTCCGACTTTCAGGAAGTGGTCGGTTGTGCATCAGTGGGTCCGATGCCGGCCTACCCCGGCAGTGAAAATTTCATTCCTTCTCAGGCAGTTATGTAACACAGGTACGCTTGTGAACACTAGGATACTACGGAAAACTTGGCACGGAAGTCAGTGGCATTAGTAACACCTCCGTCTTCCGAGGAAGGATTGTGTGGAATAAATCATATCCAGGAAACATGGTGCAGCCACAGCGCTGCAAACTTATGAGCCCGGATGTCTTGGACGGACATAAGAGATAGCTCCAAACCCAGGCAACGCAGATTATCTAAGAACAGTGTTCCTTATCTCCAGCTCCCCCTTTCTTTCCCCAAGGGCACATTCCATGAAACCTGCGTCGTTCCTCCTCACCAACTTGCTATCAATCCCGTTTCTCAGCATCGCATTGGTTCCGTCTTCCTCATGCATAGGACATCCGCGCGAAACGCCACCTTAGCCCTACAGTAGGTGACCCGGCAGAGCGCTACCCCTCCCTCCCCCTCCCCGGGGTCGCCGGTCGTTACCCCTTGCCAGGTCAGCTCCGGCGATCCCCCGACTCTCGTATAGCGGACACAGTTCGGCCGGCGCGTGTCAACTGGGGTCGGCAGTGGGACTGGGGGGTGGGGAGGGTACGGGTGGGAAGGACAGAGCAGATCAATACCGACAGACAGGAGCGTGGTCTAGAGCAGAGACGAGTTTGGAAGGGGGAGGTGGAAGAATGGGAGAGATATGGGAGAAAGAGGGATGAAAGATGGAAAGAGCGCGAGAGATAAAGAAAAAGAAAAAGATTGAGAGAGAGAGAGAGAGAGAGAGAGAGAGAGAGAGAGAGAGAGAGAGAGAGAGAGAGAGAGAGAGAGAGAGAGAGAGAGACAGAGAGAGAGAGACAGAGAGAGAGACAGAGAGAGAGAGACAGAGAGAGAGAGACAGAGAGAGAGAGAGAGAGAGAGAGAGAGAGAGAGAGAGAGAGAGAGAGAGAGAGAGAGAGAGAGAGAGAGAGAGAGAGAGAGAGAGAGAGACAGAGACAGAGACAGAGACAGAGACAGAGACAGAGACAGAGACAGAGACAGAGACAGAGACAGAGACAGAGACAGAGACAGAGACAGAGACAGAGACAGAGACAGACAGACAGACAGACAGACAGACAGACAGAGGCAAGAGCTCCGCACCGCTCGCTGCTCGGGCCACGGGCACGGCTGTGCTCGAAAGGTCAGCCGCCATCCACCCGAGTCCCACCGACACTCTGGTAATACCGCTTCCCGGCCGACTACGTCCACCGCCCGCTAATTGGACAGCCGGCCTAATGGGAGCGGCGGCATCATTGTGTAGCAGCGAGGCGGTGCTACCGTGGCCACCGCCACGGCTACCGCCGCAGAGCCTGCTAGGCACAGGTGATTGCGCGGCCCGCCGCGACACAAATTACCCTGTATGCAGGCTAATGCCGAGCCCCGGCATAATGGCAGACGGTGGTGGGAGAAGATGAGAGGCGGTAGGTGGGTATCCCAAATGTGAATGAGACGATAGGGAAGCTTATTTAACTGAGACCGGTACTGGAGCCTGGGAGAGCGTCCAGACATTACCCGAGTCCCAACGACCGGCCACCGCCGCGGCCCACTTCGGTGGGAGCGGGGCAGACTAGCACAGACGAAAACTTCAGCACGTCCGACACGATCCCGGCAGCCAGCAGCAAGTCATCAGCCAGCCGGCGGCGCCCGATTTGTTCGAACGGCGCACTCGGCCGCCTCCATTCCGGCGAAAATCGACAAACTTTGCCGCGCCAGCCGCCAGTTTGGGAGAGTTGAGCACCTCATCTGCCCCGGTTTCCGTCTCGGCGATCGTAGCCAATGGGTGAACCGGTAAAAACGCTCTCCTAACGGCCTCCGAACGGCGAGACGGGCCAGGTGGGATGCGGAGCAGCGGCCGGTCGGACAGTTTTACAAAGGTCCGCGTCAGACGGTTTGGACAGCCAGACGGCCGACAGGTGCTGGCGGAGCGTCCTCCGGAGATAGAGCGAGCCACACTGCTGAGTTCATCTCGGTACGGAGAGGTTAACCGGGCTGGTGGAAGCGCCTCCATCCCCACCAAACTGCGGCGCTAACTGACTGGGGACGCAGCGGACCCAGGCGCCGAACCCCGGTAAGTGTTACTCGGGTGCTAACTGCTGTGGCAATAGCGAACGTTTACCAGCGAGGCGCCGTCAAATGCCCAGACAACTGCAAAACTACGGCGGTGATTTTTATGGAAACAGCTTACCGAGCACGCCATCGACGCTAAACTATCCCGATTTCCAGCGCCAGTTGGCCGCTGGCAGTGGGTGCCTGGCGCGATCTCCTCTCTGCGCGCACAAACAGCCCATCACTCGCCACACCTCCCCATCGCCTCCCGCCCCCAGCACCTCATCCTACTCTAACGCCCGCTCGGCGCCGCGCCGCAGCCGCCGGGAGCGATCGACCGAGCTCCGGACGACTCCGGACCCGAGCAACTCTCGGCCGCCCAGACCCGGACGCGCCCGCCAAGTGCCGGCCGCGTCTCCGTCCCGCCCCAGGCGGCGCTAATTGAGAGGCGCGCCGGCCGCGGAACAGCGCACTGTGGGGTTTTTATCGATCCTAGCACGAATTTATTTATATCGCATCCTCCGCTACCTTAACTAATTTTATTTCACCTTCAAATGGTTAAGCTTAGGGTGTATGATCCCTGACAACATGGTTGGCTCTCCTGCTTGACCCCATCCCTCCCCCGCCCCCTCCCCAAGGACTTAGCACTGAAGCGTTTTCGGCTAGCAATGCATCGTGGGCGTGGAAGCGTTAAAAAAGTAGAACGAAACTACAATCGTTTTAGAAGTAGATATTTGATCATGTCTAGCCCAATCACCAAAAGGCATTTCGGGCTCAACCTTTGCACTTTGTTAGTCCTTGCACTTAAAGGGGGAGGGGGTCGCACAGACTTCTGTCCTCGACTTTTTCGACTTTTCGCATACTAACTCAAGCAAAACGTGGCGGATCACGACGAAACTTTCTATACCTTCGATTCGATCAATGTTACTCACACACTTAAAATTTCATGACCTTGACCTTAATAAAAATTTGACCTTCAGCGCACATTATCGGCGCGTTTTCAGTCTTGTTGTGGTTGTTAACTCTCCAAGGTATGAAATGCTGTTTGTTCTTTGCATTTTAAGGTCACGTTAAGGTCAAATCAAGGTCATTTACCTTAGATGACCTTAGTTGACTTTTTCAAGTTATACAATTTTTCTAGATAAGTGCTTGGAGCTTATTTCGAACTTAACACCCATTTGAAGATTTAAGTAGTTTTGGTGCCTAACGGAACATGCTACGAAGCCGTCAAAGGTAATTGACGCCTACCTTCTATGGATAGCCGGCAAGACACCTACTGGTCGGGCCTGACCTGACCCGGCCTAGCATGAAAACATCATCCTTGATCAAAACTAGCTTGAAATTCGTGATTAGCACCCCAAAACCTCCAACCTCACTTTACAAAGTTACAGCATTTTTCGATTTACCTATATCAAAGCTCTGTACTGAAGTTCAATAAGGTGAACATTGGCGGCGATAGCCAATAAAATGGACGCAGCATTGCAAGGGTGTTGTTGTTTTGTTCAAAAAGAACATTTGGCGATAGAAAAATAATGTCAACATGGTATCACCCCCTTCCTCCCTCCTCCCAACTCCTATACTGACCGGAAACCCCCAGGCGGTGTGCTGCGGTCGGGTAACCCGCCGCGGCGCGGCCCGGCGGGGCGTAAGAAACCACGCGGCACCGTCTGCTTTGACGTCTCATAGTGACTGGTTTAGGCAAATTTCGGCAAAAAATGAGAGCTGCCCCCGATGCAGAAATTATTGGAGAACATTTTGATATACATTTCCACGCGTAACACCGCGTATCAAACTTTGTAAGGCAATAGTTTGCTTGTCAACTCTCTGAATCAAGAAGCATTTTAACATTTTTAGCATTTCGGTCAAAAATTATACATTTGGATGAATTTTGGAAATTTTCGTGCATACCATCATCTTCCTTATAAGTCAAAGATAATGAAAACATGTCGCAACTATAACCTGCTGTTCAGGGAAACGAGTGAGAGGGCGTTTTATTGTAGTGTGCTTTTTCGCTGTATGCAGGTAGCACGACGCTGGTCAGGACGAAGCTACACTTTGAGAGTTTTTTTGAGGCATAAACAATCATTTTACAGACGATTTAAGGTGTGATTCGGATGCGCTGGACAATTCTACGTGGGATGAATAACAAAAAAGTGGAAATCGAAATACTTTAACTTGCCACTTAATGCGTGCTAGGATGGCATAAGTCCCCACGGTGCAGCGGCGGCAGCGGCGGCGGCGGCGATTTTCGCTGTTCATTTCCCGGTGGGTCGACACGCCAGCAGAGTAAAGGAGCGGCAGGTAGAGAGCGAGAGCAGTGAGCCAATGGAATGGATTAGCCCAGACAGATGTGGTTCCTCGGCAGAGCAGCACAACCCAAGAACACATTCACCTAAACTACCTACTACCTAGTCACATATTTCACCTGACCAGTTCACATAATAAGCAAGTGAACTCTGACGACGACAGCCCCGATTTTGAGCAGCTCATACAACTCCCTTCCCATGGGGTTCCCTCTAAGGTCCTCTAGCTCAAAGTTCCCCAGTACCAATCTTCACCCACGCCACACCGCCCATAGTGTCCATTGGGCATCTGGGTCGCTAATCAAATCTCGCCAGGTCACCGCTTCTAACCAAGGCACTGGCCACTGACCGCACCCTGCGTGCTACGACGACCCGGGCCGCGCACAAAACCGGCCGCAAAACAGCCGCCCGGAGAGCCCTGATGAATGTGCAGTGTCGGGGCGGCGGCGGCAGCCGTAACGAGCAGGCCACGGGGGAGCAGGGAGCGGTAACAGATCCGCGGGTAGGCAGGACACTGGACGGTGCGCCCACGCAGGAAGGAGAGAGGGAGAGGAGAGGGGAGAAGCCGGAGACGGAGATATTGGTAAGGTTTTCTTGGGCTTAAGGTACACAGGGTTGAGAGACATTGCAACCTCTCTAGCCATCATCAAACTATTACGTAGCCGAGTTGACTTCAACCACGAAACTGCTATCGGAAATCGTTCTGCCGTAATTCAAACACATGCCTTTCGCTGCACGGTTGACACACGTTCTGAACCTGTCTGACCCCTCAAGTCAACCTCTGGAAACCCCTGACCTATCAGAACTGACCCCATGACCTATGGGAACGGCACGCGCCGCACGGAACGGGAAGTGCTCTGGCGAAACGGCCAAACTTTCGGCAGACTTGCAACAGTTTGCAACAGACTTCAATTACAGTCCAAACGAAAGCTTGCTCAGCTCTTCCGCGTGGAATGCCAAGACGTTTTATCACGACCAGCCCTGACTGCCTAATGGTATGAAGCTAACCATGACTGTCAAGGAAATTACAAGGCATTGTGTCGGAAACTGTGCTGATCTTTTGTAGGCATACAATCACCACAGCAACCAAACATACACCATTCCCTTCCCCTTCATATCTATCCGCATTGCAGTATCTTCCGTCTCTCCACCTTCCGTCTTCCTTTCTCGCAGACTTTGTCCCTAGCTTCCCATCTCCAATCACTGTTGCTGTCGGCAATCCTTGAAGAAGAAGCTGGATGGTATGTTCATGTCCCTGTCCCTGGTCCCCCTTTTCTCCCAGCCCCTAAAGCCCCTAAAGCCCCTGGCCACTAACTGCGGTCCTTGACAAGGAAGTAGTGGATGTTGCAGCCCCCGTCCCTCCTTCCTTGGTCCCCTGGCCACTCACTGCGGTCCTTGACAAGGAAGTTGAAGATGTTGTGGTCTCTTTCTCTGCCCCCTGACCCTTCGCTAGTCGCTACTCACTGCGGTCCTTGACCAGGAAGTAGTGGATGTTGTGGTCCCGTGTCCCTCCAACCCTAACCCCCTTCTACTCACTACGGTCCTTGACAAGGAAGTTGAAGATGTTGTGGTCCCGTGTCCCTCCAGCCCTAACCCCCTGGCTACTTACTGCCGTCCTTGACAAGGAAGTCGCGGATGTTGTGGTCCCCGTCCCTATTCCCCTGGTCCCCTCGCTACTCACTGCGGTCCTTGACGAGAAAGTAGTGGATGTTGCAGCCCCGTCCCTCCTTCCCTGGTCCCCTGGCTACTCACTACGGTCCTTGACAAGGAAGTTGAAGATGTTGTGGTCCCGTGTCCCTCCAACTCTAACCCCCTTCTACTCACTGCGGTCCTTGACCAGGAAGTAGTGGATGTTGTGGTCCGTGTCCGGGTCGCGCGCCTGCAGTGTGAAGATGGGCGTGTTGGGCGGCGCGTTCAGCTTCACCACCGCCTGCATCGGCAGCGGCCGGTTGATGAAGTAGGGGTTCTCGTCGTTGTCGTCCTCCACGCGGATGATGATGCGCTGGTTGTCCTGGTCTGTGGACGAGTGGGAGGTTCGTGGTCAAATCTAGAGTATTGGTGGTGTGTGATGGTGATTTCGTAAGGGGGTATATTCGGTTGCGGGTGGTGATTCGATTTGGCGATTGATGTCGACATCACTACAAGAACTCAACGTCGCCGAAAATTGTAAAGGATCAAGTATTGAACTGACGCAAGGAATACAATTCAGGTTAGTGTGCGACCCGTGCACGATCCATGAGACGGACTGCACGTGACGGACACATGCTCGTCGGATCGCTCCGGGCTCGACACAACATCCAGTCGCTCCCCGTGCCGCAGGTCTCCGCAGGCCGGCCGAGGTGTAAATAAACGATGACGCCAGCTCCGCGGTAGGTCGGGAGGAGACACGACAGGGAGGGAGGGGGAGAAGGGAGGAAATACAGACGGGGAAGAAAAGGGGGAAATACGGAGGGACAGCGACATCCATGAGGCATTCTGGTTTCAGGTCTCGTGGAACTACAAGAAATGGATGAGTGGAATGCAAACTCAGCTTTTTTTGTTAGAAAAATATCGGTATAAAGCAGCATTTGGACACATAAACGACAACAAAACAATTGATTTAGCATGGTGGCATAAATACAAATGAGAAGTTATTATTTTCATCTGCAGCATGCTACCAACTTGAAACATATACTAACGGTCAATGTCACAAACAAGTCGACTAAGTAAGCACGCTGTGAGGTCACTCGTTGAGCTGCTCTTCTCGAACAGCGGCGGCAGCGGCGCATTCCACACACTGCAGCCGTTGATGCATTTGCAGTTGTGCAGACAGATACCTACACATTCAGCGGCATCAGAGGCCATTCGCTGTCGGGCAATCGTTCATGCCGTGCGCTCATTCACGGGCTATTCACATCACACGGTGACACGCCATTCAGTCACAGTGGCGGACATACATCAGAGCAGACTGCACTGAGGACAGGTGCACTGTATTCCACAGCATGGGACTGTGAACCACATGCAGAGATGGGGAAGCATACACACTGGCGCGTGCATGGGGCTAACGAGTGGCTGTTTGGAATGCATAATAAGAATAATGAGAATAATGAGGACTGTATAGTGTGCATGCCCATGTGAATCAATAGGAAACAGACGAGATAGGATGGATGAGCGCCTTCGGAAGAATTCGTGGAGGATTCATAACACCACAAACAATTTTTCAAGGAACTATTATCTTGACTGTCCCTAAGATCCTGGCTCAGGAATCATCATGGTTAAGCCTCCCGTTTTTGTAACAATGTTTTGTCCTACCGTGACCATATCCGCGGCCTTGGGGGCTGTGTGTCAATGAGGCGTGACACGCTGCCGGCCCGTATAGTAACGTCACGGCCGCCTGGGTGGGCCCGTGACGCGGCGCCGACCACCGTGACGGCGGCAGCACGTGCCGCCCAGCTGGGGTCGGTGAGCGTGACGCCGCCGTGCGCCGCTGAACACACGCCGGTGAACACACAATGTGTGGTGGGCGATATGAAACGGTGATATCGGAGCTCTGATCACCGAGGAAGATGAGCATGTGATTTTCATGACTGACTACAGCCTTTGACGGCGTGGATATTATTCGCAAACTCAAAGAGCGACGTGAAGACGGCACCGTGGTTTAGTGTTGACCACAGCACTGAGCTAAAGCGGGCGGATCCGTCAAGAGGCATCTCGCCCTCACGGCTCTCATAGTGTCGGGAGGCGAGTAATAACACGATACATGCGGCAAATAGCACCTCTGATGAACACTGAGGTGCAGGCCGAACGGAGCACATGGAAGCCAACTGCGGGTGGGTCAGTTAGTGCCGTCCGGACGCGTTCTGTCCCTCCGCTGACCGGTACAGACAGGGGTACCGTTATTCATGTTCATTTTCCGATCGTTTTACTAGGTTGTCGATGCGCAATAAACATTCTGGAATGGAATGGAATGGAAAAAGCGCTCTCCGGACCGGACACGTACGAACAGTGGCTCGAGTGTGACTAAAACCCTATACGGTGGAGCTTCGCGTCGCTCCGTCAGGCTAATACACAGGCACAGGTAAGCAGGCGGGCAGGTGTGCAGGCAGGCGACAGGCGGCATTGACACAGGCACACACAAATCGGTAGTGGACCCGATACTCACAGGTTCCTCCCGTGTAGCCTGACGAGATCCAGCGGCATGGAGACACGGGATGGGTCAGTTATTATAGCAGCGACACACGCTCTAACATCTTATAACTAGCGTTATGTTGTCATTTAGCTACCCCATACATCTACATAAACCGTGACACAATGTAGCTGAAACCGGATTACGTCACATTCAATCTGCATTTTGTACACAAATCCGGACGTCGGATTTGAAACTGAAAGTGCAAACAGAAGAAAGTCAGCCAGATCTGCACGAACACACAAAAAGGCGCACGAACACACCACGGACGAGTGCACTAATGTGGCAATGTATGACCAGATCAGTCAGTGCATGAAGCATGAAACGGGAATGACCGGCCCACGGCACTCTGCGGCTTCTGGGTAACGGAGCGTGCCGAAAGCGCACCACGAACGGGGTGGGCTCAGCACGGGATTACAAATACCGCGGCGATTGGCGGGATTTGGACGGTTCGCGGTCACGGTGTTTACAGGATTACGCCGCACACGAGGATCTTACACGGAAATCACACAGAGAAATGACTTATTTTGTTGTCACACGTCGACAGCTATGCGGTAGTGCATGCAACAGAACACAACACAGCACGGAAAACATTGCACGAAACATCTCGTTGCTCACTCGGGGAAAACCAGTCGCTAGACCACCATTCACCAGCAAACATATGTAGGTGCCACTGTTGAGACCATCATCTTGCAGTTTCCACAAACATCCACCGACATCCACCTGCGTCCACATCCACCCACAATCACCAGCGTCCACATTCCACACACAGTCCACTCGTACCCACAGCGTCCACAACAGAGCACTTCCCCGTGCTCTCGGCTGGGGGCCGCCCTAATGAAGACGCCCGACCCTGAATAACAGGTTCATCAACTCAGCTAATTAACCATCCAGCCCGGGGGCAAACAGACCCTTCCGTGACCGGAGCGGTGTGTACCGGGCGGGCACACAGGGGTCGGCGCTCCGCGGGAGTCCATCCAATCCGCACTGGCCGGGCTGTGTGGGACAGCAGCCATTAATCTCGGCTGTGTCCACAGTTCTGTCGACTGAATGTCTGAGTGGTGCAGTCCACCATGTACACGGAAAGGTTGAACCAGAGGCGAGCTAAGGCAGGTCACGGTGAAGCAATCAGCCAAGTAAAGGCAGCCACAGAATATGGTTCAGCCCAAACAAAACGCGGACGGTTGAACTGACCGGGTCCAATCAGAAAATGGTTCTCGGTTGGACTCCGGGCGGGGTCGGCGGCGCCGTCACCGCACCATTGCTCATCAGGGCGTGCCTGATGAACCGGCGGGTCCTTTTGTGGGCCGCGCTGGGCAGCTCGGGTAACGAGTCACGTCACGACCGACCGCGAGACACCCGTGACCGTGACACGACTCGTGACGTGTCTCGTGGCGTGACAGCCAAGTGACAGCGGTCTGTGTCATCATGGAGCAGGTCTGTCGCAGCGATGTGCAATGGACTGATTAAATACGTCGTGTGGTTACAATTTCGGCCCAAGCCGTGATTATGTGACAACTTCCGTGATGTTAGTCGTGACTACGTGACAGTCGTTGTGAAATTCCCTGTCGTCCGAGCGACTGATTGTCACCGGATCACAAACCGTGGCGGAACATCAGTTCCCTTGTCCAGCAGCGCTTTATGTTTCTCTCCACAATGTCCCCTGTATAGGCTACACGAACAAACTACACATACTCAGTCATTTCATCAGCTATCACACATGCATTGCTCTCGTCAAAAACGTTGTCAACCAGCTTCCGTAGAGAGGAAAACCAAGCAATAAACTCGGTGATGTTTACTTTCCCAGGGAGCGAGCCTTGCAACTCCCTTTAGGTTACACCACAGAGTGCTAGTGGTCCCAGCCTGGCATCCCAGAGCCCATCCCGCCCTGCAGCACAGCTCCTGTGTTACATCGGGCGCCGCCGTCTCTACTGTGGGCGTGGAGTCCCACTACCAGCTCCAGCTGCCTCCACTGCGGTAGGCGTGGAGTCCTACTGCCCACTGCCGCAACTGCAGTAGGCGTCTGCCACACTGTATAGGAGCCCAGTTACCGCCCAAGATCAGATCAACACCCGGGGTGAGGTAAGGCGCAGCGAAGTTGAATCATTGCCTAAAACTGGGCCATTCTCTCCACTTCCGTCCAGGAGTACAGGGGAGGAGGGGCGACCATCCGGTGGGTACGATAAGGAGGGAGTGAAAAAAAAACACCCAGTAGATCAGCAAACATGGCTAGCTCTGTGGTATTGTCGTCATAATAGAGGCTACCAGTTCACTTTGTACTGGCTGACGAATTGTGTAATGATGTCAATAGCCACATACCAGCCATAATAGCCTCCACTGAGCCATCCCACCAGCAAACACCAGCCATTCAGATAGTATCGGCTCGCCACCAAATAGATCCCACCAGACATGTGCGTGGATCCGAAAAATGGATCTGGGATCTGATCCCACGGATCCTGATCTCGGATCCGTCGGGATCATAGATCCAGTTCTTAATTTTGTCAACAGATCCACAGGGATCATAGATCCGAGTCTAATATTTTTGCTTGAGATCTGGTGAGATCATAGATCCTCATTTATTTATTGTCAACAAAGAAATCCCACGAAAATCGCTCGTTGCAACTCACAAGCGTTCTTATTTAGTGATTTATGTGATAGCACATCATAAGCCATAGTTTTATTGCACTTATTGACATAATAAACACTTGCAAACTTGGTTTAAAATGCTGTGCATGGTGGGATCCACTCAGATCATAGATCCGTGTTCTTGGTTTATCATCAGATCCTGAGAGATCATAGATCCAGGATAAATTTTTCACGCCGGATCCGGTGGGATCATAGATCCGAACCTGCAGTTTGCTTCGAGATCCACTGAGATCATAGATCCATCACTCGGATCCATGCACATGTCTGGATCCCACATCGCCTCTTCACGGGCGGCGATGATTGGCTCTATACGGGCGGCTCGGTCGTTTGGTTATAGGACGCCCGTGAGTCGCCGACTCCGTCTCCAAACATGGAGAGTGACCGAGGGTCGCTGGCACCCGTTGCACTGCCGCTGGTCCATCGGCTCCAGTCATAACAGCGCAGTGACGAGTGACTTCCAGCCGAGGCGGCGGGGGCGGCGGCTGGACGGGCGGTGGTGATACGTTGCAAATTGGTCCCAGGAGATCACGACCGGTGAACATATACAAAGTGCCGTGACCGCTCATGACGCATCAGTAGCCGCCGGCCAGTGATGTGTGGTAGAGCCCGGACTACAGACGCGGGCTCCAGCCGCCGCTCTGCTGTAGCTGGTTTAAGACAGCCGTTTTGGATAGCCAGGATAAATAGGCGAGTCACAAAGGGGTTGGCCTTCGCATACCTATTGGTGATAAGGAAAACAATCACACTCACCAGAGCCCACTGCGTTTCTGAGGTTCAGAGCGGGGGATTTACCGTAGTTCATGGTATGCGGCCACGCCCCTCGCTCCGGTGAAATCACGATATATCAACAAACATCTAGCTCGCCCTTCCATACACATTGTCGCCATCACCCGATCCACCTTGCGAAGGAATGGGGAGCAAAGGGTTACGTCTCCTCCCCTGCTCCAAAAGTCCACCCACCCCGACACCAAGACCCGTGACCAGAAATTCCACTCAGTACAAACCCAAACACCTTGGACTGTAATTCGAGTAGCTCGACTCATCCCAGCCCCTGACTGCCTCGACTCCATCCTTAGGTCACCTACACGTCCCTAGTCGTCCAGGGATATCAGCGCCGCCGTCAGAGGCCTCGATCCATCAGACAGTTCTCGACCGTTCAAAACTCCGGTCAACCGTCCGACCTCCCGACCGTCTCCCGGCGGTGCTCGGTCCGACCGTCTCGCCGGTGGAATGCGGCTCGTGGGAGACGCGTGGGGCGGAGTCGAGCGGACGACGGGCCCTCAGGCACCGGCACCGGCACCGGCGCGACGTCCGACATCGGCACGGAACCGGCGCCCGTGCGGGCACAAACACGAACATGGAGGATGGGAGAGCATGGGTACCTTCGCAAGCAGATTGATGCGAAAGTACCAAGCGCAGCGGAGGACAGTCAGGTGGGAAAGAAACGTTTTGTCCATTCAAATGAAATAGATCGTGACGATTAGTTATGAAGTGCTGCTGTTCTATCAACGAAAGAAATTCACAAAAACATGAAAAACATTAAGCACCTTCACAGTGCCAGAACGGCTGTCCCTTGCCCAGTCCAGTGTTCACCCAGGAGCAATTGCCAGATGACGCGTAGCTATTTGGTCCCTCAGACACCTCGCATATGGTATGGAAGGAAGATATAAATGTTAAGTGTATACTACTTCAGGTCATTCATCCATCATCAAACAAACGACTTCATTATTATAACATGGAAACGGCATTCCGCTCCATAAAAGGTCACAGCCATTTCGACCTCGCGTCATTTCACATTCCGCAGTGTCATAACCTGGCGGGGTCCCTTTTTATGAATTCACTGGAGCGATGCTCCATTTTACCACCACACAGCACATCCTTTCACGTCTGGACCTGGGGACCACATCGTCCGCCACGATGACCCCCATCTCGTCCGACGGTAGTCATTTTCTGTCCGCGGTTAGAGCCACTTCCCCACTCAACGGTTCCACTCTCTCTACCAGACCCCAGACCGATCCATGGTTCCCCTATGATCCCACCACGCACCGCCAGCCCCGCTGTTATTGAGGCTGAGTGGGGCGGAGGCGGTGAGGACGGTGAGGGCGGAGGCGGGGGCGGGGCGGAGGATTACCCCCACTCCGTGCCGCATTCCTGGACGATTGGACCTCCCTCCAATCGTCCCTCGTCTCTCATCCCTTTCGCTCTGCGGCACCTCCCATGCTTCAGTCCAGCATATCCCTATTGTCACACCCAGCCCCAGCCCACCGCCGCGTCGCGCCCCAGAGGTTCGTCCTAAGCTGCTTAGCACAGATCTGGGGCGGCGTTATCGAATAGCTCACCGTCCCCTC